TCAACCCTGGAACACTCGACCTCCGACAACAAGCGCAAGAGAGAACAAGGTGCACGATAGGTAGATCATTCAGTCTTACCCCGAACAAATCCAGATAGCAGTGCCTAATAGCTATCTTTCTTGGTATCTATTAGTTGTTTATCGATGAGAGCCAGAACCTGCTAAGAATAAACATGTAGTGCTGGTTTCTTGACGTCACACATAGACAGACGTCTGTCTGCACAACCGGTTGAAATAACCTTCCCCCACTATGAACACTTCGGTAGGCTTAACTTACCTCCAGGCTAGTAGTCCCGTGTCTTACCCACCTACTACATACTTACTACACCATTTTCAACAAGTAACCCAAGGCTGCAAGTACGTACAGTACACATGTAAGCCAGAAAAACAAGCTTACTACCCTGTCAGCTGTCATGCCACCCAGACGGACTCTCCCTCCTCTCCAACCAAGCGTCCGTCCGCTTCATCGCAATCCCTTCCGTGCGCTGCACTTGTTCCTGATGTCATCGTATCGTCTGGTCAAGAAGGAAAGCACATCCCTCATGCCATCGAACGATGCTTTACTTTGTAGTAAATGCAACTGGCAGCACTGCATGAGAACTCTACGTACAGTCCGCATTGCACAAGTGGCCACTGAGTGGAACTCGCGGGCGAGGGGGCAATGAGAGCAACGTGCATTGCATCCCCCATGTTCTTCCACCTGCAAGATTACCCCGTAGGAAGAGGAGCTTCGGTCAGTGTGCATTTGTTAAGTGTAGCGTGACCATTCTAGGCGGTTGAGTTGAAATCCAGACAGAGACTTCTCCATTCCCATAGAGATAGACATACGGAAAAGAGGTATGGTGATGACGATGATGATGATCTCCGTCGCTTATTGTCGGTCTGCGGTTGGGGAATTGGGCCATATTCGAAGACATGTGCCAATGACACATTCGAATGCTTGGGAAGATTTCTGGGCGTGGCCTTTACTTCTTTTTTTTTTTTTTTGTTCTTTGTTAAAGCAGCCTTTCAGGATACGATAGTCTTGCTCCCACTCCCAATTTTGACCGCGGCATGTGCTCTTCGCTGCGCCTCCAATATCTGAAATGCCTGCAACTGCTTGCGATGGGGCGTTCAAGACCATCGGAAAACGCTCCCACGGCAGTCCAACACCATCCTGACTCTTGGTGGGGGACCGAAAAGAAAATCTAGGCGAACGACAGTCGTGAAGTACTCCGTATACATCGGCGAGACGTAGTCGCAAAACCCACCGCGGCGCTTGCTGATGGCGAAAAATGAAATGAATCGTTTAAACTTACACGACTATTACAAAAGTTATTACACTTTGCTTGAAACCAACCTATCTACAGCTTCACCCGGAAGGTCTAGATCGTACAGCCCAAGCCCGCGCTATGAATCCAAGAGGGACTGATCCCAATCAGAAGATTGTGGTCTCTTCATCCACCCCCATCCCCGGATCCTTTACACCAGGCCTTAAACCTGGGCCCACAGCGGTTGCGGAAGTTCGTCCCCAGGCTGAATCATCGCTTCGCGGCGGCAGCTTCCAAACCCGGCCGTTTGATGTGCAAACTCGGGACGGGTGGATGGCGTCGGCGGACGGAAGCCAACGTAAGCCTCGCGACGGGCTGGTTCACCCACAGTGACCGACCACGTGTGCAATCCATAATAAGATGCAATCGAGTGGACAAGCCAGCGGCTATTCAAGACACACGTTAGCAAGGATTTCCTCAAAATCCTCCGTCGGATGGCATCGAACTCACCCAAACCCAGCTCCCCGATCATCGACCGGGCTCTCGAACACCATCTTCTCGCCATCGCGCTCGTTGTGAACACTCATCGCGTCTCGCATCTGCTGCAACTTCGCCTTCCGTTGAGGCGAGTCATGCATCAGCCCATTACGACCCACAAACACAACCTCATCCTCAGAGTCATCCTCATCAGACGACTGAGGGGCATCGGCCAGCCCCTCCTTCTGAAGAAACAGCTGCTTTTCGCTCCATCGCTGAATGAAGTGTCTTATATCCTCTTCCAGGTCCTGGAGCATACCCCGAGCGCCACGTGCGTGCTTGAGCTTCATGCGCAGCTCCTTCGGTACGCGGTGCTTCTCATTAGTCGCACCAGCGCCGGCCTGCTTGAGATTTTGGTCCAATTGCGCATAATGGGAATCCCACAACGGCGCAAGATAGTATGGCATGGGGTTGTGCCGGGTGTAGGTTGGCTGGATATCCCAGTCCTTAGAAGAAGGCGGCTCAGCCCAGGGATTGTGCAGGAGACGATCTGATTTCGAAAGCGGTTAGTGGATCTGATATGTCGACTAGCTAACGGCAGCGAGTGAAGTCTAGTGCGAGACATCCAAGCAATGCAGTTGCAATTGAAGGGGACCAACCGTTTTCCCAACGTTGTCTACGACGGCTGCCATCCTTCCCCTTCAGGAGAGCCTCGCGCCTCTTGAGACTGTCGCGTCGCAAGGGTTCTCGGCGACGGAAGCTGACCGACGCCACTTGTTGAACATCCTTTGTTGAAGGTTGACCAAGAAGCTTGACGCGAGCCGCAGACGCGCTTTCTGTCTTCGGTACCGGGTCATCCAAAGGAATCGACAGAGATACCATGGTCCCGCGAAAGGATGTCCGCGTCGATGTAGATTGCGACAAGGAGACAACTCGATCGCTGGACGAGACCGGCCCCGAAATGGTCAAGTTTTCCAGAGAGGCAGCAGCCTGTTCTGTCCAGATCGAAATGGCTTGGGCTTGCTGCGGCGACAGGTTGCCTCTTGGGTCTGCCTCGGACGGGAAACTGGGGTGAATCGCCATCGCGGGAGCGCAACGCGGTTCGACTGGATCGTGGAAGCGGCCGAAAAAGGTACGATGGAAGTAGAGCCTGGAGAAGATGGCGGAAGGCTCAGCACACGGATGGCGTCGCAGCCTTAGGCGATGATATCTGCTAGATCGACCAACACCGAGGAAGGATATGCAGCAAGCGGCAGTAGGTAGAGGGACGAACGAGTAATCGTCAAGGGGGAGAGGGGAGAAGGAAGAGCGGGGAGGCGAAGGGAAGGACAAGCAAGATAAGAGAGATAACCCGACAACTGCGGTTCCCGGTCGCGTCCGCGTCCGGGGGCGAGCAATTGAGTTCCGTACGGTAAAATACTATGGGTTAGCCGCCGAGAAATTTTCGAAGTCAATCATCCGTCCATGGACCTCCCTCTGATGGGACACGAGAAGCATCAGATGAAGGCTATTGGAGGAGATTGAGTTCAACCCTAGCCCTACCTACCACTTCAGGTTTGGCCTCAGGACCGCAATCATGGATGACTCACAGTGACTGGCCTGGGAGTCACTGGGTGATGTAATGGATGTAATCGGTGTATTCAGTGAACGAGAACTGGACCGATCTTATGCTGCCTGGAGCCCAGGTGTCTCAGGTGGGCGATTCCCTTGATGAGAAGTGCTGGGACTGTGGAGTTCATAGAGCCTGATCTACGGTACAAACTGAGTTAATCGCACTCAGGACGAGTATGAGTACAGTACAAGTGCTCACTAACCTTGTTGAGTGATTTCTACAGTACAAACTTGACAGTCAGGGCACAGTAACCCTAACCAGGGGGTCTGTTGTCCATCAGACAGCAATATTTACACGTACAGAGCGACTCGACGTACACTATTTGCTTGCTCTTGCCTTCCCAGATCTCCAGCGGTGAATTGACAGTGGAGGCTCCTAGCTTACTCTATATCGTCCAGCATTGTGATGTCAATTAAATGAGCGAAGTGGTCGAGTTCATTGGCGTTCTGTCTATACATAAAGAAGGATAGAAGTGCGAGCTCTTTTTCACGCTCTAAATTATAGCCATATGTGGGTTGAACAACAGTGAATGTATACGGCTGCATTGCAAGGCTCGCACGATTTAAGGTCTTTATATTATAGAGACCAAATTAGATCTCTCCATGCAGCCAAGAGCGACAATGATTTCTTTAATACCTCCTTGATAACTTGTGCAATTCTTCAAATTATACAGCACCCTTTCAACCAATGTAGAGCCATTGAGGTTTCCATATGTTAAATGGGCCAACAACCTCTTCTTATTCTCGCTCTTGTGACTCGACTATAGATTGCCTGCTGACAGGTTATGCTTGGGAACTGAGCAACCTGGAGTCGCATCCCATTACCTAAAATATGACTCAGCTAGGTGGACAACTTCACGTGAATTCATTTCTTATTTACTCAATCTTCCAGGCACACTGAATACAAACTCTGCGGTGGGATACGCTCAAGCTTCGATGGCAAGCTAACAGTCCAATAGCATGATTCTCTGAACAGTAGTCTCACACAGCCTCGGATCACCAGGAGAAGCAGTCCAAGCCTCTGCCTAAATGCCAAGTGCCAATGCCAGTCACCTAGACCTTGGAATTCCAACCCCACTGGGCGGCTAGCGTGGTCCTGTCTCTCAACCTCTAAGTGTAGTCCGCAGCAGAAGACCGAATTGATTTAGACTGCCATGATGCGAGTAAGACTAAGAATCAATCATTGAAAAAGGTCAGGTGGTTGCTGGAAACCTTAGTTCTGCCAAGTCGTACCAGCATCTTTTACTATAGCCCGACCCCGTGTGGGTGTGTGTGCCTGGCAATATTATTTAAGCAGCGTTCGTCACTGACGCAACTGGGAGGGGGCACTTGCGGTACCTTACTCCATCACCTCCGCCTCTTCTGTTGCTCCGCCGTAACATCATCGCTATCATTTATCCGCTTATTCCAAGCAGGATCAACAGGTTCTTTGAGTATTAACGCTGAACCTTTGCTCACGTCTTGCATTGCCCCCTTGATACCTTTGATACCTTTCCCATCCCGATCTTAACGCTGCTCGGGCAACCCTTACCCCCGACGACTCCTTACGGTCGTGCTTATCATTAGTCGTCAAGCGCCTGTCGCTCCCTTTCTCCGCATCACTCGACCGTAGATTGTTTCTTATTATCGCATCTGCTTGCTTTGATCTACCGTCAGATCGCCATGAAGGTTATCGCAACCCTTGCGCTAGGCGCAACAGCTTCCACAGCCGTATTGGGGGCTGTGCTACCGCAGCAAGAACCATTAACAGAACTCAGCGTTCACCATGGGCAAGAACGTTATCTGATCGAGCTTGCTCCTTATCAGACAAGATGGGTGACAGAGGAAGAGAAATGGGCTCTGAAATTGGTAAGACAATGCGGTTGAGTCCAGCCATACGAATCTCCCGCCGATTTTCCATTTGCCTATTATGCTTTCCGATCACTAACCGATTTCCTCGACGTTCGGTCTAGGATGGCGTGAACTTCATCGATATCACCGCTGAGCGAAACACTGGCTTCTACCCTACACTGAACGCCGGCAGCTATGTCCACTACCCGGTTCAGATGGAACACTCGGAGGAGGTCGCCCCACTCCTCCGCAATCTATCCAAGGATAACATGGAGAAGAATCTGGAGCATTTCACTTCCTTCCATACTCGTTACTATCGGTCAGCGACCGGCGTCGAGTCAGCGACGTGGCTTTACGAGCAGGTCCTTGATGTGATCAAGGCGTCGGGCGCCTCAAAGCATGGCGCGACCGTGGAACAGTTTTCCCACCCCTGGGGTCAATTCAGTATCATCGCCCGGGTTCCAGGCCAGACAAACAAGACTGTTGTGCTGGGTGCTCACCAGGACAGCATCAATCTGTTCCTCCCGTCGATTCTGGCGGCGCCTGGTGCGGATGATGATGGAAGTGGTACCGTTACTATTCTTGAAGGCTTGCGGGGTCTGCTGCAGTCAGACACCGTTGCCAAGGGGAAAGCCCCGAACACAGTGGAGTTCCACTGGTACTCGGCGGAGGAAGGTGGTATGCTTGGCTCCCAGGCTGTTTTCTCTCAGTACAAGAAAGATAAGCGGGATGTCAAGGCCATGCTCCAGCAAGATATGACCGGATACATCCAAGGGTCGTCTGATGCGGGCCGCAAGGAAGCCGTCGGAATCATGGTCGACTATGTCGATCGGGGGCTGACACAGTTCCTGAAGGACGTCATTAAAGAGGTAAGGCTGAAGCACCTCGTCACAGACATAGGAGCGGTCGCTAACATGCTCCTGTGCAGTACTGCAAAATAGGACACATCGAGACTAAGTGCGGCTATGCTTGCTCTGACCACACATCAGCGAGCAAGTACGGGTATCCATCTGCAATGGCAACCGAGTCTGAGATGGAGAACAGCAACAAGAAGATTCACACAACCGATGATCGAGTCAAGTATCTGAGTTTCGATCACATGCTGGAGCATGCGAAGTTGACCGTAGGCTTTGCCTATGAACTGGCTTTTGCTCCGTTCTGATACTCTTCAAGATGGTAACCATATTCACCTGTTAGCAGATATAGATGGTGGTATCTGAAAGCTAGATTTTTTGATTTGTCGCGTCGAATTCCATATTGCCAAAATGATTTATGCTGTGATTACCTTCGCGTAGTTTAAACTGGCTGTGAGCTTTGGGACATTGCGGTTCTTGGGTCAGACAAGTTGTAACCATGTCATTTGATTTGACTGACTTGTAACCTTCACTTTCTAAATCAGCATAACTTCATCAGTTGTCTTCATGTTCAGCGTGCAGTACGATAAGATAAGAAGAATAGTGTAGTGCTGTAGAGCCACTCCTGGCTAGCACTGCAGACGGAATTTCCACCAAGCCCGAAGCAGACCCGAGTTGCTAACCCAAAGGAGACGAGTAGTCCTCTCCGCCAGGCGATCACTGACTTGGCTTGCAGTGCAGAAGAATCATTATCCTTCGAAATTCCCACTCCGTTTTCGTCGGAGTCATAATTCTTTTTCTCGCCCCCGAGCCCCTCTTCTTGCTGAGAAGATAAAGTACCTCTTCCTCCTGCTGTCGTATCACACCTTGCTTGCCTCTCAAGGATTCTCAGCTCACGATAATATTTTGCTCTACGTCACCGGGCGCCCCTCTCCGACGAACAAGACCCCACACCAGGTTTCAGTCCCTGCGTGCACCTGAGTACGAGGCGGTCGCGATCCCCCTCTCTCACCGTTATTGCTCAACGTTCCGTCTTTTCTTCGATTAGACTCCAGTGGCTTCGAATACAAATCAATTCCTGCACCAGCCTTTGGCGACGCTGTCTATACCTTCTTGCAGCCTCTAAAAAGCTCACTCCCTCGAAACGCACACTAGACGCTACCTCATCATGGACTCCTCCATCCCCTACTCGAAAGAATTGCAACTGGCCTGTCTGACGGTGCAGAGAGCTACGTTAGCGACCAAAAAGCTACTCGAGGCTGTCGATAAAGGGTCGTTCGACAAGAGTGATTCTACCCCTGTCACCATCGCCGACTTTGCTGCCCAAGCATTGATCATCGCCGCTATTCATCATGCCTTCCCTGATGACGTGTTTGTTGGTGAGGAAAGCGCGACTGCCCTGCGATCCGACCCGGCCCTGCTCGAGCGAACGTGGGAGCTGGTCGCTTCTACCCGATTGACAGACGAGGAAAGCGATGCGCAGCTCTATACTCCAAAGACAAAGGAGGAAATGTTGGAGATCATCGACTTGGGGGCCCAGGGTACATGCGGCTCGCAGAATCGTGCCTGGGTGTTGGATCCAGTGGACGGGACGGCGACCTTCATTCAAGGTCAGCAGTATGCCGTCTGCCTGTGTCTCTTGGAGAATGGACGCCAGAAGGTTGGTGTTCTGGGCTGCCCAAACATGAATCTGGAGAAGGGATATATCCACGAGGATATAGTAGATCGAGAAGGTTATGGGCATCAGGTGTTTGCCGTTGCTGGTCACGGCGCATACATGAGAAAGATGGATACGGGCGCTCTCCTGCCTGCCCACAAGCTCGAGCCTAAACCTACAATCACAGACCCCAAGGACCTCGTCTTCGTCGATTGTGCGGGTGGATCATCGGATATCAACGTACATGCCCGCCTTGCATCTCAGCTGGGCGCCCCTTGGCCGCCTAAGACAGATCTCTGGGCTACGCAGTTGCGGTACATCGCGGTCGCGGTTGGAGGATGCAATGCTTCCATGAAGATCCCACGCAAGGCTTCTTATCGGTCGAAGATCTGGGACCATGCGGGCGGGATGTTGATTGTCGAGGAGGTTGGCTGCATTGTTAGCGACCTTGCTGGTCGTCCGGTTGACTGCAGCCTGGGGCGTACTTTGGCGGGATGCCACGGGATGATTGTTGCGCCGTCGTCTATCCACCAACGATTTGTGGACGCTGTGCAACAGATTATGTAAGACAAGGCAAGGTTGCTTAGTGGCCAGTATCGCAAGGAGTGAATTGTGAGACAGCACCGTGGAACCTCTTCCGACTGCTTCTCGTGGCAGACATATATCTCTAGCAATCGAAGGGGGCTAAGGGAAGACACCAGTGGTGATTATTTAGATGCTCTTGGTGGGTATACAATCATACACCCAAACAGAAGTTATCCAGAGCAGTCTGGTGGCAAGTCCACGTGCATTGCGGGTGGGCTGAAATGCAAGATGACGTGCCAATGAAGGAGGCAACCGGTGAAGCTAGCTTGAGAAAGTCGCATTGGTTGGAAGGCATACCTCACGCAGTCCAGCTGCAGGCGTTTACAGGACCGTGCACCGATCGACAGCGTGGAGACGTCGATCGGCTCTTTAGGAGCGACTGGTGAATAGAGTAGCCTAGCCTAGCGAGTTTTCCAGTGGATGTTGACTGAAGGAAGGGGTGGGGAGAGTGAAAACAGGGTTATGGCTATAGTATCGTTCCCTTCCTATATTTACTTACCAAGCAAGGCGTCCTCAGCTAAGTGAGTCTAACGTTTCTGGCGTGTCAGAGAATGAGAGAGGAAGTTGAGAGTCCAGACCAGATGATGTCATCACCAAATGCATACAATTCAATCCTTCCTGAACATGAAGTATTTTCTCGCTTTTGACAACCCACAAGAAGCAGCAATAGCTGTCAAAAATGGTCTTGTAGCAACGGTGAAGTCGAGGAAACTCAAATTCAAGGAGGTTTAATGAGGAGAAACTCAATCAACGTTGAGTGGGCAGGGGAATGGTTCATTGAAAAGAGTTACTACTGTGGCTGTTGGCCTGTCCTGTCAGGTCAGAAGATCAGGCAATGCGGGGTGCAGCCGCCGTGACGATGACGGGATGACGACCGCTCCCAAGTAATTGTTCTTCTCTTTCACTTATTATTCCTCCTTCCTCTTGTCTCTTCTCATTTTCCCATCCCCTTCTATACTATACTCCGCATCCATCTGTACTGTATCGACCATCCTCGTCGCAGTCCAGTGATTCAATCATGGCTCCTTGTGAGTAGTGCTTGATCATCCTCGCTATACTTGACTATTGCATATCATTACTGACTATCTTGGACCCAATCCAGATAATCCGTTCGCCAGGCACGAGTCCCATAGCCGCTCTACCTTGACTGCCTATCGCATTCTCGTTCCTTTGTCTTGGTTGCTGGTGTTGATCGTCGGCATCTACTATTCCTCCAACTCGCCCGATGATGTGAAGCATGGCCATTCCATTTGGAAGCAAGCCAACAAGCATATCACTGCCTTTAGCTTGAGTACTATCATCACACGCATCTACTGGTGAGTCTCACCCCCTTCCGTCGGAAGCAGACTTGATATTGACCCCTTATGTTCCTTCAGGGTCATCCTTCTTATCTCTCAGGTTGGCTACGTTTACCATCTCTTCTCGCGGGATGCTGTGCTGGTCACCGGCGCAGCGAACGTGGGGACCCATTTCATTCTCAACAACCTGTTCACCTTTGCCTGGATCCTCCTGTGGACCCGCAGCCATTTCTGGGGAGCGGAGATCATCCTGATTGCGCACTTCATCAACCAACATGCGACGTACTGGCGCCACCGCACCCTGAGCCCGCTTGCTCACCTGTCCGCCGTCGCGGCTCCTTTCGCGTGGACCCTCATCGCGCTCTTCTGGAACGGTGCCGTTGCTGTCAACAGCAACAGCCTGCCCGCAAGGGTCGTCGCAAATATCTTCATCTGGGTGCTGTTCGCCGTGGGATCCGGTCATATTCTCGTGGCCCAGGATGACCTCCTCGGTTATAGTTTGAGTCTGCTGACGCTTGGTAAGTACTACATAATCGCCTGGTCGAGCCCCTATAGCCATGCTAATCTCTGGTTTACAGCCCTTGCGGTCAAGCAAGTTGGTGTCAAGGTGATCTCGTTGCAGTGGATCTTTGCCATCGTCATCTTCGCCATCTTCTTCGTGGAATCCCTCTACATCTCCATGACCAAGTACACCGGCCGCAATGTGCTGCTCCGTAGAACTGGAGAGTCCCGTACCACTGACCGCGAAAGAGAGCCTCTCCTTAACGAGCCGACGGCCTGAATATAGGTGCTGTCCACCTGTGTTCCAAAGTCACCAGGAACACTGGCTAGCCTGTAATCCTGGTCGTGGTCAAAATGGAGTTGTTATCGAAAAAGAGTTAGTTCGCGCAGATGGTTTTTCTCTTCCCTTTCTACGCCTTTTGTGGTCCCCCTAAATGGATATGATTCATGATGGGGTCGGGTGTTGTAATGTTGACTATGGTCAGATGTCTATTGTGTCTCTGGTGGATCTTCCCTCCCATGTACATTTGTTGGCAGTTGTAGCATGGCGTTTCTTTTCCATGGGTCCGCTGGGTGATTTTGTCTCGGTTCCGTCGATCTGTCCCCACTGTATCCCCTCTTTAGTCTCAAATTGAAAGTGATTCGGTAATGATAATTGTTGAGGAATACCGATATCCTTCAGAAACACTGCTGATGGTTGGGTCGTCGGGTTTTAAGATTATGTGCTCCACCGCGCGTGCCTGAGGAACCAAGAGCCCGTGCGGCTTCGTTTCCATTGTTTGTACGAGCGCCGGGACGACAGGAACATAAAAGTAAATGACACAATCACATCCCTTCAAGGTCTAATTTAACTCAATTTACAAGTTCCTAAAGGTTCCTACTAAGTCTACGGTTCTTTTCCATCCGCAGTCCCACCAGCCGATATGTTTCTAAGCTGCAAGGATTATGGCCCCGCCCGTTTCCCCAAGCTCTCTGGTTGCCCTGGTGACAACCACCCTCTCCACGGTGTGCCGGCGGTCGTCAGCGCCGGGCTCGCGACTGGGTTTAGGCGCCCATAACCTTGCCCGGTCTCTTAAGAGGAGGAGCACGGCTGACACGTTAGGATTTTGTTTGCTTGCTTGCCGTGGGTCGGTGTTGAAGAATTGATTTTCTGAAGACCGTGGGATCGTTGTTTACAACCGCTGTGCGTCTCCCTCCCACTCAACACTTCATCCGGAGGGTTACCACATACTTTAATCGCACGATCTTCTCAGACACATTCCTGGTGATTTCCCAAAGTATCCTGGGGGACTATTTGGCTGTTTGGGCTTGGTAACCAGCTTGACTGTTGGCTGCAACTTACTGTGAGTGCTCTATCTCTTGTTCTCCGGCTGGTGGCTGAGATGGATGGGAGAGGACAAGGCTAATTTGTATGCCCTCTTCTTTAGCAGCCGAATAGGCAGAATCGTGCTCCGACTTCCTAGAACGATAGACCCGAGAACCCATCACATTGGGGCACGTGCTTAGACGAGACAACCCCGAGGATCGGCCGTAGCGCTGCATTTGGCCGGTGGATAGATACTATGAACAATTGAACACGTGTGGGACGGACAATCACGATGTCGCAGCGCTATATACCGGCACGGAGCCAAGAGGAAGAGCCACCGGCGTACGGTTCGTATGGAGATGGCTCTTATCTCGACTCTTCGCCCGCAGCGTCACGTCTCCATGGAGCCACAATGCGATTGCTCCCCACGAGCTCGGCGGTAGAGAGTGATCTGAGCGGAGGCACTGGCATGACCTCAGAGTATCACTATGGTGATTCATTCACTTATGACGCAGGGTAAGTCACTTTCATTTGAGTTCACCCCAGTTTGTCGACTTGTATGATTCTTCGGCATGCTGGCGGAGCCCTTTCTGCTATCCCCGTATACTACCACCATACTTGAGCCCCCCTTGTTTGCAGCCTCCACCCAATCATAACCTGGGTTCGGAACAAGCTCAAGGTCCGGGACTGAAGAACCCAAACGTTGTTTGCAATTTGTACCTGTGGTATAAACGCACAATTTCCACACCGTTTCAGGATCTTTGTCCATCACAACTGCCTCTTGCGAAACTCTTCTAGCGGGCATAGCATCCGCTAGAACCATCCGTCAAGATGCTTTTCGAAATGTTCTATATGAGGCGAACTGTTAACAGGAATCGCAGAGCGGAACAGCAAGAGCAATATGCTCAGAGCCAATATCAATATGATCCGGGAGACTCCCCGTCGAGACCTACATCGAGCCTTCGACACGCGCCTACCATCCCCCCACCGGTAGCATCCTCAGCCGATCTACCGCACTATGCGTCTCGCCCCGGTTCGCCTACGCGCCCTTGGTCACCGTCCCGCGCACCCAACTGGAGCGGACCGCCAGCCCCTCCGTCCGTGGTCAGCTCGCATTATGAGCGTGCAGACCTCAACGGCAGCCCTAGGCCGGGAACTCCGAGTTCGAGATACGGGGGCAGTCCCAGACGACCGCTTCCCCCAGCACCACTGTTTGCACCCCCCGTCGGCTATGACGCGAGTATTCCCATTGGCAACTCAGACGAGGATGTGTTTGGCGGTGGTGGCCGCAGTACCGACCCCCACTTTGACAACCGCGCCAGCCTGCAGTCGTTCATGAGCGAATCGACGATCATCACGGACGATAAGGACGCAATGGCGAAGATCGACTTGGACGACGAATACGACGAACGCGGAGAACTTGTCGATCCGAACTTGCATTACGGCCCACCCCCGGAGAAGCAGAGCCGCCGCGGTGTCCGAGAAGCCCAGATGTCGAAGAAGGAAGTGCAGCTCATCAACGGCGAACTCATTCTGGAGTGTAAAATCCCGACAATCCTGCACAGCTTCCTGCCCCGGCGAGATGACCGCGAATTCACGCACATGCGATACACCGCTGTGACTTGCGACCCAGACGACTACATCCAGCGAGGATACAAACTCCGTCAACAGATTGGCACGACTATGCGGGAGACCGAACTGTTCATCTGCATCACCATGTACAACGAAGATGAGATTGGCTTCACTCGCACCATGCATGGTGTCATGCGGAATATCAGCCACTTTTGTTCACGCTCCAAGTCCCGAACATGGGGTAAGGATGGATGGAAGAAGATCGTCGTGTGCATCATCGCAGACGGACGAAAGAAGGTCCATCCCCGGACGCTCAATGCTCTCGCAGCCCTGGGTGTCTACCAGGAGGGCATTGCCAAGAACGTGGTCAATCAGAAGGAAGTCCAAGCCCACGTTTATGAGTACACGACGCAAGTATCCCTTGACTCGGATCTGAAATTCAAGGGAGCTGAGAAGGGCATGACGCCCTGTCAGATTATCTTTTGTCTCAAGGAGCACAACAAGAAGAAGTTAAACTCCCACCGTTGGTTCTTCAACGCGTTTGGGCGGGCCCTGCAGCCCAATATCTGCATTCTTCTGGACGTCGGGACCCGGCCAGAGTCCACGGCGCTCTACCACTTGTGGAAAGCATTCGATCAGGATTCAAATGTAGCCGGAGCTGCTGGAGAGATCAAGGCGGGCAAGGGTAAAAACATGAGAGGCCTCCTCAACCCACTGGTTGCGAGTCAGAACTTCGAGTACAAGATGTCCAACATTCTGGACAAGCCTCTGGAGTCAGTGTTTGGATACATCACTGTCCTTCCCGGTGCACTCAGTGCATACCGATTCTTTGCTTTGCAGAACGACGCCGACGGCAATGGGCCTCTGAACCAGTACTTCAAGGGTGAGACGTTGCACGGCAAGGACGCGGATGTCTTCACAGCGAATATGTACTTGGCTGAGGATCGTATTCTCTGCTGGGAGCTGGTGGCCAAGAGGGAAGAGAGATGGGTTCTGCGATTCGTGAAAAGTGCTGTTGGTGAGACCGATGTTCCTGGTCGGTGAAAATCTCTCCGCAGCCACCTGGCATGACTAACTATCCTTACAGATACTATTCCTGAGTTTATCTCCCAGCGTCGGCGATGGCTGAACGGTGCATTCTTCGCAGCCGTATACTCGATCGTCAACGGAAGGCAGCTCTGGAAGACTGACCACTCGCTGGTCCGCAAAATTCTTCTGCAGATCGAGAGTTTCTATCAGTTTATGCAGCTCCTCTTCACGTACTTTGGCTTGGTAAGTGCATACGGTGATATGGACAGCGGGAGACTTACATTGGGTTAGGCGAACTTCTACCTGGTCTTCTACTTCATTGCTGGATCGCTTACCGACCAAAAAATCGACCCCTTTGGACACAACATCGGGAAGTACATCTTCGTTATCCTACGGTATGCCTGCATTCTGGTCATGGCCCTGCAATTCATCATCTCGATGGGTAATCGACCACAAGGGTAAGTTTCCTTCGTTCCCGGCACCAGCAGCAATTCTGACTTCCTGCAGTGCCAAAAAGCTCTACCTGTCCGGTATCATTGTGTACGGTATTATTATGTTCTACACAATCTTTTGCACGCTATACTTGATCGTCATCGAGTTCATGGCAAGATTTGGTGGATACACAAAGGTCACTGTTAGCAACGGACTGTTTGTGAATATCGTCATGTCCATGCTTTCAACCGTGGGCCTTTACTTCTACTCGTCCTTCCTATACCTGGACCCCTGGCACATGTTCACCTCCTCCGCACAGTACTTTATCCTTCTGCCGAGCTACATCTGTACTCTGCAGGTCTACGCCTTTTGCAACACCCACGATGTCACCTGGGGTACCAAGGGTGACAACGTGATGAACACTGACCTTGGAGCTGCACGAACCATCAATGGCACCACGGTCGAAATCGAGATGCCCTCCGAGCAACTCGACATCGACAGCGGCTACGACGCCGCCCTGCGGAACCTCCGTGACAGGGTGGAGGTTCCTGAGGCGCCCATCTCCGAGAGCCAACTGCAGGAAGACTACTACCGCGCCGTGCGAACGTACATGGTCTCCATTTGGATGGTGGCCAACGTCGTTCTCGCCATGGCGATCTCGGAGGTCTACGGCCCCGACTCGGGCGGCACGAACATCTACCTCTCCATCATCCTGTGGTCGGTGGTTGTTTTGGCGCTCATCCGCACCATCGGATCCACCACCTACGCCATCCTCCTGGTGGTGCAGAAGATCGTCGAAGGCAAGACCAAGTTCGATGCGGGCAACCTCGCCAACGCGAGTGCAACGGCTAGCTCGTCGGGCCGGACGAACACCACAGCTTACCGGTACGGTGGAGGCGCGACGATGAAGGATAAGTTTTCGGAGGCGGGATGGACGATGAAAAGACAGTTGGGGAAGGCCATGTTCTGGAGGAAGTAGACTTCCTCTCCACCTGGTGCTCTACTCTATTTCCTTTGCTTTCCTTTTTTCTTATATCCCATGTGCATGACTTGATGGCATGGTTTGATTTGCAGATTACTTATGTGTATGTATTGCATGATGATTGATGGATAACGGGACATAATGGATATACGTGATGCATGCCGAGCACTGTTTGCATAGGTTACTACTCCGGGGGAATCGCAATCGTCCCCTCGGACACCTTCACAGCACTCCCCTTGAGATCCACATGCGCAATCGTCCGCGCATCGTCGCCCATCTCTACCACCACGCCAATCTCACTCCGTCTCCCCATCTCCACCCCCTGCACAAACTCAAACCCCCTCTTCTTCACCGTGGGTGTGCCCCCCTCCGTCAAAGTTAGATAAGCCGCCAACCCACACGCCGCGCTCCCCGTCGCCGGATCCTCGACATTCCCAATCATCGCCCGCGTGCGTATCACCTCTCGGCCGCTATCCTCGTCCGGCACCCCCCTCACGTAGAAATAAAGCACACAATGCCCCACCGCCCACCCATCGGCGACATCCATAAACCCACTCTCCGGCCCCACCACCTCCCCGCCGGCGGAGGTCGTCACCGCCCCCAACGCCGCCAACGACGGCACCTCCACATGCACCTGCGACATGCCCCTCACGATCGAGAACACGGGGAAGGAGATTTCTTCCTGTTGTTTCTGGTGCTGCTCCCCCTGGTCCGAGTCGTTTTGTGCAAAGAACGGCGCCAAAGACCCGTGCAGCCGCAGCAGTTCGCGGAGAGGGAACCGCTTCCCGTGCTGGTGCGGGTCATGTGCGATCCGTGCGGTGACGCCCTCGGCTGCGTCTGGGTCTGCGCCCTTCCCCGGTGTCGGTGTCGTGTTTGAGGGGATGCTGGGGTTGGGGCTGGGGCTGGGGCTGGGGCTACTCGCGGGGACAGCGGCGATGGGGATCGTCCCGGATTTGGTGATGAGGTGCGTTATCCCGTTTTCTTTGTTGTGGTTGGAGGTAGAGGTAGGGGTAGAGGTAGGGGATGAAGGACGCAGGTGGAGGAACCAGACGGCCGCGCCGATGGTGGGGTGGCCTGCGAACGGGAGTTCGGAGGTGGGCGTGAAGATGTCGATTGTGCGGTGGGTTTTGTTGTTGTTGTTGTTGTTGCTGCTGCTGCTGCTGCTGTTACTGGAGGGCTCGGGGTGGATGAAGATGGTTTCGGAGAAGTTGAATTCGCGGGCCAGGGTTTGTTTTTGGTGCTGGGTTAGGGTTGTTGTGTTGGAGGTGGAGGTGGAGGTGGAGATGGCAGGAGGTGGAGGGAGGAAGACGACGGCTAGCGGGTTGCCTGTGTAGGCTTTGCTGGTGAAGACGTCGAGCGTTATGTAGTTGACGTGGCCGGGGGGTGGGGGTGGGAGTGGCATTTTGGGTGTTTTGGTATGGTTTAGTGTATGGGGTGTGATGCGTGGGGAACTTGGGTTGGTGGAGGAGGTTCTAGAAATGCTTTTATAGACGTTGTTTACTCCGCCTGTGAGTCATCCGTGTAGATTAAATCACTTGTACCTGCATTGTGTTTACAAATCGATGCTACAATGCTGGGATCGTGTAATTGACGCTTGGACGATTCGTTCATGGCTCATGGCTGGCTCGTATTCGGGGTATAAGCCGGTGGTTGCATTTCTTTTTACAAGGATTTAGGTCGCTGGATGGCTGGCGTACATCCATCCATGTCCAGGTGCTGGATGTCCAACACAATGCTTCCACAGCACCAAGATCTCCCGCTCATCACATCATTAAGCTACAAGTAAAGACCATCTCAGTCCGAATCGCTGTCGATCACAAATCCGGCGCGCATCCGCCGGCGTGAAGCAGCGGCAGCGACCGGGGCATCGTCATCCTCCTCATCCTGTGCGCCGCCTTCAACCTCGGCTTCGCTAGTATGTGCGGCTTCATCGTCGCGAGCAGGTCCCAACAGGTCCTCCCGATTGCGACTGAACGCGAGGTCGTCATCGAAATCCAGAAGATCGTCCAGTTCATCCCGGGGCATGTCGTCCTGTGGCGACTCCGGCGACAAATCCCCGGTGCCCCCCATGATGATATCCTCGTCCTCGTCTGCTCCAACAGTCTGACTGACTCTCCGCTGTCGCTTGTTCTGGCGCTTGCCTTGCCCTTTCTTCCCGCTGCCGTTCAGCGCTTCTGGCGGAACCCCGTGGAGCATGGCCTGTTTGATGCGGTCGGCCTGCGCTTTGCGGCGCTGTTCCTCCAGGCGGAAGAACTTCTCATCTGCCTCATCGTCCGTCTCCTCGTCACTGGCATGTACGTAGAGGTCACTCTTAATCTTCGCGATGCGAGCTCGAGCATTCTCCTCGCGGGCGCGCCGCCGCTCCTCGAGGGTTGCCTCGTCGAGGGGTTCGCTTTCCTCGTCCTCATTCTGCTTGCGCTTCTTGCGCTTCTGCTTCAGCGCCGAGAGCGCATCCGCCTTCGCCCGCGGATTCGCCGGAAACAAGAAACCGTCGGGTACTTCATCTTCGCCCTCGGAATCCGACCCAAAATTGATGCCGTCTTGGGCCTCGGACTGGGGGTTGTTCTTTTTGGGACCGTACTTGCGTCGGATCAGTTCACGCGGGTCCCGTCCGAGATTTCCCCTCTCCGCTTTGGCAAGATACCTGTCAATGAACGACTTCATCTCTCGCAGATACTGCGCCGTTGCCGTGGAGGGGATCACCCAAGAGGCTCCCGCTATGTCTTCCACACCAAGTCGCTCGAATTTGACGAGCGTCATCAGGAGGCGAAGCTTGGCGTTCGAGAACATGGCGTTCTGGCATGTTTCGTCTCGAGGTTTCACAGCTGCGCAACGGTCAGTACATGTGTACGGTCTGCACACACCCAGGTGAAGGGACCAGGGATTGCATACATATCATTGGGTTGGGAATCCTTGCGCTCTCTGCACCTGCTGCGCGTAGGGCTCTCTCCTGCTCTTCCCAGGTATCTCGTTCCTCCACGGCCGACCCCAAGACGTCGCTCACCCACTTGACGAGGTCCGCATCCCCATCTAGAACCAAGGCAGGCACCATGATGCTCAGCTTCTCCTCGATGGTGTTTGCTTGTTTGGGATCGATCTCCAGCTCAGCGGGGGGTCTCCGGATGGTCGGGAGCGTCTGCCGCTCGTGTCCATATTCAAGATAATAGGTGGTCGCGTTGATCTTGCTGAAGAGTAGCTCGACGAACAGCGCAGGGCGCTGTTCCAGTTTCTTGGTCAATCTCCTGATGATTTGCCGGACTAATTCCTCCCAGTCTTTGAAGATTGGCTTGCTTGAATCCAAGGCTCCGGGCCCCTTGATCATGCGGTAGAAAAGATTAATGATATCGAGCCGGAAGAGCAAGACGCTCATCTCCTGCTTGAAGGCAATCCGATAAAAATACCGGTGGGCCCGTTTCAGTTGCTCCGTATTGAGCTCTCTATAATGCTTGGTGAAGTGGACGAAAGTGTCGACGCATTTCTGGTTGCAGAATTTGGCGGCGAAACGCCGGAAGTCGAAGCTGCGCTCCTTCGACATCCTTTCCGCCTCCATCATATCCTCATCCTCGGATCCGTGCTCTTCGTCGTTCTCTCCCTCAACGATCCCCTCGGTTTCCTTCTGCTTACGTCTGGCACGCCGCCGAGACCGCACCTGCATGTCGACATTCTCCTTGGAGTAGCGTTCCAGCATACGTAAGAAAACATGGGTAAGCTCGGTGCATGCGTTCAGGTAACCAAATCCCTGATCGGTATAACCGCGAACAATAGCAATCACGCGGTCATGCGTTGTCTCCTCGTAGAAGATCCGATTCTGGATATTTTCGGCAATCTCTTGGTCCTCCTCCAGTGGCGATTGGACCATATCCTGGACAGTCAACAGAATCTGCGTAAAACAGCGCATCTCGGCGATGAGATCTTGCCAGTCTTTGCTGTCGACTGCATACTGCATGGCGCGGTTCAGGAAGACAAAAGTCTCCTGGTCCAGCACACCGGCCACCAGACCGAAGCTGTCCGGCTCGATCTCCTTCCCGGGCTTCTCGCTCTGCGCCCGTTTCTCCCGCTGAAGTGCACGTCGTGCCCGTTCCGCCTGCAGAAACCAGGACACAGTGTAGAAGAACTGGCGGGTGTTGATGTCGACCACCCGATCCGCTTCCCGTTCGATTGCTTTGCGCACGTGGGTGAACAGAGGGTTGAACCCTGAATCCAGGAACTCTTCGACGAACTTCCGGAGGTTTTCCGACGCCGCCCCGTTGAGGTGCACGGGAGTGCTGAAGTCGTTGTACATGGTCAAATCCTGCACCTTCCGGCGGAATTGAGGCTTGTTCCACTTCTTGCTTTCATCCATCTTCTGGAAGGTCGTCTGGTCATCTTTGAGGACGCTCTGCCCGGACACTGTGGAGTATTTGGCGTCGTCGCGCTTCACCCAGATCATGGTTCCGAATCGGCCGTGCCGCGTGGGTGCGTTCTTCGCATATTCTCTCCGCAGCGATGACTCCTTCCGTAACAGGTCATCGAGCTCGTCGGTCCGCTTGGCAGTTCGTTGAGTGTTGTTCATGAATAGCTTCTCGACGTCGACACCCCTGACTAGATGAAACAAGATCTCCAGGAGAGCCACGTCTTGCAGATTGAAGTCGTCTCCCACATTGGAGCACATGGTGAGGAGGAGGGCGAACACGTCCTGCTCCTGAAAGGCATTGATGGTTGCCGAGCGGGACGTTTCCTCCTCATCACCTTCAGCCGCCAGGCGAGTATTCGGAGTGATCAGGGCGATATTGCGTAGGAAGAAGAGCATCAACTTGAGTATCCCCTCATCGCGAGTGGCGCGTTCGGATCGCGGGGTTGCCATGCTCGGGAGGCCGATGCGGATGATCGTGCGGAGATAGCCAGTGCTGGCATGGCTGAGAATCCCCCGCTTGTATGCGACATGCGAGTGCTGTAGGTACGGAATGTGTTTGAAGTTGTCGGCCGTCAGTTCACCTTGCATCTCCAATGGCCATGTCAGAGGCACCAAGATTTCCACTGCAAGACCCGTCAGTCACCCTGTTCCCTAGCGTAAAGATGGCACATTACAGCAGCAACATACAACACGCCAAGGCAATCCGCGACATATATTTGGTCTGCTTGGTGCTGTTCGCAAACGTCGACAAGATCGGTAGCAGATCTCCGTAGACCAGGTTCGCTTCTCCCAGACATCGCGCAACGTCCATGCGGTTGTACTTCTCGTCGTAGAGTTTCAGCCAGCGCTTGATATCCCGCAAGCATGCCAACGCATCGTCACCCAGGACGTACTTGTCCGCATCTTCTCCGTTGAAGCCTCCGAGCTATGATTGTCCACATAAATTAGGATTTCACAGCAAGGCAGTGCATGAGATGTAGTTGCATACTTACCGCGGTGACAAGACTGTAGACATGTGCTCGAACTTCCGGATCCACCACGGTGGACTCGGTAGTCGCGAGCGCTGGCTCTTCGACCTCCATCTTGGCCAATGATGCTGAACTCCTGGTCGCTTTCGACTTGAATAGCAATCGTCCATCACTGGTGATCTTTCGGGGCAATCTGGAAATGATCCGGCGCGCAAACGGGACATTGTACCAATCAGAGCGCGCACTTTACGTGTTATCGCGTCTTCCGCCTTCGGGTGCGCGGCGAAACAATTCGGCCGGTTGAGCCGAGGCTAGCCGATGACGTCGGCTCACAGGGGCCGATACCCGCGGGATGGAATGCTCCATCACAAGCAACGGAGAGACGAGTGCGGAGAACGGTGAGGGTGAAGATAGTCTCGGTTGATTTGGTTCTCTGAGCGTTTCTTCATTCCTTTACTCGATACTGAACAAGTGTCGTGCTCCTGCTACAGCCATGTTGTCGTCTTCACTCCGCTCCCTCTGCTACAGAGGCCCCTCAATCGCCTCCCGGGCCTTCAGTACATCGCCCCTCGCTCGATCTGCCGAGGTCAAGTCGCTGGGTGTGATAGGAGCTGGTCAAATGGTCCGTTCCAGCATTCTCCCCCTCCCATACATAACTTTAAGTCAGTATACTAAGTGAATTCATGCTAGGGACTGGGCATCGCGCTGGTTGCTGCCCAAAAAGCCCAAGTTCCAGTAACATTAATCGACACATCCCAAGCATCTTTAGATAATGGACTCAAGTTTGCCGGTAAAGCAACTTCCCTCTGCCCTTGGAGTTCGTCCCATCTACCGAGACGCCCCCCCCCCCCGCCCCTCCTTCCCCGGGGCCCCCTTTAATATTCTCGAAATGACTAACCATCCCCGCCCTCTTGTTTCCCCCCAAATGCAGACAAACTCCTCGCCAAAGATGTAGCCAAGGAGCGCCTGACGCAGGAGGCGGCGGACGCGGCGCGGGCGCGCATCACGCCGAGTCAGAAGATGGAGGACCTGGGCGGGGTGGACTTTGTGATCGAGGCGGTGCCGGAGATCGAGGCGCTGAAGCGGCGGATCTTCGAGCAGCTGGCGCAGATCGCGCCGCGGCACGCGATCCTGGCGACCAACACCTCGTCCATCTCGATCACCAAGATCGCCGCAGCGACGACGGCGGACCCGACGGACCTGCAGGCGCCGGCGCGGGTCGTCTCGACGCACTTCATGAACCCGGTGCCCGTGCAGAAGGGCGTCGAGATCATCGCGGGCCTCCAGACGGCGCCGGCCACGGTCGCCGCCGCCGTCGCCTTCGTCCGCCGCATGGGCAAGGTCCCCGCCGTCTCGGCGGACTCGCCCGGGTTCCTGGCCAACCGCATCCTCATGCCCTACATCAACGAGGCCATCATCTGCCTGGAGACCGGCGTCGGCGCCAAGGAGGATATCGACAGTATCATGAAGAACGGCACCAATGTGCCCATGGGCCCGCTGGCGCTGGCGGATTTCATTGGCCTGGATACCTGTCTGGCCATCATGAATGTCTTGCATCAGGAGACCGGGGATAGCAAGTACCGGCCTTCGGGGCTGTTGAAGCGAATGGTGGATGCCGGGTGGTTGGGCAAGAAGTCGGGCAAGGGCTTCTATGACTACTGATCGCGCGACGGCGCTGAGCCCCCTCTCGTGCATTGCGATATAAACTCTCAATCAATGCCACCATGGGTTCTTCGTTCGTTTTGCTACCATGCCTGATTTAATCCAGGATGGAAGTCGTAGTGATCAATATCTATTGTGACAAGGAGACATCTCTCTACGGGTGCATAAAGGTGCATAAAGGTATATTTACTCCATTTCTGGCAGTCTGGCAAATTGTCGGCAGAGTTAAAATAGATTGTAGATCGTTAGCACCACAATTGATTTGACAAAGGAAAAATTAAAAAGAATGGCTAAGTCAGCATCGCACGCCTCTTTGACATCAATCGCATCAAATCATTATTCCTCGCCGTCATAGAATGATGTCTCGGCGCAGTAAGTCTATGCTCAACCGGGAAAGTCTCTTACTCTCCCTGCTGGTCCCCTCCGTCTTAGCTTTGGCATTGGCCGCCTCCTCATCACGGAGTCTTTCGTTGCGGAGGATGGCAGTGACTACCGCAGACAGCTCGGCCTCCTGGTCTCGGCTCAACTTGGTGTGTCCGATAAGCACGGCCAGGAAGTCCGCGGGCCGCTGTCCGGACGCAGCGCAGGCACAAGCAGACCAAGGATCTCCACATTTGTAACTGGAGCAAGCAGTCAGCCTTTGTTATTGCTTTGATGAATGTACGCCGGGAATTGGGAACACTACCAGAATTGTGCCTTGCATCTGCAGGTGACATGGTCGCAGCCAGAGACAAGCTCTACCATGGAGCCGCAATCATAACATCGCTTCCATTGCTTGAGTCGGGCCTCCTCAAGAACAGCCGCGAGGCCGGGATCCGGCGCGCACCCTCTCGACGAATGAGCCAGGTCGCGACACCCTGAACATATCTTGGTGCTGCAGTAAGGGCACGTCTGCGATGAGGATGCGCTCCTGACATGCTGCGGCGCAATGAAGCGCCCACACGTCGCCGCTGGGCAGTACCACCGCTCTGCAGCTGGTGTCGCATACTCCTGCGCTTTCGAGATGTAGAAGCTTCTTTCCTTGGGCGTCAACACGGGCAAGATGGTCTCGACTGGGATATCTAGCTTGCAGCATCTGGGGGGGAACAACCCTTCCTCGGAGATGACCGTGAGCACCATCTGCTTCATGCATCGGCTGCAATACTTGTGTTGGCAAGGCATAGTCGCCAGGCACTCGGCGGGCATGATGTCGAGGCAGCACACACAGCGTCTACGCCACGTCAGTTAAGTCTCGAGTCAAGGGTCAACCGCGCAAGAGGGTAAACTAACTCGTCGACGATTTCAGTCTTAGCCTGTTCTTTGGTGAGCTTGCCCCGAAGCTTGGTGAAGAAGCGCTTAACCCTGGACCTTGCACGACTCTTCTTCTCGCCTGATAGCGGGTCTGGAAGAGCAGCGTCGGCCCCGGAAGAGGCACTCGATGACCCGGTATATGACCTCGACCCGCGCATGGTGCGGAGCCCTTCTGGCATCGGGAGAGCTTCAGCTGGTTGCGCAACAGCACGAGAAGACAGTCTTCTGATCATCATTGGAGGCATTCTCTTTGATGCACCACGTATTCTGCAGTTTCAGGACTTTAGAACGGATCGCGGGACGGCCCTACGAGGATTGATGGTCTCGAGGGTGGGTGAAAGCAGGTCGGACCGGTTGATTGCTGGGGAGTATTCTAGAATACTGGAATCCATAATCGCAGATCGTGTCTGGGCAGGAGCGGTTTGGCGAGAATACTAAAGCTGGGTGCCGGATATCAATAACATAATTCGAACGATGTCAGGTGGTCTGCTATTTGATATATTGAATGGATGGTCGAGGAGCTGAAAGAGCAAGAAGATCAATCGGAGGAAGAACGACATTTCGTTCTATATATGCTGTCTCCTACGCTGACCGGAATGCTCTTCCGGAAGGCCGTCGCATGATGAAATTCGGCATATGCGACAACTAAGCGGCCACGCCATGGGTACGGCGGTCGAATGCCACATGTTCAGTCTTCGTCATTCGCTACCATGGGAAATGGGAGGGTCTCTTCAATCGCTGATTCGCTGATTGTACTTGCACGGGAATTTCAGGAAATTTGGGAATGGCGCTGCGGAAAGTGTTTGGACCAACCATGGCCACAATCGAGCGTGTCAACAAGGGTCAAATGTCGGGGAGGATGGTTAACCATGAGGGTACCGGTATGCTTTCCGTCAAGCCGGTGTCGACGTGTCCAACTGTGGGGAGGGGGGAGGAAGTAGGGGAGGGAAGATGTATGGAAGGAGACTATAGGAGGAGAAGCGAAGGTGTAAGAAGAGGTTGGAGGTTGAAGGGAGGGGAGGGCGTGGAGGGGGGGAGGTTAGGTAACAACTAAGCAAGAAGCAACCTCAGCTTGATTCATAGGGATGGATGGGATGGATGCAGCCTCACCTCACCGCAACAAGCGACAATCCAATCCCATCCAATCCCATCCAATCCCATGTGACTCGCCCGCATCCTTTCTGCCCAACCGATTGACACTGCGTGCACCGTCGACTTCATCCCCTTCCAGACGCTGGGGTCGGTCAAGCTAATAAACAAAGGCCGCCATTGAGCTGCTGAGAAAAGAGATGATTAGATGGTTGTACCGTACAATCCTCGCAATGACATTTCATCAAAATGCTACGCTCGGCTGTGTCCCGCACTTTCGATCGAACCAGCTGATAACTTGAGAAAGGGTATCAAGGACACATAGCTACTACACAGTACACACGCAAACAGGAAAGGTGCCAGCCTAGAATTACAAATGAAAAGCTGCAGCTCAAACCTCCGAAGACGCCAATCGCGCTTTAAACCTTGAACTCCCCGGCCGGTTATAATGCACCAGCAAACTTCCGACCAGCCCAGGAGGAACCATACTCTTGGTATTCCTGACGAGTAATAGCGACTTTCTTCAACTCTTCTCTATTGGTGGCCAGTCGCGATGCCCCCAGCCAAGTGGATCGAATTGGGCTATCATTGAATTTCATTAGTCTCTCTTGGCTCGAGTCACAGGATAAGGGATAAGCTTACTCTTGAGGGCATCGCACTCTTACAACACACTCGGCGGATGCTAGTTGGCGCAGCTCGGTCTCCCTACACAGAGTTAGAAAACGAGTAGACCATTTCATAGGAGATCGTCTTACAGTCTCTCCATGAACCCCGGTAGTAATGAGTTCCCGCCAACAACCAGGACGTTGGCCAAGAAGGCCGGGTGCAACCCGGTAGGCAATACAGAAAGACTCTGCAGAACGATGTCCGGGATCCCGGCCTGTTTCATGCCAATGTCACCGGGAGTGAACAGGACTTCCGGGACAGTGAACCGCTCGTTGCCCAAGACCAGGGCATCTTCGGAGAGTGCCTCAGCGCAGGCACCGGACAGCGCTCCTTTCCTCTTCTTAGCGTTCAGTAATGGATCGTGTGGTCGCACGAAGCCCTTCTTTCCCGCATTGGGGTCCGGAAGGACATAGTCTACTGCGACGCCCTCTTGCGAATCAGAAAGGTCACGCTTTCGATTGCCTTTCCAGGTCTTTTCCAAGTCGCCAACGAAGTTGTTGCTCACATAGCAAACAGCCTCTTTGACCTCATTCATGATATAGGTTTCATCCACCATGTTATATTGCCGCACGGACACCATCTCCTTCAAATAATTCGTAAGATGTTTGCCACCCAGGTCGAGTCTGCGTATGGCACGTTGAAGCGGTTGGCCTCGGTAGACAGGCGTCACCGTGGTGTGGGAGTAGCCAGAGTCGATGACCAGTAAACATTCTCTTGGCGACACGACAGAATCCGCCTCTTTCACAACCGGATCTCCGAAGACAGTGTTCACCTCGTTCCAAGCATTCAACGGCGGCCCTAGATAGTGCGGCAGAATCGCATCAGCAACAGGACACAAAACCAAATGAGCCATTCGTGCCTATCTAGCTTCAGACTTGGGGGATCCGTACCTAAGCTCCTGTAATAACCGCCAAAGCCCCACTCCTCCATCACAATCTCGTCGGCGTTCTTTTGCAGGATGGGCAACGCATTGGGCGCCTCCGTCAGCACCAAGGTGGTGTCTTCCGGGTCGGTGATGCGCAGCTCCTTGCTTCGCACGGTCTTCTCGTCGAAGAACGAGTGCTCCCAGATCTCTTTCTGAGCTTCCCAGTTGACAATGTATCCCTTCTCTACCGGTCGACGAAAGGACATCTCGTTCCAGTCGGTCACATGTGTGTTGAGTTGCGAGCCGACGTATATGCGGTTCCCACGTGTCTTCACAATCGTGTTGGGTATCGTAGCGCACGCCGAAAGCGCCTTTTCCTCGTCCTCAGGAGGCGGGTATTCCGGCGCATATCCGGCTTTCAGGGTATAGGCGCCATTGTCGACAATGAAGGTTTTATCCGGTAGAGCTTGGAGGGTCGGGGCTTTGGCGACGGAAGCTCTGCCGCCAGACGGACGCGGCTTAGCTGAGCCCATGCTGAGGAAAGAATGATGGGACGGGTGCGGTTCGATAAAGTGGCTTCGGATGCCTCGAATCCATGCATGAGCAAATGGCACGGAGTCCGGAACCCAGAATTGTTGAATGTGGTGGTTCGAGTTGTTACGTGCTGGATGAATGAAATGCTCGTCCTCCGCGGCGGACGGCGATGCCAAGCAGCCAATCCTCCAAATCAGGAAACTAGGGCTCGATCTTAGGGCCACTCTATGTATAGTATACTGTCTGGTACGGTACGGTACAACACCACCTGGTCCTCGCAGAAAGCGAAGAGAGGGATGGTGGATGGAAATGTTTAGGCGTCTACCACATGATGTCGCAATGACACGACATTCATTGTTTCTTAAACAACGGACTATTACCCAGAACAAGGACATCGATACAGGACATTAAGATCTGCTCATAAAGATGATGAGTGCCGCGCAAAATCAGACAGTTTCCATACTATGTAGCAGTCCGATCTTCAGTCGGGTCGTCGAGCGACTCATATTGAGAGAGCTCTTCTGCAGTCATCCGATCCTTGAGCCATTCAAGAATGGCATCAGTACCCTTGGCGACAATCTGCCACCGAGGAACACGGAAGCTATTTCCGGCAACCTCGAACCGTCTCAGGGCAGATCCATTCCCCCAATTTCTGCTTGAGCCTTCTCCTCTCAGCAGGCCGAGCTTAGGTGGAAGCATGCCGATATCATTATTTCCCACGTCTAATACTTGAAGGCCTTGGGCGGCATTGAACTCCAAGCTGGTATATCGATTGTCTGCGGCCACAAATGCCACCAGGTTGGTGTAAGTGCGGCGTACGGCAGGCACCTGCCCAGTCAGGCGGTTGTAAGAAACATCCAGGAATGTCAAAGCCGGTGCCACAAGGTTTGTCAAGATGGGATCCAGTGTAGTAAGGTTTGTAGCACTCAGATTCAGGCTTTGAAGATTGGGAAGCGTAAGAGCTGAGGCGAAGAGTGTTGTGCTATCTAGTGGGTTGTTGGAAAGGTCGAGATCTGTGAGAGTAGACGCCAGTAAACTGAGGGCAGATATAGGAAAGTAGCGTAGCTCGTTGTGATGCAGATACAAACATCGCACTTCGCTTAAGTTAATTCGCCTCAGCTCGTCCAGCTCTAGCTCACGCATATCAGTGTAAGACCGATCAAGAACACCACCAGGCTTGATCTGCCAAGCCGCCGTCTGAGCTGGGGTTTCCGGTGCTAATGTGAACTGGGTCGCGACAGAGCCCGCGTCATCGTCGGTATCCTGAGGCTCTGGCTCGCATCGGTTTCGCAAGTCGCGCTTCAGGTCCTCAGTGTCCATGGTCAGGAACTTGCGTTCGCGAAGGGGATTATTAGCCACTCGAAACGTGAACAGACTCTCCATCAAGCCGATCCTGTCGTCTAATTTGGAGATATCGTTGCCTGTAAAATCGACGTTTCGAATATTCTTCAAGCCAATGAAGCCTTCTGGGAGATTTGGAAGGCTGTTATCTTCCGCCGACAATGTCAGCAAGGCCTGCCAGTATGACAAATCCGGCAAGGACTGGATGCGATTGCAGCTAATTGCTAGAGTCCGGAGATTGGGCAGCTCCAAAGCCACGTTTTCGGCAAGTTTCACCAATGCATTATTGGCCACATCAAGAACCTGCAGTGCTTCGAGCTTATAAATCGAAGCTGGGATGAGTGTGCCTTTCAGTTTGTTCTTTGGGGCTCGGAGCTCCTTCAGAGAAAGCTGGCTTAAGGCTTCAAACTGTAATGAACTCAGCTGATTACCACCAACATCCAAGACTCGAAGCGAGCTCAATTGTGACACTTCTGGGGGCAAGTCAGTGAGAATATTATCATGCAAATCCAAAGTCTCCAGCATATTCAGGTTCTTGATCTCTGGTGTAAGAGTGCCTTCCAATCGATTCTTGGCCAGCTTAAGATCTTTCAGGGATACCAATTCCATAACGACCTGTAAATCGTTCATTTTGAGACTATTATTTGACAGATTCAAGGTGTGAAGTCTTTGTAACCTTCTGAAGCCTATTGGTAGAGATTGTAGCAGGTTACCGTGCAAGTCTAGCAGCTCAAGCCCGCCAAATTGGTTTCCCTTCTCGTCATCAGAATCCCCATCTATATCGTGCGGGTCGATGTCAGGGAAAGCTTCTTCAGGAAGTTCCGTAAACTCGTTGTCGGCCGCAATGAACTTAACCAGGTCTACACTCTGGTACCATTCAGTAGTAGCATTAGGATCGAAGTCGTACATCGCCATAACTTCCTTGGGAAGTTCTTTCAGATACATGGCTGCTATGTTGAGATGCCCAGAGGTTCTGCCTGTTTCAAGACGTTTTCGGAGAAGACCAATATTTGAATCCTGGGGGTTCTGATTGAACGGATCTTCGGTGTTGAGCCGATCCCAAGCATCATTCGATGACGAGGGTTGCATGCGCTTTTGCGCTTCTGCTTTTCTTGCCGCCTTAGCTTTCGCAATGCTCTCTCTGAGAGCGCTTGAAGATTTTGAAGCCTTCCTTGTTTCCATCGCTGACTGTTGCTCTGGTGTTAAGTCTGATGCCGTGGATCGTGCTGACGGTGACCGGGGGGCGACCGATGATTGCCTCGAGGTTGAAAGCTTTGGCTGCGCTCTTCGTGTTTTCTTCACATCTAGGCTAGGTAATGACGCATCCGGGCCCGATCCAACGGCGCTCATGTGGGTTTGAGTCAAGGCCGGACGAGGCTTTGTCGTGATAGATGCCAGATTAGCATTTCCCTTATGTCCACCCATTCTCGTAGAGGGCAGTTTCAATTTTGATGGGCTATGTGTAGTAGCCGGGGCAAAGCCATGATCACCCGATGCAGTATTCGTGGACAAAGATGGGCGAGGTCTGGATGGCAGCCGCATGGCAGAGGGCGGTCGTGCAAGATAATCGCCCCCACTAGGTTGTCGAGATGAGGATCGGGATGGTGACCTTGAATAGCTGGTCATTGATGATGATGGGCGGGATGGGGACCGCATCGGGCTCGTTGCGCCATAGAAACTCGACTGTCTTCTACCTGGTCCTGGCGATGGCGGAATTCTCGAGAGTGTCTCGATTGTTCTCTCTGCGAGAGAAGGTCGCGTACGGCCTCGCGTTTCTGTATCTTCGACCACGATATCGTCGTGCTCTAAATATGGAGCAGTATTCGAATTTGTGTTCGCTTCGGGCTTCGCACCCCCGCCCGCCCTTGTCTGAGATCCATCGATTTTCCGAAGCCCGGTGGAGAGTTTCTGAGGCGCTGTGTATTTTGGCAGCGGTTTTTTGAACACAGTATCTTCGGAAGGTCTGCGGAGCCTGTTCGCGTCCAGGCCCGAGTCGGTTTGTAGCTTCTCACGCGATGGCGAAGGTCGGAGAGGTTTGGAGTTTGCGGATGTCGTCGGCAAGGGGAGTCTGGATGCTAAGCGGGGAATGCCACTCGCTCGGGCAGGTGTTTTTGGTTGATTGTTCATCTTTGCACCAAGTTCGTGGAGTCTTTGGCTATGATCGGCTGCGGGAAGAAATTGAAAGGGGGCACTTTCACCACTATAGCAAGCTCATTGCCGCAAAGATATATTGACCAGATGAAAATATGTCGATCAATAATGTTCGGAAGTTCCAAAGGGTTCAAGCAGTCATGGTAGAGGTCAACCGTATTGTAAGTTCGAGAGCGGGTGGTCAATCGTCGATCTGGCGCAGTGACCTCCCAGTGTGCATGTTGTCCATAAGATGGCTGTAATTATTGAATTGATTGTTTACCATTTAATTTGTAGACCCGCCGCGGCTATTTGCATGTGCTGATGCCTGAGGCTTCATATCCCCACCTTTAAGGCACACCTTGGCATCGCCATAGTTCAGAAGTATTTATTAGACGAAACGTTCAGGTTCTGGTTAGGCACTTAGCATTGCAGATGAATGTAGTCTCTTGTACTAAGGGCACTCACTATCTAGCAATCTAATACAAGGAGGATGGAATTGCTGCAGAGTCTTAGATGCGCCTGTGGGTCACAAATTCATGTTTACATGACTCTTTATATTATTACCTGCCACTGGATTGAATTTCATCTTGGAAATGAGAGAAATAGCCCTTAACTGCCTCTCTGTACACCATCTACACAGTAGTATACATTCTTTCTTGATCTAACTAGGGTGTGAACTCAGGTAGAGGTGACTTGGACATGAAGGGACCCGGCTGAGCAAGGATAGAACCACAGAATTCAATCCTAGGCCTTTAGAGAAGCAGAAACCGTGCTAGTCTCCAAAGCTCTGGAATGATATCATTCCTACCCCCGCCGATGCCTGCATTTGCTGCATTCCTTGTCTTGACAGCCACGCTGTTCGGTCTATTCCACGATCCAGATTCATTCTTGCCATGCTGTCTGACAAATGAATCGTGAGTGACGACTTACTCTATAAGTTATCTAATCGTAGGTCCTTTGTGACCCGACTACCATCGGGCTCTTGAGATCAAACGGAGTTTTATAGAGGGTCACAGGTAGAGACGGGTGACTGACTAGGTGCCCGTGAGAACTCGACAAGTTGCAAGCACGGGAATCAGCCCAATGCTAGCTGGGCTGGTCTCCATCCCTCTGCTGTCATCGTGGATCGGTTGCCTCAGCTACAATCAGAAGTGGCCCCTGGGGTTTGGGTTGTTTACCTTTTGCAAGCGTCCGCGATCTCTGCTTAGCCCAAGCAGGAAAGGTGGCCTTTTAGCGCGCGGCTGGGCTCACGTGGGTGACGGTGGTTGGAGATGGTTGGTCAAGGCTGAGCACTGCAAGCGATGGTTCCCAGCCTCCTCCAATTGTGCGCCAACTTACGCTTGCAAACACCCTTAAGGCATCAATCCGGCCCCCGGCCCCTCAGCTTCCTCCTTGCTTCTCCTCATCATATCACCTCTTATGCCCACCCCCCTCATCCATCAACTAACTAACTTCTTCATCGTCGCCCTTTCGTATACCCTTATCGCGCGTACCTGCTTCATTCCTCTGATCTCCTTACTCCCGTTGACAGCTTCCCTCACGCTTCCATACTTACCCATTTCTTCTGACATTGGTCTCCTCTGCCATACTGCCATACCCGGAGCGATCTGTTTCCCGACTTCTTATCGTCAACTCCCATACCTTGTGAAACGTGCCCGATCCGGCTATCAGTGATAAGCGCATCCCCCGTCGCAAAGCTATTACTGCGACGAATCGCGCAGCGCTTGCCGTAAATTTGCCATCCGATTGCATTCATCCAGCCTGATAATTCTGCCCACCCGCTCGACGACATACTTCGTCTCGTCGCATCCTCGCACTCACCAAGGATATTGACGTCTCGCATGCGCTCGCGCCCGACCGCCTCACGCTAAGTTCCGGCCCACCGCATACAAGGTTTGCCTACGCGGTCCTACCTACAGACTGCGTCGGGCTTGGCTGCGAACACAAAAACAGTTACTTGCCTGCTCTTTGGATGCCATATCTTGACTATGTCGCAAGAGTTTGAGCGTCCGCTCTCGCAGGGATCGCTTGCTCCCCCAGTCGAAATTTCAGGGCCTGCTACTCCGGTTAAACGGGCAAATCTATCCGCATCACCGGACTTGAGTGTCAAAGCTGGAAGCCAAGCTTCGAACTCCGATCAAAGCAAACTCCTCTCGCCCCCATCTCTACCTTCATCAGACATGACACCGCCCCCCTCATCCCAGATACCCGGAGCTCCCCTGCGGGAATCAAGGTCTCGATCAGGCTCATGCCTCGAATCCCCGCCCAATATTGAGAAAACCCTCTGTGTGGCATATGGTGCTTCGGAGAACCTTCCAACTGCCGATGAGATTGAGAATGCGGACGAATTAAAGCTTCGCATGATCGCCAAAGACCTCCTAGGTGTAGCTCAGGAAGCCCGCATGTCAGCGCTCCATTTCAAATTGCAAAACAGTCTGCTCTCATTCACGAGTAACGAAGCGATCAAGCGTGCAGAGGTCGAGCATCAACTCGCGCGTAGGGAGGTTGAGATTCTTCAGAGTTCGGAATACCGCAGTCGCCAATGCCAGCATAATATCAAACCGATGCAGTCAATTTCCAATGAGGAGCTTGAGCTTTCTCTCAAACGCAATCAGGAACTCGAGAGGGTTAACGCTACCCTTGATCGAAGGCTTCGCCGAGCTAAAAAGCTTATCGAACAGGAGAGAAACACGTCCGAGCTTCTAAGAGAGGAAAATAGAATGTTGAAGGAGCGGATCCGCGACAACCGAAGACACTTCTCTCGGATGATCGAGCATGGTCCAATGTCGCCAAGTCCCCAGAACGAGGCCCGCACTCCCCATAGAGGGACAATACCTCAGTTCGCTGACAACGCTGGTCATCATTTGAACGGAACTGAGAGACATGACCCCTTTGAAGCTCTTCTAGCAGCTCACCGCGTCCTCAACCAAGAGTCGCCAGTTGTTGCCTCGACCCCCGATAGACACCGCAATCATCGAGAGAATGCGAGTCGCCACATGCGCGGCGCTCACTCTTTGTCGTCTTTACCTATGACTCCATCCCATCCTCGGTTGCCTCACGGTGAGGGTCAAATCTATACTCCAGGGACAGATTCTTTTGATGATCGTCGTGATCGAGACAGTACCATTTCCGCATCTGACATTGAAGAAGCCGAGACCGAGGAAGATGTCCCCGCTGCAGGAATACGGACTGTCTCCAGTAGCGTGCAGCGCCGCAGTCAGTTCAGCAACCATCCAGAGAGTCGAGGCATGGCAAGTGCTGCAAAGTCGAGTACGTTGCTGCAAACAAAACTGTTTGGCCAAGTGAGGAAGTCCGGCGTTGATCGGCCCCCCAGTAAAAATCTCAAACGCAAAGCAAGTTTTGATGGTGCGACCCCGAAGAGATCAAAAGCGGAGGAGAGGGTGGGTCTCGGTATTGGCACCTGGAACAACTAGACCAAGCAGAACCCGTGCACAACGGCAAAGCGTTGCTGTTTCTGCCAAATCTGAACCATTATCAGACATAGTATCCTGCCGTCAATGACGTGAGAGATGCTTTCCTATGTCGACGCGGATGGTCTGATCGCGTTATACCTTGCTTTCTGCATGAGCCTTTTTCCCAGGACATGGAAAAGTGATGAGTGATGACATTTTCAAAGAAACGATGAAAAAGACTGGTCTTATCTAAGGGCAGCTTGTTCCCCTGTGTGATCTTATCTGCCCGGGGTCTTGTCTTCGATATTTTTGCGTTGACTTTCGAGCATAGCTTGTGAACCACCAGGGGCTCTTACTTGAGGAGTTATTGATCGATTTAGCGGTAGTAAAAAGATGAATGAAATTCAAATTGAGCTGAGCTGAAGCACATTGGCAATGGGATCTTAAATGGTATACCAGTGAAGACCGGCATTCGTGGAAGTAGATCGTCAAGATATGAGACGGGTGGTCTGACTAAGCAATATTGACAAGTGACAAGGAGGTCAATGGTACTATAAGGTATGGATAAGGGGAGATAATGTGGTCCGTAGGGTTGGTCAGTGAAGCTGCATGTAAGAACGATGAAAGTGAGCCAGAACTATGACTTCTTCATCACCAATTTTTCATCTACTGGGGTATTCAAGCAATGGCAATTGCAGTTCGGAAAAGGCGGAGACGAAGGCGGACAAGAGGACGAGCATTCCGGATTGGGTAAGCAGGGTAGGGCTCGCTAAGCGAGGCGATGCGGCTCTGCGCGGGTTAGCCACACCAAAAAAAGTTCCACCTAATATTGAGGCGAGTCGTTTTGAGATACGACCGGCAACCACCCACGACGACGACGACAATCTCCCGGCTTTGATCCCTATCCGTCACAATGGTGCGTTATGCGTCCCTCTGCGAGACCCTCTTGATCAATTACGATGGTCATGGGCTTTTTTCCTGTCTCGCTACGTCGGTTTCTCGACACGGTGGATGCTGATCGATTTCTTCTTGGTGTGATATAGGCGATCAAGCACAACAACCAGATTCTCAACCAGCGTGAGTAATGCACCACCCGCCACACGGAGCGAATATTGCAGGGCGAACGAGAGAGGGATGGAGACGATAAGAACGAAAAAAATAACTGGATGATGGACGATCGAATGGGGTCAATTTGGAATTTATCATGGACTGATGGAATTTTTTCATCTCAGACTTCCACAAGGACTGGCAGCGTCGTGTCCGCGTGCACTTCGACCAGGTACGCTCTTTCTACTCTACGATACGAGATCACGATCCTCTCGCAATTTCGCCTTGATTCGAACGACATGGGAAAGAAAGGATCGATGGGAAAAGATGGTGTGGACTGACCTGTTTTATTCTCTGGTTTATAGCCTGGCCGCAAGCACCGCCGTCGTGAGGCTCGTCTCGCTAAGGCCGCCGCCGTTGCTCCTCGTCCGGTTGACAAGCTGCGCCCCGTTGTGCGCTGCCCTACCGTCAAATACAACCGCCGTGTTCGTGCTGGCCGTGGTTTCACCCTTGCTGAGCTGAAGGTAAAGAGACACTCCCACGAATCCTGAAGCGAAGAATGATGAAGGGGGTGCCACCGCTGGGAACCTGTCCTATGCGACCTGGGACCCAGCGGCACGCACGGGAAGGAATCAAATGAGGATGGAAGGGCTTACATACTTGGTTTCGCACTTGAACAGGAAGCCGGTATCCCCAAGAAGCTGGCTCCCACCGTCGGTATCTCCGTTGACCACCGCCGTGTCAACTACTCCAAGGAGTCCCTCGTCGCCAATGTCGCCCGCCTCAAGGACTACAAGGCTCGCCTGATCCTCTTCCCCCGCAAGAGCGGTCAGTTCAAGAAGCTCGACTCTTCCGCCGAGGAGGTCAACGCCGCCAAGGCTGCCTTCGCTGAGGGCAAGACCGAGGGCTTCGTCACCCGCGTCAACCCCACCCTCCCCATCAAGAACGTCTCCGCCGCCGAGGCCGTCACCGAGGTCAAGCGCGACGACCTCCCCAAGGGTGAGGAGGCTGCCTACCGCCGCCTCCGCGAGGCCCGCTCCGAGGCCCGCTACAAGGGTGCCCGCGAGAAGCGTGCTAAGGCCAAGGCTGATGAGGAGTCTGCTGCCAAGAAATAAATGTGATTCACTACTAATGATGATCGGGTCGATTTTCAAGTCGGGGATTATTAGTCTACTGTGGCATGGCGTGGCTCCTCTTTTTCCTCTCTTACCTTTGTCCTTAACTTAAAAAGCTTCCCAAACACCTCGAAATGCAAATGTCCCAAGTTCATGTCCCACCACTACGACTTTCGATTTTTGTCCATGGTCTTCCCCGGACTTCGGTTCTGTCATCAAAGTTTTTTTCCGTCTATCACCAGAAATCACACCAAGACCTTGCAGATACCCCCCCCCCCCCCCCCCCCCCCCCAATCAAAAAAAAAAAAAAAAAAACACACCGCATAGTTTTAGGCCGAGAGTGGAGTCTTTTGTCCCTTTGTCAGTCAGTCAGCCAGGTTGACCCCCCCCCCCCCCCACCACTTCAGAATTACCTAACATGTTCTTCCTGATTTGACGAGTAGACGGTAGAAGGTCAATATCACGGTCTTTCCATCTGGTTGTATATGTGGTAGAACAGAAAATCCTTCAAGGTCTAGTATCCAACTTCAAGTCTAGTTATGTGCTTGATAGAGGACGTAAGTGGGGAGAACATATGGGCCTAGATCGCTCTCTGTAATAAGAAACTACCCTGTCGAAATGTACGAAATCAAGAAGGAAGATTCGATGCTGTCATTTATCCTGATTATGTGCAGGCATGCCGAGGGGTGGAAGCTTGCATTCGGATCCGCTCTCCCTATCACACCAGGCCCAGCAGCCTATCGTATGCGAAATGAAATCGTTTCATTGCACCCCCCCCCCCCAACAACAGAGATTCCCTTCAAACGACCCGTGGTATAAACCGTACTTCAACCCTATACCAAACAAGTACTCATAGAAACTCCCAGGTTCGAAAAAAGAAACACGCCAAACCTTAGCCCGCAAGCAACAACGCCACACGCATGGATTCAATCAAACGCCATAGACATAGATGCGTGTAAACACACTTGATCATTACCTAGATATTCTTCAACCCGTTAGGTCCGATATTTCTAAGGCGCACCATGCGTGGAACCATGATCGAGCTCATCCCTATCTCCAAACAGAACTTTAACAACGCACTGCGTAGCCCGCAATATGGCGCCGGTTTGGGTCTCGCTGAATTCGCCGGTGGCGCCTTCAGACTGGCTGTCTTGATTCTCCGTTAACATAGTATGAAACAGCTTTTTACACTCTTGCTCGACTTTTTGGCCAGGGGCCCCGTCGGAGGTGATGCTCGAAATGCTGATTCCGGGGACAAGCTGGGGTTCGCTGGACCATTCGTCGATTCTCAACTCACATGAGAGAAGCAGGCTGAGGCGTCTGGCCTTCGATTCAAAGAGTATAGACGTTCGCTCGAGGTGAGGCAGAATGCGGCGCAGATCCAGCGTGCTTGGTTTGTCGGAGCCTGCTGGAGGGGAGGCACTGGGCCTCCTATGGCCAGGGATCAAATCTGCATGTTGCTCCTCCATCTGTGACCACAGCTGTGCCCGTGATATTACAGCTTCCCAGTACCGATTGATCCCCCAGCAAAGTCCCGTGACGTCAAGTCTCAGGAGCGGGTTGGCGAGTCTGATCTCCGTCCAATGCTGTAAGGAGGCGGGCATTTTGGCCTTGTCGGTTTTGGTTGTAGGTGGTACTCGTATTGAGACCAGGGTTTGTGTCTGTGGATTGGCGTCATACGTAACGGCTACATGGAAGCGATCGGAAGGGAACGGATGCGGCGCGGTGAAAGTTAGAACATGTCTCTCCAGGGAGGGCTCAGTTGGGGTTGCTGGGACAAGCTCTGAGAATGCGGTGAGGTCCAATGGTGCAAAACCTGTGAGATAAGGTTTCTTGTGGGCATGTTCGTCCAGCGCGAACGGATTGATCGGTAGTGTATCTTCAGTCGGTGGGGGGGGGGCCTTCGTAGCGAACGGAAGCAAAGCCGCGATAAGAGACGAGATCGATGTCGCAGTTGAGCGAGGACCATATGGCGCTGTTTCTGTAGGGTGAGTGGATGATAGCAAGGCACTAGGACCGGTCAGTGATCGTCCTACAGCAGTTGTCAGGAGGAGCTTACATTAACTTTGACAAGTCACGTTCGGTATGTTCATCGCCCTGGCTCAACTCCTTTGACCAATCTTCCAATTCGGCAAACTCCCTCTTGAGTTGTTCCAGCTCGTCAGAGAGCTCATTCCTCAGCTTTCGCTTTTTCAAGATGTGCTCCGGGAACGACACCCAATCCATGGTGGGTTCCGATTCCGTCGTATCGTCCGCCTCTCCATAATCGACGCTCCTCAATCTCGAGGGCGTTTGCTCAGGATTGTCCGTCGTTCGTCGTCTCCCCCATTTCGCTTGTTGTGAACTAGGGCTGCTGCTAAGAAGCCCCTTTGAGCGTCCCGGGGGCGGTTCCAACCCCAGCTGTGTCGGTGTCGGCGGAAGATCCGGCTCTTCGAGTATCTCCTGTAGAGAAGGCTGATTGAGGTCCCCGGTCACGCTACCCAGCTCCGATGTGAGTTGGTCATCTGGCGTATTGATGTGTCGCGGTTCCTCGATACTCCGCTGCGTCGAAACGGGGGACCCAAAAGCCAAATCAGCGGCGGTTATTCGAGTTGAGACTCGCCTCGGTGGCGCAGCAAAGACATTGAGACTGCTTGGTAGTCGGGGCGACGGCTTCGCCTTCTTGGGAGGTTTCAGTGGACTGCCGGACGAAGTCAATGATGGTCGGAGAGCCTTCCGGTCTCTCAAGCCGACAGCCCGCGCATCCGCCTGAGTCGGTCTCTGTGGGCTTCGCACGGGCGATTTGCTCAGCGCGCGTTCGAGGAGAGTAGGGTGTGCTCTTGCTAAGCTGGCTCTTGTCGGTGCCTGGAACGAGGCACGCTCGTTCGTTTCTGGTTGCGCGACATTCAGTGGAGGAGGAGGGTTGCTCATTTGCGACGCGCTGACATCAACAGCCACTGAATCGCTCCGCACAGGTGACTCTCGGAGTGCGATACAAGCGCTAGAATAACCACCCTTTCTGGTATTGATTGATGTTGTGGAAAGAGATCAAAAAGAAGTTTGCGTATAAGAAACAAACCGAGCTGAAGTTAGATTGAGCCGGTGTTTACATGCGCCCGGACGGTAAGTCAACTAAGTTAAGGTTTGCACTGTTTGCCTCCATGCAATCAATTCCTCCCGCCCGCGGAACCCAACTTATGACATAACCGACCGCATCGGCGATCCTAAAGTTCCTCTTTCTGCCCACTTTTCCTTCCCCTCCTCCGTCGACACACCAGAACAAATGGAACGCCCCTTCCTGGCTCTTGCGCCATTCTTCGCGCGAACAACAACATTAATCAACAGCAGCAGCAGCAATGGTCTGTGTCGATGGTCGCAAATCGCGCCTTTCATTAGCAGACAACATGCATTCTCCTTCTCCGCTCGCCCTCTAGCCACGCATGACCACGCCGCCGCTCTGCGCAACGGAATGGTCAAGGCCAGCGAGAACGGGTATACACAAGCGCAACCACTGGCCGGCTACTACCACGATATCCTCTCGACCCGCTCCCCGTACGACCGGCAGACCGGTCCCCCGCAACAACCCCGCGAGCCACTCGATGAACCGGCCGCCTCGACGGAGCCCCAGACACCGGAGGAGAAAATGGCCATTGTCTTTGGGACGCGTCTCGCAGGGCCCGGCCGGGCCTCGCGCTACGATCCCGGGGCCGCACCGGACGCGACCTGGAAGACCGTGAACGGGGTCGCGATCCCCCCGCGCCCGGAGGAACCCGACAACTGCTGCATGAGCGGCTGCGTGCACTGCGTGTGGGACGACTATCGGGACGAGCTAGAGGAATGGGCCGCGCGGCTTGCGCAGGCGAAGGCCAAGGACTCGCCCGCAACAAGCGACGGCAAGGACCAGCGCCAGACGCCCAGGTCCGAGGTCCACGCCGCCAGCGGCAGTATGGACGACGATGGCGGGGGCAGTGAGACGAACTGGACGCTGTCGGATCCCAATGAGGACCTGTTCGCCAATATTCCCGTCGGGATCCGGGAGTTCATGAAGACGGAGAAGAAGTTGAAGCAGAAACATCAAGAGGAAGCCCACACGTGAGACAATTGATGAAAAGACTTTACGCCTCTCCCGATCCCTCCTTCTTCCTTTAGACGATGATTATACCCTGTCTTCCATGATTTTGTGTGTGTGAGTTCGTGTGCGTGTGCGTGTATATATCAAGGATATAGATATTTAGAACCTCCCGGGTGTGCGTGAAGTGTATATAAACCACTATCGTAGTAACAAGATGACCCCGCAATAAATGTCTCCAACGCAATCAGTAACTGGGATATTACTCCAAGCATTCGATCCACGGTATATGTGCAAATGAACAATAATTTACTCTGCGTAGAGCATGCAAACCATAAATCAGTAGTCCTATAAAGAAATCCCAACCCAATCAACCCTTATCAGAAGATTGCAAAGCGGTGAAGACCCCCCAGTCTCCCGCATACGGATTCTGCCACAATCTGCCGCCTCGCTATCGCAAAAAAAGTTCAATATGAATGAGCCAGTTCTCTCTGAGACAATCAGAAACCCAGAAGGGTGAACCTCTACCTTACGAGCCAAGCCAAATCATCCCATCAAAGAACACCGCCAGGATGTCAATATCACAATCGGAAACAGACATCATCCTCAACAAGGCCAATGTCGCCCTGGCCCGCAGTCAACGGCTGGTCGCCTCATGGCTCCCAGCTCCGACGACGGAGGACCAAGCCAATGTGAAATCCGAAGAGGAGTTGCAGCGCGAAGAGGATGAGATATTCACAGCGGTCCCAGAAACGTAAACAAAACCCCTCTCCCATCATTTAGACACAGGAAAACGTGTCTTCCTCTCGTGAGGTATATTTGCTCGTGTCCGCTGACCTCTTTATGCTTGACGGCGATAATTACAGGCTCGGAGTTGGAGCGCCTTTGCCGACGAAAGCCGCGGATGGAAGTTGGAATCGCACGGAACTGGACTCAAATGATAAATTACGGAAACAGCTTCTCGGTCGCAATTATCAGAAAGTCATGGCGGCCAAGGCGAATGCAAAGACGGGGGCGTCCTCCGCTGGTGCCGCGACAGGTCGACCGTCGATGAAGGCGGCGGCGTCCGGCGCCGGTCACGGGGCTGACCAGGAAGATGAGGATGAGGAGGAAGGTCGCCTGGCTCTTATTGGCAGAAAGAATAACTCGTTTTCAAGGAAGAGGAAAGCAGATGCTCCTCCTCAACAAAGCCCGGGAGAAACCGAAAACATGAGCTCGGAGGCCAAGGTGACAGATGTTGGTAGCGAGGGTAAATCAGAAGGGGCTCCATCGCAACCCTCATCTGGCCGAAGAGGTAGGAAAAAGGGCACAAGCTTTTTAGATGAGATCTTGGCCGAGCGGTCGAAGAAGAGAAAGAAGAGGTGATTACTTGGTGCATGTTTCGGTAATAGACCACTCTTGTGTATATAGGCATAAATCAAACACAATATTGATACCCGCTCGATCTGGTGGCATACAGCATTGTCCATATTTCAAGCAACCACTGACCTAGACCAATGTTCGTTCGTTCGTTCTTAATTTAGTGATCATATCGATATACTCAGCATAGCCAACACAAACCAGTCTTTGCCTAGTGTGAAAGCTGAATTCTGTACATTGTCTTAGTCAAAAAGTCACTATAGATTCATCTCTAAATTAGTGTCCCCAAGCAGTATTCTGTTCCACTCAACCCAGGGTATATAGTATAAATAAACAAAAGTGGCCCAATTAGCCTGAAATGCTAGTATGCATGGTCACCTATCGATGACTGGGAGAACCAGCGGTGTGAACTATGGGAATTGATAAAGATGGTAATCCCAAGTGTTTGGTGCAGGTAACACCACCAATGATGCATGCTGTCCAAGCAGTGTAAGAGGGTAGCAGGATTGAAGAAACTCCCTGCGCAAAAGTGATAGGCTACAAACGAGCCAAGCCCTCTTTCCCACACCCTCATGAATGATTGTACAAAAAAAATGCTCCAACCCAATTGAATTATCGAGAGAGCGTGTAAGGGAGATATGAAAAATTACAGGCAGAGTGATGCCTCCATTGCGCAGACTTGGCCAGTGTACGATGGGGAGGGACTGGTGTATTTGTTGTCTTTTTCCAGATCGTTTTTTCTTTCCGAGCGTCTGCGCCAACACCCAAAGAGAAATTAAGGAGACTGTATCGGGAAATCGAGCTCGCTGCAGTCTCGTACTATGCGAGAAGCTGCCTGAGAGCGCTGCTTGAGACAAAACCGAAACTTTGCGCGTCCCGTGGTCTACTCGAGCCGCTTCCGCTTCCGATCGTCCGCCAACGCATGTTGGTCTTCGTCCGGTCGCTCAGCCGTATCGGCGGGGTTAAGAAGTGAATGAACATTGCTTGCCATGCTGGAGCGCCGTGTTGCGGGAAGGGACATTTCGTGGCGAGGGAACCTGGGACCTAGGGGCCACCCATTATCGGCGGGACCAGTCTGATCAGGGTGTAAGGGAGGAGTCGCAAGGCGATTGCTTTCCTGTAGGCGCCGTGGGGCGCCCATTTCGTATTGTGCCAACACATCGCGTACTTGCTGCTCACTTGAGGTCGGAGTTCGGTGTCGCGACGGCGACCAGGGATTCGCCGCATGGGTGGGCAAATGAGTTGAGGGGAATGGCGACACTCCCGGTGGCGGCCAGCCATGCTGTCTGATATCGGCTGAAGTATGGCGACGAGTGAGGTTGGGGCCTGGAGGAGACGAGACCGAAGATAGGGGATGAGGCACAGGCTGTTGTGGGGTGACCACAGCCGGCACCTGGGGGCGGCTGTAGTTCGGGGAGGAATGCCCAGTCCCAATCGAACCAAAGCGACGGGGGGATGCAGCCAAATGTGGGGGAACAGGAGGACGGATCATGGTGGGCCGAGACGGATTCTCCATCATCGAAGGACGACGTCCATCCTCCTGAGGGATTTGACGCGGGGACAACGGCGGGCCGGGTTCGACGGAGATATTGGCAACGTACGGCTGGCGGACTGATAGGTAAGGATCCTGAGAGTGCTCGAGAGACCGCACGGCATCTAAATGCTTCTCTAGCTCGGCTTGCATGCCGGTCACTGCTACAGGTTAGGTCACCCGGATTTCAAGGATTCAAGGCGACGAAGCTTACCATCACGATACAAGATGCTTTCGCGATCAGGAATCATCCCTTGAAGGAATCGAGAAATCGAATGTGTCCACTAATTTGAAGACGAAATCAGTACTGTCGTTGCCGCACAGCTTGCATGCAATCTGAAACGATCGGGCCCACGCACATGATAACAACGGATCAAACTCTCCGCCATCGATTGGCATCGCGCATTGAGCGCCACGTTCCCTTCCTCGGCGCGCGTGAGGCGGGCATGCATATCGAACATTGAATGTTCCAGGTTCATCAAGCGTGCTTCAGTGGCATCCGGGACAGGCTCAGCTGGCGTGCCCGGTTGCGAGGCAGCCTTGTGGCCTGGAAAAGAATCGCGGTGGATCAACGCATGGCGGGATGCGCGTCGCTTAATTTCACGCAAACCGACAAGATCGCCACGCTTGAAGTTGCCATTTCCGTGCTTGAACTCCCAAAGAGCAGAATCCGGAGACCCGGTATGAAAGACGTCGCTCACTGGTGTCCAATGGCATCAGTAACGGTGCACCCATCCATCTTCCATCTGGACCAGCATACCTTTGTGAAACCCATACATATTCAATTGCCGGACGAATGAGGATATATTGGTGTGCTTGAAGTACTGGCTGCATAGATCTGTCAGCGCCTTCTCTCATGTGGGCGATAGATCCGGTGCGCTCGAGTTGAGAAACTCACGCGAGTACTTTGGAGAATTCGGAGGTGGGCGACATAACGAAGCTATCATTGGTATTGGACCACGATATGAGGTGCTGAATGCTGGGGTCTTCGAGCATACTAATCATTTCATTTGATTGTCAGTGTGCGACACAGAACAGAGTGGCATCCCTGGTGGAGACGAAGACGATTAAGTCCGGCGGCTGACGTACTTGTAAAGCTTGTGGATAAAGGCAGTTTGAACGACCTTTGGCTGCTGCGCGGCGGCCGCGGCACCGATTGCCTGATTAGGGCCTAGGTGATGGTGATTCACACCCTGTGAGTCGGCCGAGCTGTTAGGACCGGTCGTGGTAGTGATGTTGAGGTTCGTGCCCGTTCGATCGCTATCGGGGCTGCTGTGGACGGGGGGCGCAGGGCCCGGGGCTGGAGGTGTGACATCCATGGGATCACCGTTCGATTGGAAGGATGTTGGAACGACGGAGGAGGAGAGGACAGGGATCTTTCGGACTTTGCCCGGCGCATCGGTGGCAGCAATAGCAGGAGGAGGAGCAAGAAGGGAGTTCCTGGAGGGAAGATCGGCGAGGCTGCTGCTCATCTCGCGCAGTAAAAGTCCAGAGGGAAAGAGAATAGGAAGAAGAGGAGGCGGCGGCGACGGAGGAGGAGGAGGAGGAGGAGGAGGGGGGAGAGGTGGAAACGAAGTACGGGTGACCGAAAGATAGACCGGTAGGAAGAGAAAGACCCAGCAAAATTCAATGCTGCTTTTCGTGTTCCGGTCTTCCTTCCTTCCAGTCTAATGATAAGGTTGGGTGCCTTTTCTTTTGTTATATTCTGTCAGGCTTCTGGGTTTCTGTCGAACCATGTAATTGAGAGAAGAAGAAAAAAAGGAAGAAGTTGAGGTTGCCCTGTGGGGCGGGTTTAGGGTGAAAAGGCAGATGGCGATAGGAGGAAAGGAACAATAGTAGATTGGGCAATAAGAGAACTAGATTTGAAGAAGAGAGGAGGGAAAGGGGAGGGAGGGGATAGGGAAAGAGGGAAAAAGAAATTGAATTTACAGAAGGAGGAAGAAATAAATCGAGGAAATGGTGTCAATAGTAGTAGGGAAAATAAGATGAATTAAATTGGTGATGATGATAAAGAATTACAAGTCCAAAACGAAGAATGAGACAGAGAGGCTGCAAGACTGCAAGACTGCGAGACCGCGAGAGAGAGAGAGAGTGTGTGAGAGAAAGAGAGACAAGAGGGTAAAAAAAAAGAGGGTCTGGGCCGAACGGACTGGAACTGAGGATCAACACTCAGACTCTCAGAGGTAAGTTCTTCGAAGTCTCCGCTGCCTCGATCATCCTGGGCTTGTTCCATTGGTTGACCCTAGCTTTGCTTGCCTATTTTCATTTTTCGGGTTTCGGTTTTCAACTTTCTTTTCTTTTCTTTTTTTTCCCTTTTTTCTCAATGGAGTTTTCCCAAGATTTTGATCGAGGCTCATTCTGCTGTCAGTCCGTTGGATGGATGCTTCTCGTGTACTGTCCGTAGCTTGTTCGGTGGAGCTCAAAAGCAATTTGGAAGAGAAGAAACCCCCCGTGGGTGGTCGACAAGTCTTGTTGTCTCGTGTGTTGCTGGTTCCATTCGATGTCAATTCATCCTCAATACTAGAGGCTTCTTCTTCCTTCCCTCTCTTCCCTTCTGAACCCCTTAGGATACGAACGGGATGTGTACTCGATAGCAGTGCGACGAGGACGAAGAGGGGGCCAATTCATCATCAGAATATCCGACATCAGAAACAAGGAAGTCTTGGCCCAGCCGGCAGCAGTCCCTGAATACGATCAGGGACGAGGCGTTGTGGAAGGGGGCCAGAAGGCGATCAGATCTGCAGCGCAGGCTGCTTATTCCGTGGGAACTACGGAGTAGCATCCTGGTACTAGTCACTCAGAAATAAGCTGCTGGAGAGCCTTTCGTACTTTATTCTGATGAAGTCAGCGGGAGGAACCGCCGAGGAGAGAACAATGAGATCAATTAATCAATCACAAACAACAATAGTAACCACCCTGAATAAGGGAGATGAACAAGGAAGTGCATAACTTGGAAGAATAATGTTGTCCACATTTGACATGTATTCAGTATGTTTGCCTACACTGTACGGAGTATGTACTATGCCAATCATAACTTGGAAGTAAAGCTACATATATCTATCTATGGTAACTTACCATAGAAAGACACTCCAGCAGATCAATAGCCGGAAATCCCGTCCTGTCAATTATCAAACTTAATCTACAATAGTCAATGCGACAGCTCCATCTTCTCTCCTCGCATTCTATTCTTGCAACCTTCCCTTTCTCTTGAAGCCACAAACACTGCTATATTCTACCTGTTCTTTTCCTCTGGGGATTCCTTGTTCCTTATCCCCACAACATTCCCCCCCTCCCGGCCCAGTGCCCGAATTCAGTTATGAGTCTGGATTCCCCATCTAGTGATAATGCCACAACTATCCAGCAGATCATATCCCTTTTCAATGGTCTGAGCACAAATTTCGCCCGGAGAGCTGCGTATGAGCCCATCGTTCTAAGCCCACCACCCACTTCTTATCCTTTCCCCCGCCCAGACGTGATAGTGCTAACTCCAAAGTCGAAGGTATCATGGACTGCTGAACCAACTGAACTCCGCCGAATGGTGCGAGTTACGCGCACGCATCGAACAGCGGACCTTCCAGAAAGACATCCTCGGCGAGTCCCCGCCCGAGATCGCCCTCCAGATTGTGCAGCATCTGAGCGTGTCCGATCTTCACGTGCTCAAGAGAGTAGGTGGCTATCAGGGACAAGGGAGGAGGAGACTGGACCTGTTGATGGACCGGGACTTAACGCAGCTCGTTACCCCCAGGTCTCGAGACGATGGCACGCTCTCCTGTCATCTGCTTCCACCCAGCGCACCGTATATTGCCAATGGACGAACAACTCCAGTGCGCACCTCACCACGGCCCAGATCACGCGGTACGCGCAACGGAGGCTCTCTCTGGAGCGCGGCCAACCCGTCGCTGCTGCTGCCGCCGCCGCCGCACGGAGAGCCGTGAGAGTGATCGATGGCCAACCAAGCCCCCACAGCACCGCCCCCACGCCCAACACCTTCGCTTACGCCCACGGGAGGCTTGCATGGCTTAGCTGCCCAGATCTCCTCCTCGTTCACAGTATTCGAAACGCTACAAGGCAGCAGTTCTGCACCGAAAACCGGGATCGCTTTCGATTGGTGGGGATCTCGAACTCCGTGGTTGTAGCGATCAGTACTCGCGCGTAAGTTTTTTTTGTTTTCTTTCTTCTCTTTTTACCCCCGTTTCTCTGGATGATAGTTCGAGAAACATGATCGGACGATCTTGGGGTGTATGGTGCGTGCAAGGGCTCATAGGACAAATTGATTTCCCTCAGGTATTGTCATGTTTGGGATCTGGAGACCGAAGAGCACGCCTGGTTTCGTCTCCCATCCCTCAATGTGACCGGCTTCGTTGTACGCGACAACACAGTCGCTGTAGCCTACAACAGCTCAATGATCACGGAATCTGGGGACAAGATCGATAGTGAATCCGTCACCTACTGGGACATGTGGTCGCGTGCCGCTCACACCGTCGAGAATGTTCCCCAAGTGGCATTACTAGACTTGCTGCCCGCCACAAAGACCCTCGTCGTTGTCCATATCGAACTTCAGGAGACGTACCGAGTGTGCATAAAAAAATATTCCATGGATGGTGAAGGACACGCGCACCGGCAGCGTGCTGTTGCATTATCTGCCGTTCATCGGGATTGGTCACTCGAGATACTGAGCCGGTCTTGGGACATTAATCATTACCGGTTCGCGGTGTTCTTCGTGCAGTCACCATTGAACGGGACCGTCACACGATCATTTCAGTGGGTCATAGCTACTTACGACTCTCAAATGGATGAAATCAGCCTGCATGAATTCACCTGGGATGACAGGCCCTATCATTTTTTAAGTGCGGCGGCTGTGGACCACAATCTGCTGTACTACCTTAGAGAGGACGGCGGCAGACCAGCTCTATGGATATCTAACACATCAGCCCAACCACCCCATCGAGCGGCGAGAGGAATGGATCCGAGATGTTACGAAGCGGACGGTTTTCTCCTTGGGGATCGGGAGTTTGTTCTCCAGGTCCACCAGACTGAGACAAGAGCCTGGCCTGTGGATGAGGATGCTCTGGCCAACGCTGAGCTTACGGCTGATTCTTAAGACCTGATGGTTCGCTAATCAGGCTCTAAGATCGAGAAGCCAATTCTAGCGGGACAGCCATCGTCCTCAAACGGCACGAATAGTCTAACTCGTTGTAACGAAGGCATTGACAAAAGAAATAAACCTAGACATGGACGATATACAGAACCATCTATAAGAATTTCCCAGGTACTTTCGCCTGGATCCATCTCGTGTATCACCATTATGTTTAACTCGTGGGCAACTCCCTTATGACCGATCATTCTCTAAGCAGCAGCAGTGCGTTAGCATCATACCTTAAGAAAGAAAGGCTGTCGCCCTCCTCGGCCAATAACTCCGCATCTCGCTGCATCTTCGAACTTGGATCTTCCTGTCCTCTCGGCCACCGGAAAGAAGAATATAGATATCAAGAAAAGAAATTGCAGAAAACAAAAGAAGAGAAAAAATACAAGAGATAGTGGAGCATCAGCTAAGGAGACGCAGCTCTATGTCGACATGGAATTTAGATACCAAGAGTAAACTCAACACCGACATCAATCTCGCGGGCCAACTTGACGACCTTGGAGAACTGAACCGACTTCTCGGCAGCGCTCTGGAGATCCTCAATGGAGAAGATCTTGAGGCCAGAGTCGTTGAGCTACAAAGACAATACAGTTAGCTCGGTACTTCGCTATTACTAAGAATGATGAAAAACCATGGGTGTTCATACCAGCTTGTTCGCCTGCTCCATGTTGGTGCCCTGAAGACGGGCAACGATGGGGGTACGCAGGCCCATCTCCTGCACGACGTTGATCAAGCCCTGGGCGATAGCGTCACAACGGACAATACCACCGAAGATGTTGACAAAGATGGCAGTCACCTTAGGGTCGCTGGTGATAAGCTCGAAGGCGGACTTGATAGCAGCCGGGGTGGCACCACCACCGACGTCGAGGAAGTTGGCGGGGTTACCGCCGTTAAGCTTGATGATGTCCATGGTGGCCATGGCCAGACCAGCACCGTTGACTGCACTGGAGATTAGCGGAAGGCATATTGATCTGAGCTCTTGTATTTGATCTTACCCAAGCATCCAATGTCACCGTCAAGCTTGATGAAGTTCAAGCCGTGTCTATACCCGGATTAGAATCTCTCCAAATCAGTTTGATTCACTTGGAAAACATACGTAGCAGCCTTGACCTCATCGGCGTCCTCTTGGGTGGTGTCTCTCCACTCGAAGACCTCCTTCTGTCTGAATTCGGCGTTGTCGTCGAAGTTCAGCTTAGCATCCATGGCCATGACCTTGTGGTCAGAAGTCTCGGAGAGGGGATTGATCTCGATCTGGGTGGCATCCCTCTCCATGAAGACCTTGTACAGCTTCTGGATAGTGTCGCGGGCCTCGTCGATGCATTGCTCAGAGAAGCCAAGCTCGGTAGCGATCTTCGTGGCGATCTCGTCGGTGACGCCGACCTTGATGTCGATAGGAGTAGTAAGGATGGCGTCGGGGTTCTCCTTAGCGACAGCTTCAATATCCATACCACCCTGAGACGAGGCGACAATGACAGGACCCTGGGTAGCACGGTCCATGAGAACGGCGAGGTAGAACTCGCGACGAGCGAATTTGCGCTCACAGATGTAGACGGAGTTGCAAAGACGACCGGCCGCACCAGTCTGCTTGGTGATGAGCTTCTCTCCAATCATCTGTCCAGCGAACATCTTTGCCTCGGTAGGCCTGAAGAAAAAATGGTTCATGTTAAAAGGCAAAAGCGGATTATGACGCTACCAGTCACACTCACGAGTAGATCACGCGCACACCACCCTTCAGACCATTACTGAAAGTACCCTTGCCACGGCCACCAGCGAGAACCTGAGCCTTGATGACCATATCATCGTTACCTATTATCATAGTCTTAGCGAACCGCGACTCCAACTGTAAGCATGGGAAAACGCACCGAGGGACTTGGCAACAGCCTCAGCTTCCTCTGCGGAGCGGGCGACTTCACCCTTGGGCATTCCGACGCCATACTAGCGACTTGTCAGCACCGCAAAAAGCCAGAACATGGTTGTAGATAGCGTGCGTCTGCCGTACCGACTTGAGCAAGTTCGCGGACAGGTATTCGTGGATGGAGAGGTTTCTCTGCTGCTGGCCCAGGCGGGACTGAACGGAAGATTCCTATGGGCAAGCAAAAATATTAGCAGGTGAGACCCATTTGGATTATGGAGAACTCAATTTTCAGTAAGCAAGGATAACTCACCGTCGCAGCTCTCAAGGCCGCAGTAACCGGTTTGCTGCGGGCAAGCTTGAACATTTTGGCACCAAGTAGGGAGAAAATCTATAAAGAGGGGAGAGGGATAAGGGACACTTGTCAGAGAGGCGGAACTTAGGAGAAAGAGAAGATCCTCCAAAGTGAGGTTTGGTGATAAGGGAAGGGGGGGAAGTTGGGTGCTAATGGGAGAACAGCTTTCTTTTTCGCGGCTACGAAACTCGGGATGATATTATTACCTTGGGACGTTACGGGCGGTAGCAATCGGAGAGGTCACCTGACGGGCCAACCAGCGTGCGTTTTCGGCATGAGTAAGCCGTAGAGATCCCGAACGACTGACTGAGCAGATAGATACTATGCCTCGTTTCCTTACTTTATCTTTCCCTACTAGGTACTTGACCCAATCCTTCTCGTGATATCAACAGACGGCGCAAAGGGAAGGGCGCCAGCCTTAGCCCGGAGCTAGGTTGCTCATACTTAAATGTCCCAAGACCAGATCAATCTACCTCATTGGATCTTCAAAATCTCGTCCTCAGCACATGATCCCACTACAAGGGGTCCTTACCATGTAAACCCTGGAAGGACTCACACGGCTTTCTTCCCATCTTTCACCTTCTTCAGTCTGTAAAGCTTGAACATCCTTGTCATCATAGACTGGAACAAGCCGGTCCAAGCCCACCCCCCACTCAAAAGCCAAACAACCCAACTTTTGTTACCTTCCCAGATCCAGCTACGGCTTCGCGCCCATGGCCAGATCCAACGCCATGGGGCTGGTCCATATAGTAATTGTGAGACCACACTCTGCGCGTAAGCGGAATTTGGCATGGCCCCATCCTGACTGTGAACCACGCGTCGATTGTACTCCTCTTCGATTGGGAGATACATAGAATTGGGAGCGAGCGTACGTTCGATCCGAGCAATACGGGATTGCACACCTCCGGTGACGATCGTGGTGACATTGACCCTAGAAAGGTCAGAGGCTGCCTTTGGGGCAAGAAGGAGGGCAGTACGGGGTACACATACCCGAACGGAGCGAGTTCTACCCGTAAAGTTTCACTGAATGAATGCAGTGCGGCCTTCGAGGCATTGTAGACCGACCCAAAGACATATGGAATAATCTGGGTCAGCATTAACACCAGCGGCATATGATTCAGGTGGTGGATGCATACCCCAGCGACACTTCCGACTTGTACAATGGTTCCTTTGGCTTTGATGAGAAGAGGTAAGAAAACCTGACAAATGTAGATAACTGAGAAGAGGTTGGTTTCGAAAGTTGCGCGGACTTCCGAGAGCTCAGCCTCCATCGCTGGAACCGTGTAATCTGTTCATTGTGAGATCGATCTCCATCCATTGATCACCCATGCATTGCCAGTCGGAACTTACTGCGGCCTCTAAAGAGTATGTTAGCACGTCAGGTCAAACTGAATACGAAGGATTTCTCACGCATTGTTCACTAGGTAATTCAGACCTTTGCCTCCGAGTCTAGCATTGATGTCTGAAAAGCAACGCTGTACGCTTTCTTGGTCATCCACCTCAAGGCTCAACGTTTCGATTCCGATTGATGCCAGATCTTGAAGAATGTCCGCACTTCTTGCTGTTGCAAACACGCGTAACCCATTTCTGTGGAATTCACGAGCCAGAGAGTTACCTATTCCACCAGGGGAACACCTATGTTTTCGTAGTCAGTTTCTATCTATTTAATGCTTGTGTCAGACTGCTACACTAGGTGTTGCGGAAATTACAAGCACATCAAGGAGGTATTTGTAAGCTTACCCTGTGATCAGGACAGACATTTGCTTGTCATCGATGCCGGCCATTGTATGGTATTCTTATTTTGCTTGTTGTGTCCGTAAGTCTCACTACAAAGGTGCTGTTCGGTACAATTGCAATTTTTGATCATAGTGGTTACACGGTTGGGGACATATATTTGAACCTCGGCATCTACTCTTGTCATGAGCTTGTAGGGGTGGGATTATGCCAAGAAACCCATTCCGTACATTGGGGCAGTGACCAGGTAGGTAAATACCCGTGCGCGTGCCTGCCTGCCACTACCCTTGACGATTTTGGAAAAAAAGATTCGATCTATAAAACAAATTACAAAGGAAAGATGGATTACTAAAGAGCTTTTTCTGCCACACAAACCGGTAGCAGATGATGACTTCGTGTACAAGAATCTTGAAGAAAGATGACCCAATCCATAGGTCTTGAGGCGTGCGTACTACAACTTGCACTGGGTGATATACACACTCAGTACCTACAGTCATACTCTTCCACAGAAACACCTGCCACTCCACTCTATTTTGAAGGCTATCGATCTGATATTCCTAGAAGCACAATCTGGGAGCTTTATCACCCAATCTATATTGTTGCTTCAGATCTACCCCGCTAAACCATAGTCTGGGACGCAATGAGGTGGGATCCCCCATATGCATAGTCGCTAGTAACCTATTGTGATTTAGATTCCGATTCCAGATAAACCCGGCTGGGCTAGTACAAAAGAGAAGATTGTTATAGTTAAATTAACTTAATCCCTTATTATTCGTATCTGGAGCTACCAAGCACTAAAACTCAGGTCTGACTATAGACAATCAGGTAAGGGCGACTATAAAAACCCATACTAGCAGAAGCGTTAGGCTGAGGTGCTGGTGCGCCTCTTCTAGCACTCGCACGGACCCCTTGGACAGACGGCTCGAGGAGCTTTGTAGCCACAGGATAGACTTGATTTATTTGAGGATATTTCTTGAAGTGCTATAGACGTCCAGTACATGCATGGAATCAATTTTGAAGACCATACAAACATTAGCTACAAACTAACATATGCTACCGGAGGTCTCCGGACTCCGTCTCTGCGGAAGCGAGACTGCGGGGCAGTTCAGGGATTTAGCGGCCAGAACTGTATGCTGATAGGTCCCTTGCATGTCTAGTTTAGCACTTGGCAGGCGGGCGATGGCGGGCAACCTTATCCTCTGCTTATCCCCAGTCTGTGGCTCTGTGCAGTCTTGACTCCTTTAGTGCGTCATTAAGTAAGGAAACCAAAAAAAGGGAAAAAGAAGAATAAAAAAAAAGGCAAGAGAAGAAAATTTCGGATTTGGATAATTATTTCCTTCTTAAGTGCCCTTAAATTTACCCCTCATTGCTTGTCTTATCTGTGGCACGATCATTTTCCAAAAAATTTTCCCCCTCTACTTCCCGCTGTTGTGCTCAGTCAAAGCTCCAATCCACCAGATTCAATCTCCGATCCCTCTACTCTCGTACTCACCATATCCAACACTCTGTGTTTACTTGCCTCCCCGCCGCCAAAATGACGCAAAAGTACTATGTCACCTATAATCAGGTATGCTTGCTTTTTTCTTCTTTGTTTGTGGCCTCCTGCAGACCAGACCTTTGCTTCGCCCGCTCCTCTCGCGCAGTATCTCTTACTCGCCATCACTGTCCGCATGCGCGCACTGTCTCGCCAGTCCAGCATGGGTTTATGAAATTACCGTCGATCATTTGGTTAACGTCTATCGGAACGTGACAGGTCCACAAACTATGCCAGGACTCTGCCGACAAGATCTTGTCCACTATCCGCCCTAATTTGATGATCGCCATTGGTGGTGGTGGTTATGTTCCTGCTCGTATCCTCCGGTTCGTGGCAGCCCACTTTAAGTGAAACCCAGAGCTGCTTATTCTAATTCTTCTCTCGCCTAGATCTTTCCTGAAGCGCTCGGGCGAGCCCAACATTCCCATCCAGGCTATCGGTTTGTCCCTTTATGAGGACCTCGGCCGTGGCGATCCGGAGGAGGTTCCTGGTACCAAGGTCACCCGGACACAGTGGCTCGACCTTAGCTCTTTGGAGATGTCGAACTTGATTGGCAAGAACATCCTTATTGTTGATGAGGTTGACGACACTCGCACAACCCTCGAGTACGCCGTGCGCGAGCTCCAGAAGGATGTCGAGGACGCGCAGAAGCAGCTCGGACGGGAAGGCGAGAAGACGAACTTCTCTATTTTCGTGCTTCACGTATGACATTTCTCCATGCTCTCCCACTCCGAGAAGAGTATCCGATTTTTCTGACTTGATATACAGAACAAGAACAAGTCCAAGAAGGGTGTCTTGCCAGCTGATATGATGGAATCCGGTCGTTACCATGCCGCGGTTACTACCGAGGATGTGTGGATCTGCTATCCTTGGGAAGCCAAGTATGTTATTCTTCCGCAATTTGTCCATTGCATTGCAGCTGTTAGAAGGTTTATTAACACACTGCAACAGGGACATTGATGAACACGACCGCTTGGCCAAGGAAAACCCTCTCTTTTAAGCTTCTCGTCCGTCACCACTTGTATAACTTATCCGACGCTCGATGCCCCGGGCCCGCCGTTCCTGCATCCCAGTTCATCTATCATGCATATACATTGCTTCGCTCTACAAGACACATTATACTCTTTTTTTTTTCCGACATCGGGCATTGCTGGATGGTGTTATTTGATTGATTTTTATAGAACAAAAGCATGAGACCACTGAAGATCAAATCGTCTGGCTTTGCATGCCAAAATGCAGCGACCATCTATTCGATGTGGACGCTCCCGCCCGCTCCGCGAATGGGATATTTCATCATTCACACAGAACTAGAAAGACGGCCGTAACGTCTTCGAGTACTGCACTTACCCCTCCGGAACCACCAGGACTGGTTAGGGGAAACCCCTACATTTCAGCGTATCTGTTGGATCTTCATCCGGCACAACAAGATGGAAGCAGTTACTTCGGGCCATTGTCCTTGGCCTACCTGGTTTTTGGTCTAGATTGCCTATTGGGCCCTGCATAACTTAGAGGACAGAGTACTACATCACAGGGGAAGCGTTATGATCATAGGAATTATCCACTAGATAAATCCTAAGCCCCAGCCATTCTTTGTGCAGCACCTGTAATATCGATCCCTGCCCGTAGCAATCAACGCTTGTGGATGTGCCGCACCAAACGCCAACCCTTCTCTCATATGCGATGCGTTATCGGATAAACATAAATTGTACAGAGCCCACACAATAAAGTACATTGGTGGAGATTTGAATGGTCCAGTCGTCCGCCCGCATTAAACACTTCAGTCAACGTCGATATTCGCCCTACGCAATTCGACCTTGGCCTGTTCGATCTCCTTTTGCAGCTCCGTGTGCGCCTCCGGAACATCGTTAAAAGTGAGAATCGCTAAGCCTAAGCGGCCGAGGAGGTAGCATCCAAAGCATATCAGAGCATAGAAGGGAAGCTAGTTCAGAAAGACGCAGATGGTCAGCGGGGTGAGAGAGAGGCAGGGGCCAGAGAAAGGGCCGGGTTGTATTGCAGGACGTACGACAGGAATTATCTCATTCTGAATGGTTTCGTTGAGGGGAACAAGGCCCAGGTATAGAGAAAGGTAGAGCTGAACCCAAGACTCCGCATTAGCGATCAACATAGCGTTGAGGGGGCGAGGCTATCCATCATACCGAGGAGACGAGCAGGAGAACGGAGAGGGTCTGCTGAGCACGCGTCATGGTGATGGTCTTGGTTTGGAAGTTGAGGACAAGTCTGAGCGCAAAACTGGAAGCCGAACTGTTGTAATGTGATGGACGAGGGGAGAAAGTTTAGTTGAAGGAGTGCTTTGAATTATAGGAATGAGTGACTAGATTAAAGAACCACAGTGCGTGCTGTCCTTCTTCGCCGTATTGACGCGCTGTAGGTGAGACCGGCTGCGCCCCTTGGCCGCTGTGTCTACCGTACTGCTGCAGCCGCCCCTCATGACAGGTTGGCATCTGGTAAGATACCTGAGGTACTTATTTCGTATTACCATCTTACCACCTTACCACCTGTTGCTGACACATTGGACATACATCAACAGGAGATCACTGCATTTCTTGATCTCAAGATGCCGGGGAAAGTGACTGGGGCTTCTCACTCAGAAGCTATCAGATGGGAAGTAAGCAGTTAGAAGAAAAGCTTCCCCGTGGTCATGTCGCATGTCGCTTACTGTAACAGAGTCTCAGGTATACCTCGATTTCATTACGCCTTGACCCGTCACGTTTAGACCCAAGGTATTATTGACTTGGTGCCTGAAGAAAGGTGGTAAAGATTCATACTCCATGGTACTACTAACCTACTACGGACAGGCCGATTCTCTCGTCTGCTTCTGCAAAGAGAAACCCGAAACACCTTGTTCGTCTCTCAGTGGGAACCGAGACTTGGGTCAAGGAGAAGACAGAATCTATATACCCTTCCAGCGATACTTTCAGCCTGTCGGAAGATTCATTTAGCCAGAAACAGAGGCCTCCCATTGCCCACCCTTGTATCCAAGATACACGGACTGGATGCACTGATACGTTGTTCAAACCGCAAATTAAAGGATGAGCACTGCACCAGACGTACCAAGGGCGCAAAGCGGTGATGATGCAGCCTTCAGTTCGTCGTGTTTATTGACGGAAGCAGGGCCATCAAAGGGAATCGAGTGTCCTGACTTGGACCAGATGTTCTCGACATTGACCCTCTCACCCATGGGACTTGTGGTCCAAGAGTCCGAACCTGTGCCACTTGAAGATCAACAGTCTCTACTGACTTCCTTACAGGAGTCGCTAAAGAAAGCAGAGGAGCGATGCACCATTGAAGCCTTTATAGACGATGAAAAGATTCTCTATAAACTCTGGAAATGCAGGTCCCGGTATCTGCTGCCAGCCGCTGAAGCCCTGGCCAATGGAAGTAGGAATGGTAAGGCAGCCGTCCATTGTAGCCATGTTTGGTATTCTAATCAGGTTACAGCACCCTGGCGCATTTTGTATGGACAAGCTGGTATACTAGACTTCTTTCTCCAGCTTGTAGCATCAAAGGAGGCTATTGAGAATGATCTTCTCCTGCATTCACTGCGACTAGTCGGTAATTCCTGCGCTGATACGAGTAAGTTTCGCCATTTATCCGTGACATAGCGCAGCCTAGCACTGATTACTAGGTAGATGAGAACCGGGAGATCCTAGTTAAAAACAACTATACCTCCGCCATTATACGACACCTGGCCAACCCAAAGCTTATTCAGGTGGCTATACCTGTTCTATATAATATATGCATTGATTTCGGTACATGCTGATCTGCTCTTTTTCCGAATGGACATTCCCCAGAGCTGACATTGCATAGAACCCGCCCAGTCTCAGATAGCTACCAACAAGATTGTCTATATTTTCCTGACATTGCTGAAGGATAACGCTTTTGCGAAGCACCCGGCTCTACTTGATTATTTCTACGAGCTTATTGATTTGGTTGGGGAACAAGGCATGCGTGACGAACGACCTCTAGAGTTCATTTAGACTAACGGTATCTTCACAGAGCAAGGAATCTCCTCGTCTCCAGATGCCACATTGGTGCTTCTTCTAGACCTGCTGAATGAACAGAGGGCGGTTTCATCTCCAGCGCACTATTCCTCTCTCGTCACCTGTCTCGGTGCTTATTTGGACAAAACACGATTTCAAATTACGTGTCTGTCCAATGGCTTGCTGCCCCAGGTTCTATCAGTTCTCGAGCGATCACTGCTATTCAAGGATGAGGGATGTTCTAAAGAGGACATGCATGCCTTGGCACAGGCCCGCTTGAAGATAAATCAGACCCTAGCCGAAGTCTCCGCATTGCCACTATTCGCAGAGCTCTATCCGCTTGATTCCGATCTTGTGCGCTTACTGGGCTCTTGGCTGGAGGCAAATGAGGACCAACTTCAAATCTGTTCGTGTGTTGTCCTTGGCAATCTGGCAAGATCGGACGCAGTCTGCGAAGAGATGGTTGAAAAGCTGAACATCCACAAGGCGCTCATATCGCTCCTGAAAAGCGAAGCCAGGGGGGCAGTGCTTCACTCGGTACTCGGCTTTCTGAAAAATCTGGCAATTGCCGGTAATAATAAAGCTCGGCTCGGAGAGGCCGGTCTTATTCCTGCCGTCTCAGGCCTCTGGCAGTATGAGACAGTCCCCCAGGTTCAGTTTGTTGCAACTAGCATTACACGGCAGGTGATCATCTCCTCAGTGGGGAACATCGCTCGCTTGCTTGAGGAGGCACCTGTGGGTGACAAGAAGATCAAGGGTGAAGGGAAGACCTGCCTCTCACTGCTCCTCGCGCTTTTTGAAAAAACAGACTCAGCCCCAATCAAAACGGAGATTGGGCGTATTGTAGCTTCTATATGCCGCACCTTGGTCCCCAGAGCACGTGAGAAGGATAGCGGTGCCGAGGCCCTCCTTAGAAAAACCTTTGAGTTGCACGACGATATTCCCTTACCTGTGGGTGCCATGATCACCCAGTCACAATGGCCAGTTGTTCGGAGCGAGGGCTGGTTTACCCTTGCTTTGATGGCGTCGACACAAGGTGGGTTGCTTGTAGCCTCGAACTGTCTAGAGAAGATGGAAATTCTGCCAGTGCTCGAGGAAGTGCTTGCTGCAGATTCTATCGATTCCACCGAGGCAGACAACCTGCAGCTCAACAAGGATCGCGGCAACATCATCGTGCTTATGCAAGAGTTGCTGAAGAGTGATGTAAGTTAATCCGCACTCTAATCACCACGTATGCAATACACTAATAATATTCTACAGGTGGACACTCTTCCGGACTCTTCGAAGGCCAGTATTCAAAGACTGATGAACAGCCATGCCTCCAGACATCTTCAGCTCACTAACTGAACAACCACAATCAAAGAACCTTATAAAGCATGCTAATCGGAGAAAGAGCAAGGTGCTCATATACCCACATTAAAGCTTGGGCTTACACTTTTTCGATATCTATCGTTGATCCAAAATGTGCATTTCAGTCCACCAATAATTTCTAAATAGAACACTCATGGTGCTGCTCTAGTTGGATCCCGGCCACAGAGAGCCTACATGCCTTTACAAATAGCTTCTTCTGCAAACGATTGATATCGTTTGAGCAAATCAGTAGAATCTAGACCCTCCAGACCCTGGCTGCTTGAGTAGTGTACAGCCAATCCTTTCCCATCAATTATGCTATTTTCTCCTGCTTGGTCGTCTGCGAGAGGCTTCAAAAATGTCATGCTATCGAACTCCTTGAGCAAACGATTCGTTGCGACACTCCCCCAGAAGCAAAGGAAGTTCAGGCTGATTTTTGTTGATGGTACACTCCACGTGGGGAATTTGTACCGATTGAGATGATTTAGCTCTAAGTGGTGCAGAAAAGAGTAATGTTGCTGAGCGTTGACAGTCCAGTGGTGCATACTAGGTCCTTCCGGAGCGTACTTCGCCATACTGATGGGAGTGAGGCTGTAATTGTAGCAGCCCGAAAGGAGCCATCGGTGGCTGGTAAAGGGTGGAGCGAATCCCTTATCTATGGTAAAGTCACTAGGCCCCTCCCATGGCGGGAGACGAGAGGCACGCCAATCGTGCATTTCGATCTCGGATGATGACTGCGTGGGGCTCAGCTCCGGGAGATAAGGCAAGGCGACGCTGGCATGACTATGGAGGGCCTCCAAGGCTGCTTCGTTGATGACGTTCGCCGAAACCAAGGGCAGATCGGGGTGTTCGAGCTTGGTCTTGACGACCGTCGAGATTGTATGGTCTTCTAGAAACACGATGTCGCCATCGATCCAAATGTACAGTGTGTCCTTCTTAAGCTGATCCAGCTGCAAACGGGGATCTCCCTGCGCGAGGGTATATGAGGGGTTCTGCTCGACTATCGATGCGAGCCATTCCAGACCCCTCGCATCGTTGGTTTGGGGCAGGAACATGACTTGGTCAACGAGACCATGGTTGGAAACGAGATTGTTCTTGTGATCCAAGTAAGCCGATGAACTTTTGGACCTACAGAGAGCGGACCTTACTCACTCGCAGATAACAATTTAGGATTTCGGTGCGCTGCCAATGGCGGAACGGAACCAAGGCAACGATATCAAAGCCCTGCGGCTTGTCGAATTCCCCCGAGCCTTCCGAATAGGCATAGAAGGGAGCGAGCGAACTATTCTTTCCAAGTCGAGATAGTATGTTCCAGCTAAACGACCATCGGCCGAAGCAGTGAGGGACTATTGTGACTCTGAGCAGACAAAGGCACAGAAAAGTGAGGCACAACGAGAAGGGCGTCCACCAGGGGCGTTTGGACGCAACATCACGAAGCGATTCGGGATCACGTTTGTAGTCAGAATGGCCCATCTTGAGATCGAATGATCAGGTTGACTTGAAATGCTTTCACATTGCGCAGAGCTTGAACTAAGTAGAAAGCTATCGAGCGACTTCGATCGAGTGCAGTGGGCTCTGCCTAGTAGAATACAAGATCTACCGCAAAAGCAGAGACAGAGACAGAGACAGAGACCTGTTTTCGTCGATAGTTCATGCCGAGCAAAGCATGACGGCCGGATTTGGACTTTTTCCCGAGTCAACCGAATCGAGAGGAGAGTTCCCCGTGACAAATCTCCTTTGCAGACAATCGGAAAAGCGGGAAAGTGGGTATAGAAAGATTCCAGACCAAGGAGTCAGCCATTTTCGCTTAGTAGCGTAGTTTGTCTGTTGGTCTTCGTGGTGTTGATGTTGATGATGACGATGACGTCGCAACCACGTGCTCGGCCGCTGCCCGTGCCCGCCGCCTGCGCAGCTCCAGTTCTCACCTCTCTTTCTGCTTTCTTCCTCTCTCCTCTTCGTCCTAATGGCCGTCCCGCTCTTATCGTTATGCTCACGCGGGGCCTTTGTCTTGCTCTTCAATGACCGTTCTATCCGCTACTCGAAACCTTTCTATATGAGAATATGAGGACGGCCGTCCTCTTTGGCCGCTTCATTGTGTGTCGTGGTAGAGGCCCGCCGCTACTATCCCGCTTCTCCCCTCTATCTCGACCGCGCTTCGGTCGTCAGCCAATATGGTCGCGACAATCCGGGTCGAGACGGTCAGGAAATATCCCTGGGTGTCGCACGGTACTCCTTGCTGCGCTGGCCCCGGGGGCCTTTTTGAAGCTTGCCGAGGAAGGCGACGGGGAACGCGGCAAGACAAGTGAGATGCAGATGCTAGAAGTCTCGCGCCGAGAGATCCAGAAGAAAGTCGACGACGAAGCAAGGGGCTTGTCGAGGCTCTGGCAAACATTGGTACTTTACGGGTATCGCTTCGTATATGATCCGATAGCTACCGGTTTTCGCTTTGTCCACCTGCTCATCATTTTCCTGCCTGTCGTGTTCACGGCACCCATCTTATGCCTTGGAGGAAATGGGAAGAATCGGGAAGCGGTGTTGTCGTCGGGGACCATTTGGTGGTACAAGTTTCTAGTGCGGTCCATGGAACGTGCAGGCCCAGCGTTCATCAAGGTAAGTCCCAAGCCGTATAATTCTGTTTGCTGCACCTAGTAACAGGCGTGTCTGCCTCAGCTCGGACAATGGGCAGCATCACGTACCGACATCTTTCCTCCCGACCTGTGCGACATCATGTCTTCTCTCCACTCGAATGCGCCTGCGCACTCGTTACGCCAGACCAAGAAGATCATCAGCAAGGCTTTTAACAACCTGCCCTTCGAAGATATTTTTGACGAATTTTATGAGGAGCCTTTAGGGGTAGGTGCCATCGCCCAGGTCTACAAAGCAAAATTGAAGCCCAACCTTGCGGGAACAGACGATGGTGCTTTCGACGGTCAACCGTCCGGTTTACGGGGGAAGGTTCGGAAGAATGTCGAGGCATTGGTCAAGAGCAGCCCCCAGCGAGTTCCGTCGTCATACGTAGCCGTCAAAGTGCTGCATCCGAAGGTGGAGCGCATGATCCATAGGGACTTGAAGATTATGTCCTTCTTTGCCTCCCTGATCAATGCCATCCCTACAATGCACTGGTTGTCTTTGCCGGACGAAGTCAACCAATTTGGAGAGATGATGAAGCTGCAGCTGGATTTGAGGATCGAAGCAGCAAACCTGGTCATGTTCCGGGAGAAATTTAGGACCCGGACTACAGCCTGGTTTCCTTACCCGTACATAGACTATTCGACCCGGGAGGTGCTCGTGGAAGAGTTCGCCCAAGGGATCCCCCTTTCGACCTTCCTTGACGTCGGCGGAGGGGTTTACCAACGAGAAATTGCGAATGAGGGCCTGGATGCCTTCCTTCACATGCTATTGATTGACAACTTTGTCCACGCTGATTTACACCCAGGAAACATCATGGTGCGATTCTATCAGCCAAATGAATTGGACCTGTCCCTCCGCAACAAAAGCCGTGCATCAGATGCACCAACTACAGCCGAGGTTGATGTCACAGAGTCGGTGCTTGCTCGGCTGCGACCGCATGCCGGTAACCGGCGCGATTGGGAGTCGGTACTTGATGAATTGAATGCAGAAGGATATCGACCCCAATTGGTCTTTATTGATACCGGACTCGTGACTCAATTAAACGACCTCAACCGCAGAAACTTCATCGATTTGTTTCGCGCGATTGCCGAGTTCGATGGATACCGAGCGGGTGAGCTTATGGTCGAGCGCTGCCGCCAGCCGGAAGCTGTGATTGACCCTCATTACTTTGCATTGAGAATGGAGCATCTGGTTTTGAATGTCAAGTCGCGGACATTCGCACTGGGCAGCGTCAAAATCGGCGACGTTTTGAGTGAGGTGCTGTCCATGGTCCGAAGTCATCATGTTCGAATGGAAGGGGATTTCGTCAATGTCGTCATCTCCTGTCTTCTTCTCGAAGGTATTGGCCGGAACCTGGACCCGGACCTCGATCTATTCAAAAGGTGGGCTGTCCAATGAATGACGCGCAAAACTTATATACTGACGCAGCCGACAGTGCCCTGCCGATACTGCGAAAATTAGGTTCCAATGTCACATCCCTGAAATCAGTCCGGTCCGGGGATGTGTCTATGCTCCGTATTTGGGTAGGACTTGAAGCGCGTGAACTGCTCCAGAGCAGCATCGACAGCGTTGAACAGTGCGTCAAATATGACTTGCTGTCCCCTAACATCTGAAGACAAATCGGATCAGAAGGTGAACAGCAAGATCTCGGCACTGATGTAGAGAAATCACGTAATCTCATTTGATGCTTAGAACATGGATAGAATATGAACCACGATGAATACAAATCGCGATGCAACCACCGCATCAACATAATCACAATGCACTCTATTTTACATGTAGAATAGATTCCCATAACGAAATATAGATCCTCGGCCCCGAGAAAAGAAATGAGAAAATTATACCTGAGCCGAGTACAAGTAACTTAATCATTGCGGCCGTTGTCCTCTCTCGAGAACTTGACCGTTGAAGGAGCTCACAGCAAAAGATAGTGAATAATACATGATACATGAGAGGGGTGTGATAAGAATGAAAAGCCACAGAATACAGAACAGTCCCATAGGTCAGGACAACTGGTCAGACGCCCGCGCCTTCTCGGAGTGTATACCGGTGCAAAGGATCCAAAAACTCCAACGTTGAGAAACCACATTCATGGTCGGTTAGTTTCCGCCATTCTCCCGAACTGAGGCGCCGCTAGCCCGCCACCAAACATCTCCTCCCCATCTCATCAGCCGCTCAACGGCAGCGGTAGGTGAGTCCAGAGCTGGTCTGATGTCGAGGAAGAACACCGGTTCTCCGTTGGGTTCCGGTGGGCCGGAATAATAGTCGATAACATACCGGACCTCCTTCGGGCCCGATGGGGTCTGCCGCATCACAAACCAGTCGTGTCTATCAAAGGGCGGGCTTGATCTGTAGTAGAAGAGCGATAGTGTTAGTAAAAGCGATAGGACGCGCATGAACGGCGAATGACGGCATGGAGGGAATACTGACTCATATTTAGCCGGATAAAGCCAGCCCAAGGCTTGAAGAATCCGTGCCTTGGGCGTCAGTTCCTGAGGCCGGCCCTGGAACCGGATGAGCCGCGGTGGAGGAGTCTGCTGGGAGGAACCGGAAATCTGCTCCCGGAGCTCCTCCATTGCGAGATTCTCTTCACCACGTCGGCACTTTTCCCAGCCCTCCGAGAGGCCCTTGGAAAAAATGCGCTCCCATCGCACAATCTCGTCCCAGGCACCCTCATTAAGGAAGTTATGGACGGCAACCATCGCCTCAACGGCATCTTGCGGAGTATCGGTATAGCCCTTGCGAAGCATGGCATTGTACATCTGCTGCGGAGAAGGGTATTCCCAGTTGCCTTCGGTGTCCGATCTTGGGATGGATGAGAGTTCCCGTTCCACGGGGAGGTCCAAGGTCTGATTGGGAGCTCTTTCCTGAGAGATAGACGCGAACATGTAATTCAAAGGGTTCAGTTTCGAGAGAGAGGACTTCGTCTCGCCTGGGGTAGCGGATGGTGGTGGTTGATTGCCTGGAGATTGCGGCTTGGGTGGCGCATAGAAAGGGGAGTCAGTAGGTCGGACCGGACAGGCACTTGGAGCCTCCGGAGCAGCTGGAGTTGGCAAAGCAGAAGTAGTATTGGAGACGTGCATTGGACACCCCGGCTAGGCACGACAATTAGTGATTTTGACCTGTTCCTCAGCGTCGCAAAATAGACATACCGGAGGCGAGCCATCGGCGGCCGCCAGCGGGTTCGGAGCCGCGGGAGTAGGTTTGGATTGTGAATCTGCCCAGAACCAGCCCATGGTGTAGGAAAATATGTTGGTGGAGATGACAAAGGATAGCAGCTAAACAGACAGAGATGATGCCGATGAAGTCAAGCGAGGCCTTGTTATTCGAATCTGCGGGCGGCCAACAGAAACTGTCGTCACAGAAAAAAACAACTTTTTCCTGGATTTGCAATCCGGAGGAAATCCCGCCCGCCGCCCACGTGATGTCCCGAGTTTGGCGACCAATTATCAATAGCCGATATACAACAGGATTCTCAAGATCTGTCATTCTTGCGTTCGCTAAATTGTATATGTACAGTTTCGCAACTTGAGTGGTTATTGTGATGCGAAGCTCTTGAAGATCTAGAGCAATATTCCAGTTGTGATCAAATGACGCCTTGCCATTCTTTGAACGCCCTACAAAGCATAGAATCACATAAGCCCGCAAAGCACTCCCTTTGAGTCAATTAAATGGATTAAACGTTATGCCCTTTGCCGTGGAACAGTATGATCGGAAGGACGAAATGTGCTGAGGGTCAATGTAATACTCACCCGGAACCGACCCAAATTTCTTTGGAAAAAGAGGTATTTAAGCGGCTCATCCCTGAACATCATTTACCAGCCTTGTAAGCAGCGCATACCCGAAAATGATGGCAAAGCCTAGCCAAATCTTGTTGCGGCGAACCCAACTTTGACCAGCTTCTCGCGCAACATGGCCACCCTCCACAACAGCTCCCAAACCTGGAGCACTACCGTTGGGCCGTCTGCGGAGAGCACTGGTTTCTGGGGAGCATTTGGTGGCAGCATTGGGGTCCGGCAAAAGCTGGCCTGTGTTCGTGTCGATGCGGCTGTCTTTCATCCATTTCCAGTTCTCGTGGTCGAGTTCTGGCCATTCCGTACGAAATTTCAATCCCCCATCTCCAGCCTTGACATTGTTGATTCCTTTGGCGGAAGGAGTAACTCCAGGTTTAGCACTGATGTGAGAGCCTCCACCGGTGGAATTCCACCATCTTGACCGTGCAGCTAGCACTCTCCGTTCCGCCTCCGAAGCACTCACGCTCCCAGTGGTCATCTCTTCGCTTGTCATGAAAGAGAGCAGTCCGATCAGAATCGTGGAAACCTCCCAGGCCGGGTTGAATGATTTTGGATGGTAGTCGCTGATGCTGAGGCAAAGACGAGTGGATGGTTGGAACCGACCGCTCGGGGTGTGCATGCGGATGGCAGGTGGCGCAAATGGGTATTCAGGGGGGAACATCAGTGTACCCCAGTATTGTCCATTTTCGTAAGGCGTACCCGGAGGACCACTGAGGATGTAATGCCACCTGTCCAAGAAGGTATATTAGCATGAATCCAAGAATGAACGGCTCGTGTCACGGATTGAGGGGTACACACTCGAGGATATTGGTTTCTGAGGGGTGGGCAATGATGTATGGCGGAGGATTCTTTTGAATGTTTTGATATTCGCGAGTGAGCTGCTTTAAAATTAGACAAGACCGCATAGATAGCCGCAAGCAGGGAGATATTCGACCCACCCGTTTATAGGCTGCCTTGGTCGCCATGCTTTATAGTTCGTAACGACGGCCGTGCGACGCACGTCGAGGTATTGAAGACGAAAGATGAATAGCGGTAAAACAACGAAAAGAAAAAAGCAGTAAGAACCGAATCAGGACGCAGGACAGTTCTTCCTTTGTATAAGGCAGGCAGGTTGCCTATGAAAGTGAATGTTGGGAAGATACAAAAAGGATGAAACGTCAGAAGGCTGGACAACCCGGAGGGCTAACTAACTACGTATTAGTTAAGCGCCCCCTCCCTCTCCGAAGGATGGGAGACCACCAGTCACGTGTGCGGGAGGATCGCCTCAGCCTCTCCGAGGTCTTCGCATCACCTTGCCAAAGTGGAAAGCGAAGGAAGCAAGCAAGGTCTCTCGTTTGGCCATTGCCGCCGCAGCAATGTCTTCTCCACTTTCCGCTGACGACGGAGATGTCAGTCAATTCCTTCTTTCCCTCCCACTGACTATCACAAAGCGCTTGGACTGACAATGTGCTCGACGCTCGCGCTTCTAGATCTTCGAGCGTCTCCAACAACGTACCGACCCGAAGGTGCAGGAAGAGCAGCAGAAAGCTGTCAATGAACGGGTCAGAGCGATCTATGAGAAGGCGCAAAATCGCCTCGGTGAATTGGTCAGTTTTGCAGACTCGTCTGTCCTCGAATTGCTCTGCCTTGGGCCGGGGAGCCCAGGTATATCAGCAACAAATGACTAACGCGGTTGTTCACGATGGCATCAGATTGACCAAAATTCCACTCTACCATGTGTCATCTCTTCAGTACAGGTTCACGGTGCCCGCCATACCCGCAGAAGCTTTCTGGAGCAGATATTCAACCCTCTGCTTAGCAGCAATCAAACTCGGCCCTATACGCTCTCGGAAGCCTTGCAGGAAGTATCGGCACGTGCGGACAAGCTTGGCAGGTTTGGTGGGTTATTCCCTTGTATCATTCCATGCTACAGGTTAAATTCTAATACGGGTACAGATGTCTTTCAACAGCCGATCTCGGTATATCTAGATCAGTCATCACCGGCTGACCCGCAAACTGGTCTCCCGACCATTGATGTCCTGCTGTCGGTGAAGGAGAAGTCTCGCGTCTTGCTCAAGACGGGTACTGATCTTGGAAATACTGAAGGGTCCGCTTATGGTAACCTTCTCTGGCGTAATGTGCTTGGAGGTGCAGAAAACCTGAACTTGAATGCTTCGCTGGGCACCAGGACAAGATCCGCGTACCAGGCCACCTTTGACACCCCACTTTTCAGCGATCCCGATTTCCGCCTGGAGCTTGGTGGAATCGCTAGTGCTACACAGAAGTCTTGGGCAAGCCACGAGGAGGTTCTGAAAGGCGGGTGGAGCAAACTTCGCTGGATAAGCTCGTCCGGACACCACCATGAATTCGGATATAATAATTTCTGGAGACAAATGACTGGCCTTTCCGAAAATGCATCCTCGACTGTTCGCGCCGACGCCGGAGACAGCGTGAAGAGCAGCGTCTTCCACAGCTGGACTAAGGATCGGAGGGACAATGCGCTCCTTCCCTCGCGTGGCTACTACGCCAAGGCCTTCAATGAACTGGCTGGCTGGGGTCCGCTCAAGGGCGATGTCTCTTTCTGGAAGTCGGAGATTGAAACACAAGCTGCGGTCCCCGTCCCCATCCCTGGTCTTAAGGGCGACAGCGGCGTCAGTTTCACAACTGGATTCCGTGCGGGACTTTTGTACCCTCTCGGCCTTGATTCGGATTCTCGACCACAATTATCTCGCGTTAACGACCGTTTCCTCCTGGGAGGCCCCACAGATGTGCGTGGGTTCCGTCTTTGTGGCCTCGGACCGCATGACGGAGCGGATGCGGTTGGAGGAGACGTGTATGCTGCAGGAAGTGCCAATTTGCTGCTTCCACTCCCGAGAGTGGGTGCCGACAAGCCTTTCCGTCTACAAGCATTTATGAACGGTGGTCGGCTTTTGCCACTGCGCACGGCTGACAAGAATGTCCCCACTTCCAGTGGTGAGGTGAAAGATGCCATGGTATCGACCATTTCCGAGCTGGCAAATGGTTTGCCCAGCGTCGCCGCGGGTGTTGGATTGGTTTATGCTCATCCAGTTGCCAGATTTGAGTTGAACTTCTCGCTGCCGCTAGTGTTGCGCAAAGGCGAAGAAGGCCGCAAGGGCCTTCAATTGGGAATCGGCATCAACTTCCTGTAAAATTAAGCCAGAGCGATGTATTGTAGCATTTTGAATAGAAAGATATTGTTCTATTCTCTAGCAGCCTGAATCGAGCGTTTTGCGGCCATCTTAATGTGCATTTATGTGCTGTGACCAAATGTACTGTACACTTTCAGAATCCATAGATCAGATAAGCTGTTGCATAGCGTAAACCAAAGTGGGTCGGCAGCTTGCCGTGTACCGTACATTACACACCTCAGGCACCAACAAGGCCTCCCATCTTTCATCACCGCCAGCCAGCTGTTCTTCCGCGCCTCTCTCTCATACATCTACTTCAATTTCCCTCACCCACTTACAGAACTTTGCCATTTACATTTACTCGCCCACTAACTCTTCTTCAGTGGCTGCGCAATAGAACACCAGTGTCTTCTTTTCACAAAACATCTCCTCCCCTCTAGCTTCTCCCCCTGACCTTGGCCGCCATGGCCCAGTATTACCCGCAGCAACAGCCCTACGGAGCGCAGGCCTCTGCGCAGAACCTTCAATTCTACCCAACATCCTATCAGTCTGTCTCCGGTCATACAACCCCTTCTCAAGCTTCCTATGGAGGCTTTGGAGGTCCCTCCAATCCTGCCGCCCAAGCTTATCCCGTCGGAGGGGTGGGAAGCGGATATGGCGGCTTCGGCTCCCCATCTGCAGGAGTGAGCGGCAGGATGGGTGAACAGGGCGGTTTACGGACGGGGTGGCTTGCTGCATTTGGGACTGAGGGGTATGATGGGGAGCCGCCGCTTCTGGAAGAACTGGGAGTCAATTTTGAACACATTCGCACCAAGGTAATGGATATTTTGACGCAGAAAAAGAGAGAGAGAAAGCCGCTTTATTGAAGTTCTTCACTGACTGACCTGAAACATCATTGATGCTGTATGTTTAGACCTTAACCGTCTTGAATCCCTTTGCTCGCATTGATCAGCACCTGATGGACGACAGCGACCTCTACGGCGCGCTGCTTTACATCGTACTCTACGGCACCTTCCTCCTGCTGTCCGGCAAGGTCTTTTATGGGTATATCTACGGCGTCGCGGTATTCGGCACGGTTGCCTTGCACCTGATCCTCAGCTTGATGTCGCCCGCGCTCGACGCGGTCCCCGTGGCCAACGCCGCCGATCCCACCAACTATTCTCCGCACCACAAACCCACCATGTCGGACGCCTCGGCCGCCGGCCATTTCTCTGCAACCCTGACCTTCCCCCGCTCCGCCAGCGTACTTGGCTACTGCTTCTTGCCCTTGGTGCTGACGAGCTTGGTTGGGATTCTCATTCCCATGGATACCATGTTCGGCTATCTCCTGACCACCGCCGCCGTTGGCTGGTGCACCTACAGCTCCTCGGGGATGTTCTGCGCCGTCGCCCGTATGCGCGGCATGAGAGGCCTGGTGGCGTATCCCTTGGCCCTGTTCTATGTGGTATTCGGTATCATGGGAATTTTCTCCTCCCGAGGAAGTGGTACCCTGGCTGCCAAGACGGGCGCTGCCTGACCGAGACTACGAAATCGATATCCGGGGCGCTCACTGGAGGCGCGGCCATCAAATCTTATACATTGGAACGACGATGCGTTGCACTCGGGCTGTTTGTAAGTCGAACCGCACCTTTGCAGCGAAGACACTGCTTGATTGGCTTCGCGGCAGCTTTGTATGAATATCATGATTTCTCTCGCTGCTTTAGTTATACCATACGTGCATCTTCGAATTTCCGAGCTAGCGGTGTACTTGATCCTTCCGATTGACGGGACTTTTAGTTACTCTGGTATTTAAACAAAAGTATACTTCGCCAAACCCTTGTCCAGTCCCCAGCACTCCAGTATGACTCCGCATTTTAGTGTCATCACAGGTCCCGGTCAGACGTCCTTTAGGTTGACCCTACAAGAATTTCACGCGGATCTACACCCGAGTGTTGATTGAAGCCATTTGGTGCAGGGTAGTGGTCGAAATCAAGGGGAAAGGAAAAATCAGAATCCCCCCCCGGCAAAAATGTCTACGTTATGGGCAAAAGATAGAAAGACCAATTCTCTTGTGGTTTCATGCTTTAGCTTAATGCAATTGGCTATCTACGTGAACATACTTGTTTTCTCGCCACGAGCCGGGGCCCAGTTGACCAGCCACTCGCGCGATCGTTCAAGATTGCCTGCAGAAGCTTCGACGGCAGCAACACACCATGCCAGATCATAGGATTTCCCCTCTGCTGCTGCAGCTTCTGTGGCGAGTAATTCCGCGAGAGAGCGTCGTTGCTGGCCTACTTGATCGGTACATAGGTGGAAAGGCGCTGTATTCGGCGTATCGCCTTGAAGATTGACTGCGTCAATCAGTGGCCGCACTACCGCCAGGATGGCCGCCGCACTCTTCGGGGTAAATGGCTCGCTAGATTGTCTGGCTTGCTTTCCTGTCTTGCAATACTCATTCTGACACCAGGATTTACCGCACCCTGACATCATCTGGGAAAGATACCGGCGCTCAATGCGTCGTCGCAAAGCCTGTCCCTTTGGGTCATAAGTGTCCACATAAAGTGGACCAAAGCAAATGCTACATAGGCCCAGGTGGTTCGCGTTCTGCGTCCCACGGCCGTCCAGAGTCCGGCCGCAATTTTCGTTCAAGCAGATCCGAGGTGTAGGCCGAGACAAACGCTCCAAATCGTGATAGCGTAGGTGAGTCTTTAGATTCCGCATCCGAACAATCTTGTTGCATAAATGGCATTCCGTGGTCCGCCCTCCATCCACCAGCTCGTGCGGGGTAAGACCAGAAACAAGAACTTCTGGATCTTCCATGCTGGGGTCTGACTCGCCCCGTTGGGGCACCACAAGGTGGCAGAATTGGCAGAGGATAGGCTTGGCTGGGCAGACGGTCGTGCGATGTTGCGCAAGGCGCGGGAGGCTCCCTGCCTGGTATCCACAAGCGCGACAAGAATGCTGTGTATGGAAGACATCATTGTGCTTTTGCTTGTCTAAAGGACTATTTCCATAAGACGAATCATGTGGACAGTGCCAATGGTCCTGCCATTCGGGAGAACGCTTCTGAAAGACATTATGGCACTGAGGGCAATACACGTTGTTCCGGAGACAAAAATTCTCGTGAAGCACCAGAGTCCGCTGTGGCACCCACTGGCGGCAGTTCTTACACTGCACGTCCTCAGGCGCATGATCACTCGGACCCTCGCGCACATTAGGCCCGTCTTCCTTAATTGCCATGCCGTTTGAGAGCTGCAGCTTGTAAGGCACCGGTGAGCTGGCTCCGGAACCTTGTATCGAGGAGGCGTCAGGCATCATCATATGAACCGATATGTATAGAGCATCGGCGCTCTCAAGCTCAGTATTTGTCGGTTGAATCTTCAATCGCTTCGGAGATTGCATTGAAAAGTCACCAAAGACATGTTCGTCCACCCTTGGTCGATTCCTTTGACGAGCGGAAAGTGGGCTGGCAAAAACGTATACATCTGCGTTGTCAAGGCCTTCAACGCGAATTTCGAGGGGGGCTCCACGATCCCATTTGGCAAGCTCATAATCGACATAATCACCCGGTGCTAGTTGGCCAGTGACCGAATGGCCGATGTGGAGTTCGCCACCAGGAGAAGTACCATTCTTACTGCCCACGGTGCGAGATGAACTTTCTAGCCGTTTCCGTAAATTTTCTCTTGCTTGGTCCTCGTTCAAAGCAACAATGTCGACTTCCAAATCCGTATCCACAACGCATATTCCGGGGCCCTCGGGTTCCACCTTGTCGACCAGAAAACGGAACGGCTCACCCTGACCGCTAACTACCTTTAAGACCTCGCCGATGGTAAGAGTCGTATAGCTATCACGTAGCACGCGCTCCAACAGGGCCTTCCAGTCTTCCGGGTCGTATCCGGCTGCAAGCGGGCGCAAGCGCACATACGTGCCCTTCGGTAACTGATGTACGTGCACCGTCACTGTAGCAGATGGGGACTTCTCTGGCATGTTCGAGGCAGCATTTTCTTCTGGAGGCGATGGCGTGAAATTGTCCAACCCGAGCGCGCCTCGTAGGAAGGTGCTCAATCCGATCTCATTTTCCCCTGAGGAGAATTCTCGAATACCCGCATACACCACGCGGTCATTTTGAGGATTCACAATGCGGAATGTCAGCGGCTGAGGTAGGTGATGTTGGCGCTCTGCGGCGCGATTGCGTGCTCGCGACTCGGTCTCAAATGTGTAGGGGTTGAAGGGGTCGAAGTCGGTGGTGACAGGAAGCGCAGGATTAGTCGAGACGGTGTCTTGAAGCGGGGCCGCGGCAAGGAGTTGCTCGAGAGCAGACTGGGGCAGTGTGATTTTATCACCCGGAAGTTGAGGGGTGAGATCCGAAGGCGTGACAGTCAATTGCGCTGACCAGCGTAGAGAGCCTTGTTCGGAGGCCATAGCTTTGAACTCAGTATATACAGTACTGTATTGTATAGGTACAGTATTCGTAGGTGATGGGTAAATGTGATGTTTAGTCCTAGCGGGGGGAGGGGGGGCTTATACTAGGAGATTTTCGGACCTTGGGGCAAAGCAGCCAAAGCGGAGAGTGGAGATAAGGAGGAAGTTTTTGATGGAAAGAGACTGCTTGATAAACTGGTCATCTTCGAGATCTTCGAGATTAGATAATTTGCCTACACGCAGCTTGAAAGGATGGTTGCTTGTTGCAGGCAGCAGGAGAGCAAGCCTTGAAGAGAGAGAGGGAGGGAGAACCGAAGCGCCGCGGGCCTTCTGGAAAGAGGTGGGATTTGTCATCCCAATTGGCCTTTTAACTTACACTGTAATTACCGTCAAGTTACTATCAATTATATTAACCTTGAAGTCAACTAAAGTAACCAACCAACCAACCAGCCAACTACTCAGGAACCTTGAAAAGTTGACTATTCGAATTATAGACAGGTATATGGTATAGTGACATCGCTCTCAATGCATTCATTCCATTCCACCCGTCAGCCCTAATCCTCAGCTGTTTCCCATGCTGACAAAGATACGCTTGCTTGAAATGATTCAGGACCCACAACGATGTCTTTAGAGCATCAAGTCCCAATCAAATCAATATAATTCTCTCACTCGATGGCGTGTGCTCGTGTTGCACCAGTCGCACTTCCCCCTTGGTCAGCCTTCCCTCGTCATAGCCGGGGTTCTAGTACATACCAGAGTTGATGAGCACCCTTCATTGTGCTCAACACAGTAATCTCCTCGGCAGGTGTTGCATGTCCGTTGGCACTCCGCCTTACACATGGCACACTGGATAACCCATCAGAAAGAAGCTAGCTGGACTCTAATCACGGCACTCACCGTTGGACCACATTCCCAGCAGTCCTTGCTCACACCAGACCTGCCTCTATTCGATTCGTCCCCTCTGGGTTCTCTGGTAGCAGTCTGATGCGGGGTGAGGTTGCTTCTTACGCGCTCTGGATATGGCAAACAATCGGCGCAAAACCATTTATTACAACGATGACACCAGCGATCGGTCAGACATTCTGTACACCGAGCTATCAACACTGCTTGTTTGTCAGGAATTAACGCAGGGCGTCTCGCTGCTGCCACTGTGGATGAATGCAATGGAGGTGGCGCAAGCAGAGGAAATCGCTCCTCGAGGGATTCGCCCCAAATCGCCGGTCCTTCAGGTACTGAATGGCATCCATCGCAACCTCCAGGGCCAAGTGCGACAGTAGCTATTGCCGGCGCAAGCATTCGACTCTCTGGCTCGGAGTTCTCGTCGTTCGGTAAGCTTGGATCTTGCAGCTCAACCTTGTGCCGCGGACCCCGACACAACACGGTGTCGAAGGCAATGATGCCCTCGCATTTTTGGATTGTTTCTGCCCACCCTTCGTCTATCTTCCGCTTGAACAGCTTCCCTGACGGGTAATACCAGGGATTTTGACTGCATGTATCACTCGTTGGCTCGCGACGTGATACTGGATTTCCGCCGGGGGTGGAAGGCTCGCTTGATTCTTGGCTGGAGCATCTTGAGTTCCACCAGTCGCGGTAGTTCCTGCGTACAGCACCACACGGTTGTGCCATGGGTGTAAAATGGTATATCCCTTTCAAACGCGGAGTTCCTTTCGGGCGTGTAGGTCTGACCGCATAATTCAGCACCTGCATCAACTTACATTCGTTCAGATGCCGGCACTCCCTTATCGACAGAATATTGATGTTGAAACGATCTGTCAGAAGGATGTCGGCAATCAATTCCGCCGGCACAGACAGCCCGTCTAGTATCAGTGTCCGCACATCTTGCAGGATTGATTTTCGTTCGAGGCGGGAAAAGATGCCTCGCAAAGGTGCCGCATAAAAATTATCCGCCGTGAGTGCGTCACTCAGCTGAACCTCTCTTGCGACCTGAGCCTCAAGGTTGTCTGGTACCTCGCTGGCAATGTAGGCGCCGCGACATCGGCTCAGGTCGAGATGCCGGAAAACATATGGCGTGTCTATGACCAAAGATCTAAGAACACGCGAGGTCGAGGCCACGGCGAACAAAGCTGGGGTCGACAGATATGGAGCGATATGGTCGAGAACAACATTATTTGACAAAACATCAGTGAGAGTAGCCGGCTTACGCAGTACGGTGGTTATGGTTTGGGATTTCGCGGTGTCTTCCTTGACCGCCCCGTCACTGTCCTCGTCATCTGGTAGCACTTCCTCTACCACTGGCACAAGCCCCAATTCTTTAGAGGTCAATCGACAAGTACCGTAAAAGAAATCAGGGGCGCGGCCGATGAGGTTTTGACGATAAGCAGTCATCGCACCTAGAGCGAGTTCATCTCTTCGCGAAAACACAGGAGCAGCATTGGGCTGGATTTCCTGGAGCGCGGCTCTAGCATTGGCCAGTTCCGTCTCCAGCAGTTCGATAGTGGACAAAAGAACGGCTGGCATGGCCTTGATATGCTCGGGATCGATGGCGGTGACTAAAGTAGACCATAACTCCCCTTCGGGCATGTTAGGAAATGTCAATGGCGGACTTTGATTATGTGCCGATGTGGAGAGAGAGGGGAAAAGAAGAAGAGGACGTGCGCTCCGAAACAAAAAGAAAGAGAGAGAGAGAGAGAGCCGATATAGTATGAGAAGTCTGCGCGTAGCGAAGGAGGGGAACAACCGTAGTGTTAAGAAGCGAGTGGCGGAGCGACAACCACGACAACAAAAAGAAGGAGGAGGAGGAGGAGGAGGAGGAGGAAAAGGAGATGACGAGGAAGAAGAAGAGTATAGTTTGAAACAATTTCTAGAAACTGCTCACGAGAATGGATGGCTTCTAATATTCCAGTACGAACAGAGACGATCAGCGAACTACGTCAAGCGCCCGTAAGGTATCCCAAAGATAAAGCGAGGAATTCGAGTGGTTTAAGGGTCAGGGGGGGTGGAGGAAGTTGGGGAAAAGAGAACATTAGGAGTAGGAGGGAGGCATAGATATACCGTACACCTGTTGCCATCGTATGTACGACGACATCGACTGACCGAGAGAGAGATTGTCCGACATATTGTCATCTAATGCAGTGGTGTATAACCATGATAGAATTGGGTTTAGTCTAGAAATATTGTGAGTTCCGTATGTACTGTGCAGTACATACATATGAGTAGTAATTACTTCATTGCACGGAGTACTCTGGCAGTATCGGCGGAGTCGGGGGAAGGTGGCATTCATGCATACGATGCATACATTTACCGGTACATCAGATTATAGTCTTTGTGTATCTATCTACCTGGCGCAAGGGCAGCAGGGGATACTCAATCTAGTACGTAGGTATAACTACTTCATGTAGAAAGTCACTCCCCAGTCTACACGTACTGTACTGTACACCAGTGGTACCCGCACCAAGTGACCATGAGTATGGAAGAAGATTCGGCTGACTTGCATGATTTAGGAGACAACAAGACACCCTGGCCCTCGTTCACGGCTTCAATTTCTCCGTCCCATTCCAAGGCTCGGACCCACTGGCGGGACTAATGGGTAGTTAGTACCTGTACGAAGTACGGGGCAGATTCTACAGTATTAGATAGTATCAGACTCTAACTAGGGGTTGTTGCTCGGGGATCTGGACCGCCCCACTGAAAGCCGAGACCCTACTCTATACATACTACTAGGTACTCATCCACTTTATGGTCTCCTTGGGATATCTGTGCAGTGTCTGTGTGCATCTATGTGTAGAGTATTAGTTACAGTAGATGTAAAGGTATGCCAAATATTCCAGCAAGAGTACTAAGGGATGAACAATCTGGCAATTTGTGATTGGGAAGGCGAACAGCAAAGGAAGAAAAGAGCAAAGCTAAAAAGGGTGACCGAAAGGAAATGAATTACCGGCTGGTCACGCGCACCCTCACCTTACGACGAGGCGGCGATCAACAGGCTTACCGATGGAGTCGATGCGATGGATGCCAGGTGGACCCCACCCACCTCCCCCTTCTCCAGGCCCGGGGCGAACGGACGGTGGGCCGACTGAGTTTGATGTTTGATGGCCCCGACAAGGACGGTACTAAAGCAGTTGCTCAATCGATAAACAAAAGTCAGATAAGGTGATTCATCACTTACTCATAATTATTCAATTGGATTCCCGATTCCGTATATGTTCATATGTTTATCGGCTCTATACTACTCCGATATTAGCGAATGACTGAACTGGTATACGTATACTAAGGAAAAGACCATCAGGCCACCGCAGACTGACTATCGAGTTGTCAACTTATCATCTACCATGTTGCCAAGCCGGAGAGCAGGCATTATGATTACAGTGTCGACAATCTCTGCTTAGATTTGACTTCCTCGCAATGCCGCCAAGCACAATTTATGCCCACTGATCGTCGTCCTGGTATTCTGCACCAGTGTGTAACTGCATAGTTACAACGTATTAGCTACACGGGCCTATCGAGATCGTTTGCAGTGCACAGTATCTACTCGTACTATGTATAGACTAAGGATAACTGCAAATGCACACGTGACAAGAGTCAGCAACTCCCGGCGCCTTACCACGCAAAGAAGGGATGTTGACAACCGTCTTTGTCCCGATTTGCTCCTGATTTGCTGGTCACCCTTGAGAATAGGCATGGGCCTGAAGTTTACGGTATAGGCTATCGCTACAGAGCACACGCATCTTGAATTGCTTCCACTGAAAATCTTGGTAAACATACCGTGTATACATCACTCCTTGCTTACATTTGAGCTGAAAGACTTCCCCCAAACACCATCTGGTCGTGACTTGGCGACAACAAGCAGAAGCCAGGGGCTTTAAGATCAATCGAATCCGCTGCCGGCGAGAGCCCATCGAAAACGAATGACATATATTGGGCAACCATCAAGACCACGCTGGAACAATGAAAGGGATTCCTGGTAAAACAACCGGTTCATTTACTTGAAAAGTTTCGACACTGCGACCTCCTTGTCATCATGCTTGTTGAGAATCTTCGCAGTAGCCAGGTCAAAGTCTTCCTGAGTGACATGCACACGTCGCTCCCGAAGTGCATACATGCCCGCCTCTGTACACACTCCTTTGAGCTCGGCTCCGGAGCATCCGTTCATCTTTTCGGCAATCTTCGTAAGGTTGATTCCTCGGGTCAAGTTCATTGACCGCGAATGAATGCGTAGGATGTCGGCACGAGCTTCCACTCTGTAATAGTAAAGATCCTGGTCAGCCAACTAGTGGTGAAACGCGAATGTTTAGGCAGTGGCAGCGACAGAAAATCGCAGGACAAGGGTCAGCAACTCACGACGGCGGTGGGAACTCAATCTTGCGGTCAATGCGACCAGGGCGCAGCAAGGCCGGATCCAGAATATCAAGTCGGTTGGTGGCCATGATGATCTTGATGTTCTTCGTAGGTTCAAATCCATCTAACTGGTTAAGAAGCTCCAGCATCGTCCGTTGTACCTCCGAGTCACCCGACCCGGCCGAGTCAATCCGGCTGGATCCAATACTGTCGATCTCGTCCATGAAGATGATACTCGGGGCGTGCTCTCGGGCCATAACAAAAAGCTCACGGACCATGCGACTTCCTTCACCTATGTACTTCTGCACCAATTCCGATCCACTGACTCTGATAAACCGGCAGTCGGTGTGATGAGCGACAGCTCGGGCAAGTAACGTTTTGCCGGTTCCCGGGGGACCGTAAAGAAGCACACCTTTTGGCTGTGCGATACCAAGCGATTCAAACAGCTCCGGGTGTTTCAAGCCCAGCTCGATCACCTCCTTGATTTCCTTGATCTGCTGGTCAAGACCACCGATCATATCGTACGTACTATCAGGTACTTTCTCGACCATCATCAGCGACACCAGCGGATCGACGGAGGAAGGCAGCATCTTTTCCAATTTGTACGAGTCGGATAACAGCGCAACTCGCTTTCCAACTGTCAACTTGCTGATATCGACACCGTCCGCGATGTCCACGACTACAGAGAGAGGCTAGAGTCAGCATGTAATGAACATATCAAAACAAACAATGTGCATGATGTAGAGAGATTGCTTACCATATTTGCCTTCCGGGTGAACTTTGACAAGAACCTTCTTGGTGCTCATGACCTTGACCACCTCGCCAACATAGGAGCCGGGTTGCTGAAGCAGGCCTAGCTCCTCCCTGAGTAGACGTACCCGCGAGTTGTAATCATTCCGTTGTGCTTCAAGTCGTCTGAGAACAGCCTGGCCTTGAATGATCTCGAGCTTCATGCTCTCAATCTTGTTGCGGTAGTAATTGTCGAGCGCCATGATGGATGACGACAGATAGCGCTGCCACGGCAAGGCAGAACGGGGGGGTGGAGTCTATCAGTTTCGATGGGATGGAGAAGAAAGGTTGATATATCTTCTGCCAGACTTTGGGGGAAGGACAAAGTAGGTAGAGTGTGGGACAATAAGCAGGAAGAGCAACAGGGAAGAGAGTTGTACAATACAAGTGAACAGCGGACGGAGGGTGAGGATGAGCTCGCTCTTGCGTGTGTAGCTTAGCTTGTCCGCCCTCGTCGACGTCGACAGGAACGCCGCCGCCGCCGCCGCCCAAAAGCACACCCGCCACAACTTATTCATCAGCCACAGCAAGCTTACATAGCGAAGGGATTTGTGGATCTTGCGGGATTCGTTCCATGTCATTGCTGGGTGCCCAGTGATTGCCCGGTTCGCCCGGTTTGCTGAGTGCGACGTACCTACTGTACTGTACTCTGTACTGTACAATACTGTGTTTACTCAACTTCAATTAAGTGTTGAACGTTTGTTTCTATGTGCATTATTCCACACCCTCTCTCTTCCAGTTTCCTTCCCAACTACTCTCCCTGTCTGCTACTTTTCACAATATCCAGCAGATTATAAGAGAACTACTAGTTAGTTCCTTAGTCATTGTCCGTCTGGTTTGTAAGAAATCCCTGTGACTTGGGGTCCCAAGGTCTCAGCTGACTGCGGGGATGCAATGAGGCTGTATCTCATGATCTCACTAAGTTAGCTGCTAGCTACTAAGTTGTGTTCTGTACCAAGACAACACTCTACTCCTTTCCCCCCCTTTCACAGTCAGCTATTCTTTCCCTCCTTGATTTTTTTTTTAACGTTGGAACAATATGTAGCCCTCTCTCTGTGACGCCTCAGATCATAATTGTTTTGTCAATTATTTTCCCCCTGCTCTCTAGCCCTGTTTATCTTGTTCGCTGCTGTTCTAAGTGCAGGCCACTATCTCATCAGTGCTTTTCCCGAACTATTCCCTTTCCATAATTGCCCAGCCCCCCCCCCCTCTCTCTCTCTCTCGATTCTTGTATCACTTATAAGCGAGAAGTTGGCAATACGCCAGAAGGATGTCCGACAACCGACACCACCACGACCAGGTGGAGGAAGACGAAGAGCAGGACCCTTACCTCTTCGTTCCGACTGAGTCCTCTTGGAACCTGACCAACGAGGATATGTCAGGAATCATTCGTCAACAGAGGAATGCAGGGCATACCCGAAGGGACTACGGTGCGTCACCCCAACCCAAAAACATTAGAAATTCTGCATCTCTTTCCTTTCCAAGGAAGTAACTCACATGCAGCAGGTACCATGGATTCTTCTGCGAAAATGGACAACGACCTACGACCCGACGAGAGCCAGCCCGAGAGTTCAAGTCGCGTTCTTGCCTCCCAGTCACCATCGGGCCCACTAAGAAAGCCATCAGTAACGCGTCGTATATCCTCGAAGCGACAAGTTCCTCATAAGGGACAGGAGTTTTCTACAGATGACGATGTACAGGAGGTGGAAGAGGATATTGCTAAGCAACAAGGCTCCAATCCGCAGGCATCGCCAAGGATTCGCCCTCTGAGAAAGCAAAGCTCAACCTTGCGGCGACGGTTGAACGCCCGAGTAAGCCCCCTGGCTCAAGCAGGCTCAGACGTAGATGGTGAGGACGATACCGCTCTACCTGATGCTGCTGTGGAAGGAACTGGGCCGGAGCCTTCTATTCAGCGATCTGAGACCGGCAGTCAAACTGGGGAAGGTATTCACAGTGAGGAGGATGAGGCGGCGTCAAGTGATGCTGAAAGCTTCACATTGAAGGATCGCCAGCAAGCAATAAACGAAACGCACCCGTTCGGTATTAGGTTGTGGAAACCCGCTTTGTACAAGAAGAGTCGCTCGGTGGAGAAAACAGCGGAGGGTGACATTCACTCTTCGCCTGGCGGTCGAGTGGGTAACCTCTTATTCTTTATCAACCTCCTGTGGACCCTGTTCTTCGGGTGGTGGCTCGCTTTGGCGGCATTGACAGGGGCTATCGCATGCTTCATATTCGCATACTCGCCCAGTGCAGTGGAATACGGACGAGTCTTCTCCGGCCTTTCTTGGTATCTAATCTACCCCTTCGGCTCCTTCGTCCGCCTAGATACGGATGAGAATTACGCCGAGGAAGATGAGGGAGAGGGTCGCAGCATTAGCGAGTATGAACAATGGCAGAACGGCGACCTTGAACATGGTAGACTATTCTTCGGTCCTCGACGCGACCGGTCCCTGGTTGGGAGAAGGAGAAACAGTGTCGATTCGGCCAGTGAACAAGATAGCCTGCTAGGCCGAACACAAAGAGGCCATGCGAGGGAGAGCCCCCTTACCCAGCCGAAGCGACGATTGTTCGGCCGTGGCGAGTGGACGCTTGGCCGCGTGGTATTCTTCATCTTCTTCTACTTCCTTGTAGGACCGCTAATGCTCATTGTCTCGCTTCTCTGTTGGTTGCTGGTTTTCTGGATACCCATGGGACGTGTGACCATCATTCTGTTTGATCACCTTCGCCGGCATCCTCTGGCCTTGTCGTATCATTCTGATACAGCACATACCAGGGTCAGTCCCGGTTCTTCCTCGTCTGTTCTGTTGTGCACCTATCGTGCAGCTGGTCTGCGATACTGGAAATACACGGTCGGCGGAACGAACATCTTCTTCATCAACCTACTGGGTGTTGTCTTGTTCGTTATCTTTGACTACTTCCTTCTCAGCAAGACCCTGGGTCTCCAGACGGCCATCACTCATCCGGGCCTTATCTTCACCCTGGCTCTTGTCTCTATCATCCCTTTGGCTTACTTCATCGGACAGGCTGTTGCATCGATCTCAGCTCAGTCGTCTATGGGTATGGGTGCTGCTGTTAATGCTTTCTTCTCCACAATAGTCGAGGTCTACCTTTACTGTGTGGCACTTACTGAGGGAAAGGGTCAATTAGTAGAAGGTAGTCTTATTGGGAGCATATTTGCAGGCATCTTGTTTCTCCCCGGCCTTTCGATGTGCTTTGGCGCTATCAAACGCAAAACACAACGTTTCAATGTGAAATCCGCCGGTGTCACTTCCACAATGTTGATGTTTGCCGTGATTGCCGCTTTTGGACCAACACTATTTTATCAGATCTACGGCAGTGTAAGCATGGTTCCTCCCATACCCTATTCACAGCTCCACTCTATCCATCCCCTCAAACCCTGCCTTTGCCCCTTGCTAATGAGGAATTCAGCATGAACTTAACTGCCGATCCTGCGTGGAAACCATGAAGTCGAGTGGTAGCGATTGCCGCCGCTGTTATTTCTCGCAGGTTCCAGCTGTCAACGATAGCTTTTTCCGGAAAGCTGTTCAGCCTTACTCCTGGTTCGCTGCGTTATTTTTGTTCCTGTCATACGTAATTGGGTTATGGTTCACACTTAGGACTCACGCAGCCCTCATTTGGGCCACAGAATCCGAGGAGAGAAAAGCGTCCGCTCTTGCCAACGAGCAAGCCACGTACGAGCCTCGAAATCTCGATGCCGCTCAAGCCTCAGCACTGGCCATTGGTGGCCTTGTTACATCCAGGGGCTCAGTGCGCGATTCGCAACTGTACAAACGTATTTTGGGGCAATCCCTGAAGCATGTCGGTCTATCCGAGACTGCGGGGGAATTCAACCTCTCCGCGCATGGCAAAAACGCAGCACCCTATCTTGTACCTCCCCAAACGACGACCGGGGACCACCACGCAAGCTTCAAGGATTTCCGAGATCTGTCTAGCGAGGAGAATGAAGACCTTGTGCGCCGAGTAACTGAGGTAGCAGCTACGGCGGCTACCGTTGCCGCCCGTGACGCGGCCCGGTCCCGGAAGCCGTCCGTTCAACACGGTTCGCTCCGTCAGACAACAAAAGCTCCGGCTGATTTGGCAAAGTCACACTTGGATGAAGCCGATGAAGTTGGCCTCGAAAACACTCACACTAGCGGTGGGCATGATGCGCCGAATTGGAGCAAAGCCAGGAGTTCGATAATTCTCTTGGTGGCAACCATACTGTATGCTATCATTGCTGAAATCCTGGTCAACACGGTAGATGTGGTTCTAGAGAGTGTCGACGTGGATGAGAAGTTCCTAGGGATCACACTCTTTGCCCTGGTACCCAATACGACTGAATTCTTGGTATGTGCAATGAACTCATCTTCCCTTGCTGGTTGCTGGATTGCTTACGGCCAGATGTCAACAGAACGCAATCTCCTTCGCTATGAATGGGAACATAGCGCTTTCTATGGAAATTGGATCAGCCTATGCTTTGCAAGTCTGCCTCTTGCAAATTCCCGCATTAGTGCTTTTTAGTGCCATTTACTCCCGCCTGATAGACCCATCGGAATTACTCAGTCATACATTCAAGTACGTTTCTTCGTACTTCCAAGCCAGCTTTAAACTCTTATCTAACATCATCCAGCTTGATCTTCCCTCAATGGGATATGATCTCGGTCATCCTTTGTGTCTTCCTCCTCTCCTATGTTCACGGCGAAGGCAAGAGCAATTACTTCAAGGGCTCGATTCTCGTCCTTACATATCTCGTCGTTGTCATTGGGTTTTATCTATCGGGCTACAGCAACATAGAGACGATGGGTGTTGACCGGTTTGACACGCTTGCTCTCGGTTTAAGCTCATCGGAGAAGTTTTACACCATCGGTCGGGCAACGAGTGGCCAAGCCTTTGCGTCTCATTAAGGAACCCTTTCCGACTCTTCGCATGTTACTTTTCGTGATAAATATTTGTGCCGAATCTTGGGAGTGTATTGTGTCGCTTGCAGAGAAGAAAATCGCATTTTACCAGTCTCTTGTCATATCTCTGGCTAGAACTGCTCATCAGTTGGCATCATTTTGCCTTTCCTCTTCCGAAGAAGCCTCACCATGGGTGTTATCAATGTTTGTCGAAACACTCTCCACCACGATTCGTCCTGCCAAATTGGAACCATTTCATTTGACGCAGCCTGCAAGTGACCAGCAAGACAATTCCCCCTTGGAAGCCTCCCCTTCAGTGAGGGAAAATACTCTTAAGGTTTCCACGAGCTCACGGTTCGATCAACGAGAGCCCGGTACTCCTGTTGCTTGTAGCATTGTTCAAGAAAAACCTTGTATTTGACGTCGAGCAGTGCCTTCTCCTTCATATCGCTGGTTGGAACGACCTTCCTTCCTGGTTTACTCATCCGATCCATAATTTCCCAAAGATCCTCAGTCTTGCCCTCCGGATCAGCACTAGCAGCTTTGGCACCCAGCATCGCTGCTCCATGACACACGGCAGCATGAATATACCGAGGAATAAGTACCGGCATATCGCACGCCGACGCTATTAGTTTAACCAAAATATCATTCTGGCACTGAGAACCAGACATGAAGATTGAGGTAATCGTGTGGCCGGCTTTGTTCATGGTTTCCACGATTTGTCTGGTTTGCAGTGCAATAAACTCGAGAGTAGCATAGTAGAACACTGCAAGACCATCGACAGATTTATCACTTGTCAAACCGACGACGGATCCCGCCATGGCAGCATCCGCAATAGGAGAACGGTTTCCCCACAAATCTCCGTAAAAAAACAAATGCCGGCCTAGATAAGAAATGTTAGGGGCTTCCTGCTCGTGGGTCATCTCCTTCAGATGTTCGTTTAGGTATTCATATATATTAGCATGGTAGGACTCGGCGATTGAGGCCGCCTGATTGAATGCTGGATGAGTTTCAATGACATGCTTGAGCAACTCGCCAGTCGCGGATTGGCCGCCCTCGGCCATCCAATATCCCGGCTGAATGGTATTGCGGTACGGTCCCCAAACACCAGGCACAAAGACGGGGTCCTGCGACATTGCAAGGTGGCACGTTGAAGTTCCAGCGACAGCGGCCAAGCGTGAGAAAGCCTGGGACTTATCATTCTTCGAGACTTCGGAGCTCAATTGCCCGGGCTCCAACTCTACTTTGGCGCCGACTGTACCGATCCAGCCTGCATACGCGTCAATGACACCGCTGCCAATCGCGATCCCTGACGGAAGCCCCAGTTCAGATGCTGCCTTGTCACATAGTGTTCCCACTAACTCGCCAGCACTGAGATAATCGCCATTCTAGAGCAATGATCCGTTAGTCGCTCAGATATAAGCATACCGCAATCGTCCTGCTCCGGGTAAAGTAGGCACGTCAAGAGAAATTGTCACAGAAGAAACAAGGCTCACCACCCCGTCAACACCGCCCATGCGCTTGAAGTTATCCTCGACTAGGTCACCCAAGCCGATTTCAGTCAAGAAGTCGTCTTGCCAGCCTTTCACACTCCCGTCCACACCAACAGGAACATACCCCTGCTTGCAAACCACACTGCAGAAACTCCTTTTCTCGGTTCCTGTGGCGATATGGGTCAACGCGTCTGCCAGGTCGTAGAATTTGCACTGATCGAAGAGCTCTTTCGGCATATTGTTCTTGAGCCATAGAACCTTGGGGATTTCCATCTCGATCGACATTTTGCCGCCCACGTAGCGAAGAAGATTGTGGTTCGTGGCATTGATTTTCTCGGTTTCTTCGACGGGACGATGATCCAGCCACAGAATCACATTGCGGTCGGAGTCGAAGTTGGGGCCTGTGACTGAGATGGGCTCATCGGTTACATTGGAAAATACGGATAATGAACAAGTCGCATCGAAACCGATGCCTCTCACAGTCTCGGGGTCGATATTATGCTGGCTGATAGCCCGTTGAACGGCCACACAGATACATCTCCAGATATCGTTGGTAGATTGTTCCTGAGCCATATTAGCCTAGTCCTCCAGGGGGCACAGACACCACACAGGATGATCGTGGGGGGGGCAAACATAGTATCCCTGCTGAGGTTGCCAGAGCCCGATGTTCTCAGACGCCAGTCCGACAATGTCCCCTTTATCATCGATGATACATGCACGTGCACTCCCGGTGCCGACATCGATGCCAATATAATGGTCCACATGCACCTGGATTTCATCTCGGTTGTCTCTCGAGGCCTGCCTAGAGCTCTGGCGTGAGGGTCGACGGTATGGCAGGGAGCCCAGGGAAGCCATGATTGAGATAGTTCCGGATCGGACCTGATATCTCTGATAGAATGATGGTGTAAAACTGAAGTTTTATAAAACCATCGAAGTATAGAAACGTAGGTCCGATATAGATGGTAGTGGCTTTCTCTACCGAGGGGTTCGAATTGTCTCAAAAATAATCGTTTAAAGAGATAACAAAATCGCAGCAGGTTTCCTAGCATAGAAGGGAAGGAGAGAAGGCAGGTGAAAGAGAGGGGCGTTTTAGGGGGGGGGGGATGCGCTGTACAGTATATGCAGTACGAGGGTACAATACTATGGAGTAATTAATGACTTACTGACTTGGAGAGTAAGTTTGGACTTCGTATGACCTACGATGATTTCCCTACGAGCTAGTCTTAAGTGTGAAGGAGTAGCACTGCAGCAGTATGTACTGTACTGTACACAGGACTAAGTACAGTAGCAGCAACAGCCATAGGAGTGGGGTTGGGCGAGGATAAATGGCGGGATAAAGGGCAGGGACTCGGGTCATTGGAATCCAATGTCATTGGGAGGAGGTTCAATGGTGGTTGGGTCTATAATCACTGGCCTAGTAGTTAAGTTTGATACTTGTATAAACATGTGTGCAAAACTACGGAGTACTATACAATACATCTGTGTCATATATCACATACGGTATAGATTGTATGAATACACCATAACTCACACTCTCTCCGTACTAGGTTCTCCCTGAGCTTGTATCATACCGAATGATACCATACATCCTACACCGTCGTAGTATGACCTCAGCTGTATTAGTTATGTATTAAACACCAATTTACCCCAGGAACTACTCTGTCTGGCTAACTGAATTAACCTCCCACTTAACAAGCTCCCTCTCATCAACCTCCTTCCTCCTCCCTATCTTCCCGGTCATCGGAGCTATTTACTTACTTACTCCTCCTCCCCCTCTCGTACAAGTGCATCTTTGCCCACCATGTGGCCGTTTCCATCTCCTATGCTTCTGTCACTATTATGCTTTTTTCTTTCCTCAAGTGTGGTCAATTCCTCGCCATCTCCCCAGCTATCATCTGCTGATGTCTTCTACTGGCCCGCCGCAGCTTCGGAACCTTCTTTCCTGGCCCAGATATCCTATAACTCGACTTCCATGAATTCAGAGGTGGTCTCCTATTCGCCTCCGACCCCTGCTCACGCATACGAGTCGTCGGATTTGATTCGTATCGGTTTCTTCGCAACCAACTCTTCAGGTTCCAAGCACTGGGTTGGGACTGCTACTTCCTGGTCATCGTTCTTTGGGGATGAGGACCACCGCCCTACCCTTCGACTTTACACCAAGTCGCCTTATGAGGACGAATTGTATCACGTTGCTCTAGTATCCTCGACTACATTCGCTGCTTTCTCGACTCTGGTCAGCCCTCGCGTGGAACTAGTATCGAATGAGGCTGGCCCGCGTCCGCACCTAAATCAACCTGTCATTATCGGCCCGGACGGAAAGAACGCAGACGACGTTGTCGAGAAGACATTCTTCCAGAAGTGGGTCAAGCTCTTTCCGACGTCTTCTGCACCTTCTGTGAACTGACTTGCATCACTCAGGTACTGGTGGATCTTCCTCATCGTCACATTTCTCGCCATGTCTGGTGGAGGGGAATCGCAGTAGTCCCCTGGGCGCCCACGCTCAGTTGCACATTTCGATCAACCACCTACCCGCTCCAGCCGCAATGTGAATCACCCCTACCCCTCAGCTGTCGGAAAACGGCCCCGTAGGACGTCGTTTGCCTTGTCCATCATATATCCGTCACCGCCATGCGCCCCCTCGTTCTCTCCCAACGGGGATGCGCCCCGCAGACTCTAGTCGCATCCTAGCTAGGTTGAGAGTAGGATGCCAGTGGGCCATATCAGATGTTCTGTAGTGTGTCGTCTGCAGCTCCTGAGTGCGAGCATCGAGCTCGTTGGCTGAGCTGGACTAGGTCCTCAATCGACTAAGAACCTCAGACAAGGTCGCCAATGGGGTCACAGAGTCTAGAGACGGAAAGGACAGATTGCAAGCTATGTAGCTCAGATTACTCCTCCAGTCAATGCTTGCCTCAGCCAAAATCTGGCGTCTCTGCACAAAATGGTCTTGGCGAGCTTGGTTTCCTCTTTCTTGGTTCAGAGCGACTAGAACACTCTGGAGCCCTCGAGTCCCTTTTTGCTAGGGTTGGAAACGATACCCATGTGCATACAAAATAGCTCTACTTCTTAGCGGGCAAAGAGTGGGCGACGGTTTGTTGCATGACACAAGAACCCGAGGCCGTCTCGCATTGAATACTGGATAGATGTTCCATCAATAGCTCTTAGTTTGTCTTTGTTTGTACTGGAATGTCAGTAAAGATACTGCTCCCAGGATTTGACTAGTATCAAATATGCTGAATCAGTCGTCGCCCTCTTCCCCGCGGACCTAAATCCCAGCACATGACGCCCCTATCTGTGATTGCTATCAATCCATTTTCTTCCTCAGAGAAATGCAATTGAAAGCAGACGGCTTCAAGCGACAATACTATGGGTCGTAATTCAATCATGCCAGAATCTTGTGCTTGTGATGCGAGTGGGTAGAATCCGTTGGAATTCTCTTCAATTAGCGCACTTGGCTCAAGAGCCCAAACATAGATTATTTTCCAGTTGGCGACTGCAAGCCTTGTTCCCTGCCTTGAAGCTGCAACTATGCAACCAAGGGAGTTGGTCGGATGCTGGAATCCCCAGAGGCGTGCAACGACGCTCCAATCAGGCAATCGCCGTCCACGCTCAAGTTGCAAGACATGTTGACAATTCTGTGCGCGACAGAATGTTTCGGATGTCAACAAGCACGCAACGGTCCATTGTTCTTCGCGATGAGTTGCTAAGCCGAAAGCCAGGTATTTCCATTGACAACGAGCGAATCCATCTAGGACCTGAGTTTGATGGGTCCCGAAGAAAGGAACCTCGATTGAGAAAAGAAGGCTAAGGGAGTCTGTGAACTGTACAGGGCAGGAGTTTTCATACAATGTGGGCTGTATGGGAAAGGACGACATGTCAATTCTCTGGAAAGAGCCGTACAACGTCTGAGCGCGATAATAGTAGAGTAACTGGCTGGACTTGTCGTTGAAACGAAGACCTACTACAGAGCTGTTATCGTAAGGAAGAAGACCCCGAGCGAGTCTGCCTTGTAAGCCCCGATGGCCGTCAAACCACTGTCTTTTGCTGCTATGGAGGACGCAAGAATTGTAGCTAGTTTCTAGGCTATGTCAGCACTGGCAGCCTTGGCTGCAATGACACAGAAAAACCTACCGATTACCCCCGGCCTCATATCGCAGTTGGATTCAGAGGAACAGATATATAAAGTTACCTCGAGGTCACTGGTGTCCTGGGCTTTCTGCCAGGAAATTGCGAAAATGCCTCCGCGCGCAGCCGCCAGAGCCAAAGGCTCGTAGTCGGCATGATCAGGGAAAGCACAAATGCGAATAGGGCCGTGGGGAGATTGTATTGAACATCGAGAGAGATAGACCGTCGTATCAGTCCCAAGCTGCATGGCGTGCCTGACGAACGGATGCCTTGCATAATCATCACTGTCGTTCACTGAAGGTCTAAAGCGATGGAGTATGTATAATGTATCATCGCCGTCAAAGGCAGTTTTAAGAATTTCAACAGCACCTGGCCGACACCACTGGAGCTCCAAGCGAGCTTGGGGTCGGAGCCCACCCCCTAAAACCTGGAAAAGATGGATGCTTTCCTGTTCTCGAAAAACAAGTGCGAGCGTCAGGAACTCCCTAGGGACCAATACAGATGCCGTCACATTAAGGGAGTTGGCCCAGGACTTGAAAGTGACACAGTCCGCATGAAACTGTGCACCATATAGTTGCTGCGATGCTCGTCTCAAAAGCAGTTGGAATAGCTCTTGGGCATGCATAGAACGGAGGTCTGCGGGTAGAGTCCCCGGAGTTCGTTGTAGGTGGTGCACAAGGACCTCTCGACAGTTAGTCGCAATTTCATACATGGTACGACATGAGATTGCCGCCTGTAGGAAAGTTGGGGTAGAACAGGATCGAAGAACCCATTGTATGAGCTCCGTAGGAAGGTTCAGAAGCATGGTCACCAAAGGTCGAAGCGCTTGCCTTGAGGGAGGGGAAGGCAGGTAGTAAGCAGGCAGGCATTCAAAGTTCTGTTCTACCTGCTCGTAGGTAGCGGGTGAATGGGCGTATGGAAGGAGTCAAGCCCCTTGAAGAGGAGAGGATTGATGTTAAATCCCTTTGATTAATCACAGCTGGCGGGTCTGCCTGTTTCCTCTAAGGCACCAGAGTCACTTGCTGCCTGGAAGGTATAACAAGAGAAGACCCACTACAACATAACTGAAATCGGAACCATCTCAGAGGCAGCAATCACTGCTCTTTGCCAGGCAGAAACCTCAGTCCAAGATTTTCAGACTCGCATTTAAGATTTTAGCCGGTACGGAACTCAGATGCGGAAGCACTAAGGGAGATCGGGCCTTAAGGGGTGCCTCACGTCCATATCGCAGGCGGCACTTACACTAACTACAGATACGGTGTAGATATCAGATATATCTTCAATAGAATATTACTTGACTTGGAAGGTCTTGGTTCCATCAAGAGGATAGGGGAAGAAAGTTACCATGGGTCAATCATTTATGATCTCAAGTAATATCTTCTGTACATCTATAATATTATTTTGATACCCGAGCCACACAGCTTATAAAGTCTCATCATAATCAACTAGAACTAAAGGAGAACAACACCCGAAAATGCTTTCATAAACACATATTGACACGGCGACCAAGGTCTAGAATGAAAGCGATTAAGACATCCCAGAAGTATAATAAATACCCACGCCGACATGATTTCAAGAGCACCCCTTGTGATTTCATCATCCAGTGATGACCAAGAGATAATAAATATTACCTAATTGTACCCTATTCCCCTATGTGTGATACAGCCCATTCCAACACGCTTTCATAGCACAGAACAAACTGTGAAAGATTCTGAACCATGCTGGGTCTTTGTCTGCGGAAGTCGTCCACAGTCTTCTCAATGAGGTCCAGACCCTCATCGAGATCCCGTTGTTTCTCAGTGAGCCTTGAATTCAGCTCGACCGCTGTGGCTTGACCCCTTCGCCGCTTCAGTATGTCCAGGACAGTATCAACCGTACAGAAAGCGCCGGTACGTCCGCACCCAGCACTACAGTGCACCAAAACCGGTCGCTGATCCACTGTGTGTCTCTGGAACGTAACGGGAATAGGACTATTCGTTGTAGTGAGAACCCGATCACAATATTCGATAAGTCTGAGGAGGTGTGTAGGCTGCGACGTTGTTCCAAAGTCAGGCCAGTGTGGGTATTGCAATTGAGTGACTTCTCGCAATGGCTGAAATGGGTATGCTGAATGTGACAAGCCGAAGTGCCTGACAATGATGTATGGATTACCAGGGTCGTCTTTCACGTCGGGGGGTAACTGGCTGCCTTCTAACTCAATATGTGGTGAATCCCGAGAATTTAGGTAGATCAACTTCTGCGAGAAATTGTTGACCTGGCACTGTCCATACTCCCCTGACTTCCAGTAGGGATGACATTTGACCTGACCCCTTTCGACTTCGGCAGTCAATGAAACAACAAGTCGGACATCCTGTTCCCATATCACTCGCCAAAAGTCCTATAGGCATGATCAGCAGATGTTTCAACCACACTCTCGCCACCGGAGACATGACAAAGAGGAAAGACTTAATATCGCACTTACATCGAAGGTATCAGGGACTGGGGCCTGGGTGGCGATATAGCATTTACCACTCTTTTCCGCCTTTAAATGGTTCCCATTCACGTAGTCGCAGCCACCAGGAGAGACATTCTGGAGTCTCACTCGGGTATGTTCAAAAGGATAGATGTCGTTATATCTATTCTTCGTTCCTTTCTCAATACCGGCAACGCGGTACCTTTCTGGCGATGAGTCAATCGCCGCGGACTCGTCGGATTTATTATAAGACAGCGCTCGTTTCATGCGTTCGAGCTCCCTCTTCTCAAGCTTCAAAAACCTCTCGGAGACTTTGCGACCTTTGTCGGAGGCGTCAGACACATCGCGTAGCCAAGCTGGAAGTTGTTGTCTCTTGAGCTCTGTAAGATCAGAAGGGAGTTGTAGAGGTATCTGTCCAACACCATCAACCAGATCCATGTGTTGTCTGATGTTCGCAAAAAAAGGTATCGTAGCATGGGATGACTCGGGAAGAGCACATCCGCCTGCGACAGGGGCTGCCGAAGGGAGATCAATATGCATTCTGGGTGTTTTCTTTGTAGGCGCCCCTGAAGCTGGAAGCTGCTGTTGCTTGGTCAAATGAGGGAAGCGAGATGAGAACATTTTATAGCCCCCGAGCAGAATTCGGGCCTCCCCTCCCCACCCTTCACTGGTGAATTTCTTCAGCACATTAGCCAGCGACCCTGCATCTTTCATGTCACATGTAGCGGCATCAAACACGATTATGTATTGGGATTGCCGCCACCGCGCAAACTTTTTCTTATCATGATCGACTGTGAAGGTATTCGCTAATTTCTGCGTGTCGAATGAAGGGCGCTTCAACAGTGTTGTCGGTATGCAAAGGTTGAGAGACCCCTCGATGGTCCCTTTCGCGAAATGCGCGTAGGGTCGAACATCTAGAAGCATGATATCACGATCAGATGATTCGAGTAGCGCTGCACATTCATCTAGGGAGATGAAACGCCCGTCAATAGAAGTCATCTGTCCTGAAGGTGCACCAGCACCTGGGACCATTAGGTCTCGGCCCCGTGGATTCTCGTGACCCGTGGATTCTTTCAGGTGGTTGTTGAATGTCAATCCGCTTCTTGAAAGAGTCAGATTTTTATCGAGGGGTCTATTGTTTGCAAGGTGAATTCTTGGATAAGATATTGCAGAATGAGCGTGTGGTCCTGCTTCTCCAATGTTCCCAAGGTTGCCCGGATTGTCCACACGAATTGAGAAATGCTCAGGTCCCGAACGTTCTAAGACTGTACTCGAGGGACCAAGTCCGGGAGGTCCATGAGACGAAGGGTGAGTATCACAAAAAGAGAAAAATGATGTTGAGTTTGCAGGGTGGTCAAGCTGCAAATTCTGGCACTCTGATGGCCAAGGAGATGTAGGTGACCTTGAGCCTGTCATAGCCGACATGATTCTATGTCAAGACAGAGAGTGACGGTCTGCCTTTCTAGCCGAAGAGTCGAAGTTCGTGATCAGATATAAACCTGCTTTGCCATCGCGATATTAAATCTAGCCTGGCGAGCAGATTGATAGTCGAGTCTAGCCGAGGAGTGGTGTTGCCTACACCAACCACCCAGACTTGCCAACTAGTTGCTCCACACCATATGACCCAGCGAGCAAATGTACACTTGACTGACGTTGTTGTCTAGAGGTCTGGATTCTTCAAGCACAGAGCTTGACCTTTAAATGGCGAAGCAGCGGAGCGAAGATCGTTAAAGGCGGATGATGCCCACTGGGGTCCAGACGGGCTGGCTGCAAACTCTGGCAGGAGGCGGTAATGTTACGGCTTCGACGGTGAAGATGATTTAAGAAGCCAATAAGCGGGTTGGCGAAGCAGCGATGAATCAGAAGCTTGAACAGAGGTAACGGAGTTATTCAAGCTGATATGTCTGCAAAAAAAAGACAAAGCCCATGGGGAGAAGTGGGCGAGGAGACCGGCAGAAGGTAAAGGGTAGGTAAGTAATTTTGGCTCCTCGCAATCCGGGAATCCCAGGTCTCAGCTAAAGGGGGGGGGAGAATTGCACGCCCGACTGCAGTTAAGTTCCTAGACCAATGGAATATGAGCAAGGAAAAGTGGGGGAAGGGGAGGGGAGGTGGTCACTGTTGGCTGATATCACTGATCCACTGCCATTGTTCGAGAGGGGGGGGGGGGGGGGGTCAACAGCCGAGCGAATTGTGCGGAAGAGCGAATGGAGGGTAAAGGAAACGGAGGGAACGATGTTGTTCTCTGGGATATGACGTTATAGGGTGGGTGGCAGAGTGTCGGAAGATGGCACGTGTGCAGAAAGACTCGAAACCCATGCGGCGGCGGCCGGTCTGGATCTCCTTGATCTACCAGGAACTCAACTGAAGTGTGGCGATTCTGTCAAAATCCAGCATGTAGCATTTATTGTATGTGAAGCAGGAAAGGGAGAAAGATGTAAAGAGGGCGCAAACAGTCACCACTATCGTTGGTACTTCACTCAAGACATATCTCACATTGATTGACGATAGAAGTTTAAGCTTTTACTATGTATAGAACTCAACAGGGGCACAATGATCTGTACTATACCATCTAGAATACTCGCTACACGCTACCGTGGCTACGTCCTGATCGCAGCATGGGAAATGAATGAAGAGACCGAGAAGTCAGAAAAAGGAGGGAAGGAGGAACCCACAGCACCAAGCAGCTGTAGTCGACTATAGAATGAAAATGATTCGAGTGCGCTGTCAACAATTGTAATAAAATCCTTTGGGTAGCAATGTCGACCATCTTCATCCAGAGAAATGGTCTCTCGCATCAGACGGGCGAGGCGAATTCTTAATTTTGCATGAAAGCACAGTGTAGTCATGTTCATGAGCGCGTCGTCGCCACATCCATACATACATACATAGTAAGCAGAACGAGGCCTCTGCGACTGTTTTGAGGATGTCCAAGCTCGATTATAAGGCTGTTTATCGAACCATTTATAAATATAGACGGGGATGAATACATGATTTCTGTCTCAACTGCGACACCTTGTTAAGCATGATCGCTTACCCGTCGTCGGAGTCTCAAGGTGGGAGGTTCCTAGTGCCCACTGGCCGCGCCTCATTTAGGCCCTTCATTCTGACAAGGCATAGCCGAATCGAAATGTCTATCAATATTGAAGATGTTCTTGGGGGCCAGCGCAATTGATGCTTCGGTGCGATCGGCTTTTGTAAGCCGCATCGATCAGAGTGGTACTTGTTGGCACGTCATCGTTAAGCAAACGCATCGAGGGAAGGCAAGAAATGGTTGGCTGGCTTTTCAACAAGTATGTTCTAGCCAAGAAAGTACAAGGAACACGTCCCTTTCTATGACGAACTGGGCTTGTGTTGACAGCGGGCTAGATGTGGAATGACTGAGTTCATGGGAATAAAAAGCTGCTACCAAAGATGTTTTGATTGCATGGGGGTTCATGACTCTCTCAAAGCTGAGGTGGTGGCTTTAAAGCCTGCCATCAGGTTCACCCTTGAAGCGCTGCACACGCTTTTGTTCCCAGTCATCAAGGTCCTTGGCCATAAGCCTCTTGAATGCAAATCAGCAAGTCAGGTACTTTTGAAAGTCTATATGACATGGAGATGATCACTAACGTAGTATTCTTCCCGCTCGTCTCCGATAATCCTTCTTCGCGGGTTTCGTTTTATGCCTTCCTCGCCGTCCGGCCCCTTGAGACCAAGGTTAAAGGCTTCCTCTTGGCTGAGTTGTTTTACCTTGCGATCGTAACGTTCATATCTCAGAGCGGCAGCCGGTGTCAATGCGAAAGACCCTGCGACTATGATCACGATAAAGGGAAAGCCAAACAGTAGGAATGGATGTCTGGGGAGACGGGATCTATATGCCGCACCGACTCGCTCCCCTAGGGTTGATGAAGCGGTTGTCGCACGCCGAAATTTCTTGGCTTGGAAGACTGGCATTCTGATATTAATCTCAAAGTAAGCGATCTTTGGTTATCAATCGAGTCGTCAAGGTAGGAACTCGGAAACGAGTTGGGCTCTGGGTAATGCATGGACGCTGCGGCAGCTCCAAGGCTACATACCTCATGCCGTACCATTGACAAATTGTGGGAAGCGCTGGGCGGCTAGAAGTTCCTCGGCGAAATGAAAGTCCGCCAATTCCACCAAGCCTAGCTAGCAATCGCCAGCCAGAAGTCTGCTATAAACACAAAGTTGTGAACGGCAACGGAGCAGAGTAACCAAAGACGAACGACTTTCCGCCAAAAGAAGAACGCTGGTATGTTGCTTTGAGTTTTAAGTGTAGCCAAAATTCCGGGATTTGAAACTGATGGCCATTTCAGTATCGCGGATTCTACTTCGAAGCTTTTTGCTCCTCCCTTCAGATTTTACTACGGCAGCGAAGCTCTCTCGATGACATCCACGACCCCAGGCTCCCTATTTGGGGCCGCTGGCGTAGGGGCCGCAACACAGCCAGGAAATCCACTGCAGAACAAGCCAGCAAGTATGCTTGGGAACACCACAACACAAACGCCTTCGGGCGGATCCCTGTTTGCAAAGCAACCGCAGACTCAACCGCAACCCACCCAGAGCTCTTTATTCGGACAAAATACGACACAGCCCAGTGTAGCGCAAGCAGTGCAGTTGTCTAATCAGACGCAACCCGCTTTCTTTAACAGCTTACTAGAGCGCGGCAAAAAGAGGCCTCTCTCTGCGATCGGTCTGAACAGCAATTTCGACGAGCTGCCCACATTGCAACTGGGTCTCGATGATATCCGCAAGAAGGCGCGAGAGCTTGGTACCAAAGAGTCCAGCAATAGACAACAATATGCAGCGAATAGCAAGGCGTAAGCTGTCTCTTCCCTTTTACCCCCCACCTTTCATTGCATTTCAAATGACTTACTCATGGCTCTCAGTCACTATATGCTGGCTGCATCAGGGGTCTCCCCTGGTCACGCGCTGCGGGACCTCAAAGCTCTAGATCCGCAGGCTTCTCTATCGGTGACTCCTAAAGAGCAGGAGACGTTCGATCCTGATAATCAAAAGTACCTAAGGAACCTACAGCAGCGTGGTCGTCAAGTCATGATAACGGAAAGCCTTGCCCGCACGCAAAGAGATTTTGACCTATTTCTGGAAGAGAAACTCGACTTGAATTGGGAAGAGCAGCGGCGAAAAATATTTCAACACTTCGGGTTGACACACAAAGATGACAATGCTAAGGATGGGAAAAGTGCGTTTGGTCGTTCAGTCCAGAGGACACAGCAGTTCGGTACTGCGTCTGCCCATGATCCTGCTTCGGCCTCGCGTCGAAGTGTCTTTGGGCGCTCCGGCTTGGATAAATCGGTCATTGGAATGCCGGGGACTGGAGCGGCGGGTCTTCAGATATTTGAAGATTCAATGGAGCGCAACGATGGTCCGGGTAGTCACTCTTCTGATCTTCGTTTCCTGAGGGAGAAGATAGGCTACTATGCGGAGAAAGTACAGATGCTGAATTCGGCCAGACTCCAATCTCGGACATTTCCAATTCTATACAACTTCTGTGACGTTGAATTGCGCGCAGGTGGTGACGTGAGTCCGGCGATCCAAGTGTCAATCTATTACTGACTTGCGTTAGGTTCCACGGCAAATGCATGATGCGTATAAAGCCTTAATCAGTATTGTTGGGGAGTCACCGGAAGCGATGAATATCTCGACACCTTCCGCATTAAGGGAGCGTCAATTTTCTCCAGACTACTTGGATGAAACGCCAACTTCACGCAAGGCGACTAATTTAAAGAATCGTATAATCGAGGGTTCACGGTCATACCTCGAAAAGCAATTCTATATTGATGTGGAGGGTGCGATTGCGAAAAATCCCCGGGAAGCACAACTCGGTGGCATCCCAACCGTGGTCAACAAAATTAGGGCTTATATCCGGCTCAGGGCCGCAAGAAGAGACCTCGCCCCTGACGGAACCGAGTTGCAGATGGTCGGCGAGGATTATTGCTGGATTCTTATCTTCTATCTCCTTCGCTGTGGATTCGTCACGGAAGCAGCAGAGTACGTTAGCCAAGATCCAGGTTTCCGCTCCCTAGATCACAAATTTGTGACATATATGACCACCTATGCCCAGAACAGGCGGCTGCCGAGGGACCTGCAACAAAAAATCAACGGAGAGTATCAACAACGTTCGCGAAATGCCCCCGATAACACTGTCGATCCCTATCGCATGGCATGCTACAAGATTATTGGGCGCTGTGATCTCACTCGTAGACGCTTAGACGGCATCAACCAACAAGTGGAAGATTGGATGTGGCTGCAATTCACCCTGGCCAGAGAAGATGATCGCACGGACGAGGTTGCAGGTGATGTGTTTGGGCTTGAAGACATCCAGACCGATATCACAGAAATTGGGCAGAAGGTCTTTAGCAAAGGTCAAGACAGCCAGGGTGGTTACGGAACCTTTTTCCTCTTGCAGATTTTAGGAGGCATGTTTGAGCAAGCTATCTCATATCTTGTGTCTTATGCTCCAGTTAGTGCAGTGCACTTTGCCATCGCTTTGGCATACTATGGTCTACTTCGCGTGTCCGATTTCTATACTTCGGGCGAAGGATTGTGTAAGTGGCACAATTTGGAGTTTTCTAACTTGCTGGCTCCTTTATTAACGAAGATAGTGTCCTACACTGTCAAACAATACCCACAGATTAATTTCGCCTTTCTCATCACACATTATACGAAGCATTTCCGCACAGCATATGTTGAGGCAGCGATCGATTATTTCTCTTTACTGTGCCTCAATGCCGACTTGCCCGGTTCCTTGGGTAAATCTCAAGCAGCTGTGTGTCACGAGGCTTTGCGAGAATACATTCTGGAAACCAGAGATTTTGCTAAGCTGTTGGGTGATGTACGTTGTGACGGAAGTAGGATCAAAGGTTTGATCGAACAGCGAATTAGCTTGATCCAACTTGTGGACCAGGAAGAGTTCCTGAAGACAATAACCGTACAAGCAGCGGCTATTGCTGACGACAAAGGGCTGACCACTGATGCGGTTCTCTTATACCACCTTGCCGAGGACTACGATCGCGTCATCGACATCATCAACCGAGCTCTTTCCGATGCTGTCGCTATAGATCTAGGAGGGCCAATGTTGAAGTTGCAACCATTGAGACCCCGGGCTAATTTGCATAGTGATAGTCATGGTTCAACCCAGGGATCTCCGCTTGAACCCGGGAGTAGTCTCAGTCTGACTGCTGTGGAAGATCCAATTGTTTTAGCCAAGAACATGATCGGTCTATACAACGCCAATGCTTTATACTACCAACGAATCCGACAAGTTAACCGTGACTCCTGCGGGTTGTTACTTCGGATGATGGAGGCGAAGGCAGAAGTTGAAGCGGGAAACTGGACTCCTGCCCTTGATGTAGGTTTCTTCTATACTATCAGCCCTCATTCATCCTCGTCATTGCGCTGACACTAACAATTCGTAGGCTATCAATGACCTTAACCTGCTTCCGCTCCGGGCAAGAGGCTCTGTTCCCTACGTACGAAGTGCTGCACAAGCTTTTTCGTCGTTCCCTGCCATAATATCCCACAATGTTGGTCATATCATTATGTGGAGCATCACTTGCATCGGCCATGAACGTGACCGTCTTGGCTCTAGTGCATACGAGAATGAGATCAGACAGGGATTAGCCGACGAGCTGCTTGTCATGGCCAAAGACTTGATGGTATTTTCCGGAATGGTCAAATATAAGCTCCCGCCTAAAGTGTACGAAACACTTGCGCGCGCTGGGGCTGAGATTGGAGCATATTAAGAAGATGCCCTTCTGCCTATGGAATTTCGGATGCAGGCTTCAGGTTCAGTTGCCCTTTGTTCCTAGGCTATTGCCGACTCAGAACACCTCGTAGTTTTCAGATAGGATTAGGAACCCCAAAGATACATATTGACGTCTTACATTGTCTGGCCAGCGTGAGTGACGCATGTCTGCTTTTCCCAGTACGTACGAGTTCAACAGCCAAAAGTAAGCCATGCGCCGGTGCTTTCCCGCAATTCGCAATTAAAGCTAAGACGCCAAGACCTAGACCCGCCTCGATCGTTCAAACCCGCTCACTCTCAGCAACCAACCTACCACTAAACTTTCAGTTGGATTCTAGATACCTCGAAAGTGAATGAACACCAGAGAGAAGTCTGGCAGAATGTCGCATCAGCCTTCATCTTCCACACAACACTAAGCATTCGCAATCCCATCATGGATATATGCTGCATCCCGCAACCTAAGAACATTGCCCTGTGCATACACCCTTCTTCACGAAACCTTTAAGACGAGGGTGCAGTGCCCGACATGGGACATGACCATGATGACGCATCTGACACGACTACGAAGTCTACGCTATCCAGCCCCGAGGATGAACCGTTGAATGATGAAGTTTTGGCTCGAGCGGATAATCAAGGGGAAAGGGCCTCAATCACGAATATGGTGACATCCTGTGAAGAGGAAGACCAAAGTGGTCAGGAACTCGGCAACGTGTCAGATAGTCTGACTACTGGAAGTCAAGCTGCATCTGGAGCTGTTGGTGCTAGAAAAAACGGGACCGCTTCGAGCTCCGACGCCCCGGCCTTGCAGAACAGCACGATTTTCCCGTCAAGAGAGATGAGCACCAATTCTGGCGACACACCCACGTCGCAAAATTCGGGCTTGCCCAAATGTGACTGTCTTATCAACAACCCCCCCAACATTTCCAGAATTCGACGAGTAATGTTCGAGTGCAAGGATCCTATAGAGATAAGTCTTGAGGAGTTTGAGACTTACTGGCCGTTCATTGATAACGTGTGGGTAAAACAAAGGTCTAATTCCAGCAAAGAGGGGCACTGTACTACGGACTATTATATGTGTCGGTTGCGACGTCCAACTCATCGTACATCAGAAACACGGCCTCTGCCCGAAGGAAAACGGCCTCGGAAGAAAAGGGTGCGAGAGGGTGGCATTTGCAATTTTCAGATTAAAGTGGTGAAGTTCGAAGGGGCTTATTCAACTGTGACCATTGCGAGGACTCCGGGAAGTAGCCGTGTGCATTCGCATGACCTCGATTATATCGACAAGGTGAAGCGAAATTCGGGGCTCATGGAGTTTGCACGCAGGGAAGCAGTGAAGGGATATCTACCATCTTCCATCTATACCAAATTCCAAGAAGCACCTGCGAAGCTCGAGGAGGCAGGTGGCAAATTCCTTACGGTGACAGATGTCCGCAATGTTTCAGCAAAGTGGAGAATCCAGAACCCTGAGGTGAAACTCGTACCGCATGATGGTTATGAATACCAAAAAGGTCATGGAATCGTGAGAAAAGGGGGAAGTGAAAGCAACGGCGGCAGTCCGGTTCCATCGAGTACGACCCCGAAGTCATCGTTACCACCAGACACTCTTTCATTTCCTCAGTTTTCCTTGGAGTTCCTTGAACCATATCTCCCGAAGCACGATGAGCGGCGCCCGTTTCCTCATGTCACCCTATCTTACGCATCTTCCATGGACTCTAAAATCTCACTTCTTCCAGGCATGCAGACAGTGCTCTCGGGGCCCGAAGCTAAGCTTATGACGCACTATCTGCGATCTCGTCACGATGCTATCTTGATTGGAGTTGGGACGGTCCTTGCTGACAACCCGGGCTTGAACTGTAGATTGGAAGGGGCGGGAGGCTACGGCGGCCTGGGGAGAATGTGGCAACCGCGACCCGTGGTGATTGATCCCACCGGTAGATGGCTCATTCATCCTGAGTGCCGCATGCTTAGGACTGCAGTGGATGGTAAAGGCAAAGCGCCATGGGTTGTGGTATCGCCGGGGGCCCGCATCCACCCCCAGAAACTAGTGATGCTCAAAGGCTATGGGGGCGACTTTCTTCGAATCATGGAATACAATCAGGATTGGCGCCTGCGCTGGGAAGCCATTCTGCGCGCTTTGGCATCCGAGGGTATCAAGAGCGTCATGATTGAGGGCGGAGGAACTGTCTTGAGTGAGCTGTTAAATCCTGAATATGCCGATTTTATTGATTCCATAGTTGTGACTGTCGCCCCCACTTATCTTGGCTCTAGTGGAGTGAGTGTGAGTCCAGACTCTAAGCGCGATGGAGAAGGAAAGCCGAATGCGGCCTTAAATCCCAAGGATGTGAGATGGACGCCATTGGGTCAAAATGTTATCATGTGTGGCAGAATCCGCTCGGAGGTTTCCCTCAATTCCCACATTCAGGAATGAGAAGACTGTGTTTCCTCTGCTCTTTGTATCTTTATTTCCCTCTATGCTCCATTCATTTGCCACTCACTGGCCCTTCCTTGTTGACATGGTACTACATCCCTTTGCACGGTGCACATAAAGTCAATGTTAATATTCATGAATGGAAGAAATCACCTTAAGTCCAAGTCTTGAGCTTATAATCATGATTTGATAGCTATTAGTAACGTCTCGCAAGCACATTAGAGGTAGGAGCCATATACAGATGTCTAAGTAGAAGCCACGCTAGTTATATTTGAGCCCTTATGATAACAAAAAGGGACATATTTGTCACATGGTTAGAAAAAGGAGTGTAAACAAAGACACTACTGTCAGTACTGTCAGTACTGTCAATTCTTGCAAACAATGAAGTGCCAGAGCTTGTTGGAACAACTTTGTAATTCACTTACCCAACATTTGCATATTGCTGACATGCTTTGTGGATGGGAGACTATGGAAACAAGAAAAGTATGGTTAACTTGCTCTTTCAGACTTTCTTGGTTTGCTTGCCAATTATATGTTGCTTATATACAGTGCCTTGAGTACCATACTTGCTACGTAGACTAGTACAACTTAGGTTGTTGTTGTTGTTGTTGTTGTTGTTCTTATTTTATTAGTGTACCAGTAACTACAATAGGCTGTTGTTCCCTTCAGCTAAAAACAGCAAAAATAACAACAGTCACGGGTGGCATACCCCAGTACCTAAACCCGCTCCCAGCTCCCCCACAGAAAACCATTTCAACTGAACTGGTGTTGTCTGTGATATCCTCCTTAGATACTGAATAGCACGCCAGTCTCCTTTCATTTGATCTAATTGTTTTCATCTGTCTCTCTGTACTACTCGGTATAAACATCTCCCCCCCCCCCCCTCTCTTTTGTATAGCCTTTTCTATACTGGGTTTAAAACCAACTCGTGGCGGGTTGGTCTGCGTTTTCTCAATAATGCCCCCAAAGAAAGGTGCATCTAAGTCTGCTGGCAAAGGCAAGAAGATGAAGGCAGCGACTACTGCGGCTGCTACGACGGCCATCAAGGCGAAACGAACAGCAATGAGCACAGCTCCAAATACCGCAAACCACTCTACCAACACTAATGACGCAGCCATTTTCAATACCAAGGCTCCAAGGGAAGCCAAGGTTAGCAAATCTAGTGGACGTTCTAGCCAAGGAACGACCAGAGCTGTATCCGCGAAGGCTGGAAAGCGAAAAGCTGATATCGACGAAGAGAAGCCGACCCGCGAACCGAAAAAGGCTCGTGTAGCCCGACCTCGGGTGCCGAAGCCAAAATCAAAGATCATCATCAACAGTGCTCCCACCACCCGTCTAAATGTCTATGTTTGTGGCGAAGGCAGCTCTGGTGAACTCGGTCTTGGAGCGGGAAAAGCCGCCATCGATGTAAAGAGGCCTCGTCTCAATCCGCATTTGCCAGCAGACCGGGTCGGCGTTGTACAACTCGCAGTTGGTGGCATGCATTGCGTGGCACTTACGCACGACAATAAAATCCTCACATGGGGTGTCAATGATCAGGGGGCGCTTGGGAGGGATACCACCTGGGAGGGTGGTCACAAGGATGTGAACGAGACTAAAAGCGACGACTCGGATTCAGACTCTGACGATGACACTGGCCTCAACCCGCACGAGTCGACTCCTACTGCTATCCCTTCTGACGCTTTCCCAGAGGGTACTACTTTTGTGGAAGTCGCTGCTGGCGACAGCTCCAGTTTTGCTCTTACAGATGAAGGTCAGGTCTATGGTTGGGGAACTTTCAGGGTATGTTAGCTCACGCGCCAGCTGCGTAGATTAAGCTGACCATATCAAGAGCAACGACGGGATTCTAGGCTTTGACCCTAATAACAAGGTCCAAGCTACTCCCACGCATATCCCCTCGTTGAAAAAGATCAGGCACGTGGTCTGTGGTGATAATCACGTTCTCGCTCTAAACGAGAAGGGCGCCGTATTCTCATGGGGTTCTGGCCAGCAGAACCAGCTAGGCCGCCGTATCATTGAGCGGAATAGGCTAAATGGGCTTCAGCCGCGCGAGTTTGGTCTACCAAAGAATATCGTGCGCATTGCTTGTGGCGCTTTCCACTCCTTCGCCGTCCACCAATCCGGCAAAGTCTACGCTTGGGGCCTGAACAGTTTTGGAGAAACCGGTATCAGAGCCGGTGCGGGTGACGACGATGCTGCTATTGTCCACCCTACCATTGTTGATTCGCTGTCAAACCAAGGTGTCACTCAACTTTGTGGTGGCTCTCACCATTCACTCGCCGTCACTAGGAGCGGCCAGTGCCTCGTTTGGGGACGATTGGATGGCTACCAAACGGGACTGAGGATTGACACACTCTTAGATGAAGCGGTTATGAAGGATGAGCGCGGGCGCCCTCGCATCCTCATAGTACCGACTCCTGTGCCTGGGATTAAGGCCAATGTCGTGGCGGCGGGTTCAGATCACTCAATAGCAATCGATAGCAATGGCCATCCTTGGTCGTGGGGGTTTTCCGCTACTTATCAAACCGGCCAAGGGACACAGGATGACATTGAGGTAGCAACTGTTGTCGAGAACACTGCTATCCGGGGAAAGAGACTGAACTGGGCGGGTGCGGGGGGCCAATTCTCCGTATTCACCGAACCTGTGATGTTATGATCGGCTTCGAATGGGCAGAGCCTTCCACAAGAGCTGTAGCTGGTTCGAGCCCGACAGTGCTGATCTTAGCCTGACTCTGTACATTTGCAATTTTCTAGCTCTCTTCTCTTAAACGGCTACGTTCAATACTCGAGATCTTTACGCACGGCATGTAAATCGACTCTCCCCTTTCTTGGCGGGATTTAGGCTCAAAAGCACCACCATCCGTATTATATACGTGTCCTTGGTTCGGAATAACGCCTGTGCGTCTCAAATCTCAGTAATATCTAATAGTCCGGCTTCGGATGGCAATTGACAGGCAGAACAAAGACCTAGGCGCCATGGTTTCCATCTTCAAATTCTCGTAGAAGGACATCCAACTCATCATCTTCAGGAGTATCATCCACTACGCGACTTTCAGGTATCTGTTTGTTTGACTCTCGAGTTGGCGCATGTAGCTGTGCCAGGTCGAACATTATGTCCCCGCGTTCCGAGTTAGAAATCGTTCCGCCCAATGCTGTGTCAGATGCCTCTGCCGTAGTAGCAGGGTCCATGTCTGCACCGAAATCATCGAGAACTTGCTGGTTTGTTTCAGCCGCCAGCGCTTTCGGCTTCTCTTCATCAATCCACTCCCTTCTCATCGTCTGCAAGCGCTTAGAGTGCCCAAGTTTCTCGATCATGGCCAGACCATCAGCGAATTTGGCACGAGGATATAAATCATCGAGCCATAACTGGTAAAAGTTCAAAAGCCGGGCGACGTCAGAAAACTGTTCCATGAGATTAGCAGTCGGAGAAAAGTGATCTCAATGTTGGTGGTCATAGACCTCGTGCCCTTTGCCCTTCAGTCTCAGCCTCTGCCTGGACGTGCGGCGTAGCTTTGGTATCCCCGAGTGCGAAAGCAACCTAGGCGATGGATAATTAAGCAACTCGGGTTCTAATGAAGTGTGATCATCGGCCTTACCTGCTCTCATCTAATTTCGCAACAAATCGGCGGTGCTTGCTAACCTGGACCTTATCGTCCACCCCTAGAATAGGCTCTGTTGGGTCCTCGTTCTTAGACCCTACAGTGATGTTCGTTTGAGGCTGTTGCCATGCAGCATCAAGGCCGGCGTCATAGTCAAACAGAGAATTGTCATGGCTTGTTAGTGCATCAAGTGGTTCCGTTGAAGTTTCCATATTCCAGGCGGTCCTCAACTCTGGAGATGACGGGGATAAAAACAACACACTCAGTTTTTGGAGTGGCAAGCCAAAAAAAAAAAGCGACGAAGTGTAGGTGGGCAGGACTAGGTAGATTATGTTCATCGAAATATGGAGTAAGTTACCGTTTGCCTGCTAGTATAAGCGTGTATGTACAGTGCTTGCAGTGGGCGGCGACGCGGTTTGCAAGCTCGGGACGCGTATGACCAATGAGACAAGTTTCTGGGCGATTTACTCATTATACACTGATAAATGAATGCAAACCGGCTAAAATTCTATGGCTACCGGCACTGTATTTGAAATACAAGCCCTGTGATGATAGTCTTATACCAGGGACTATTGGGCATTTGACGATTAGTACTACTGTCAGGATTCTTTGTTAAGAGATTTTTAATTCTTTCTACTAGAATTATTGGGATCTATAATGATGTTAAACATTTTGTTATGTATGTGTATCAATTAGTATCATAGATACAAATTTTACGCCTCCACTATCTTCAATTGTAGTGGGCTTAGTACCAGTAGTATTGGAATTACAGCCAGTATTAACAGTAATTATCGAAGCTAGCAGTACTGTGGTTGTTGAAATGGAACTTATATTAGGGATTATTAGGACTTTTTATAGCTGAAAACATTGTAATTAGAGTTCTTACTTTGATTTTTTTTTGTTTTATTCTGGCTATTAGGGCCTTTAGAGTATATACCAATACTATCATACTCTCTTTGATCAAACTTGCATATCATAGTATAAAGAATAGGGACCAAGAAAGCTATACTACTTACTTGCAGGGGCTTGGTTCCGGGAGCTTTAGAATCTCAGCTGGTGTTAATAACCATTACTTTGACCTTCCGATATAACAAAACAATAGAGGCGCATGTACAAATTTGTTATATAGAGTTTTTTGTGATATCGATTAGGTATAAATAAGGATCCGTGTAATATTCTCTGCTCTTAACGACTAAGCAGTCCCTCTTTTTTGACCCATTTATTTCCTATATGGGCAATTTTTAGGCCTTCGACATAGCGAAATTTGAGGATTTTGGAGAAAAGGTGTTGGACCGAAATTTGTGATAAGGCGATCAAGCGAGATTTGTATAGTAAACTAACCATAGTATTATAGGAATCCATTGTATACTAAGATTACGCTTTGACACTATTTGTTATATCGGGAGGTCGCAGTATTATTGTAGACTCAGGGCGTCTTCCAATGTTAACCTAGTACGAAATATCCCGTACTCCATTAATACACTATCACTGGCACATTAAGTGCGGTATTCCATGTAGTCCACTGAAGTATATTTTGTGATGACTAAGTCATATGCGAACCGCTAGACTCCAGCAGGTAAGGCGGTGGGCTTGCTTGGCAAGACTCCCTTCGAGTTCCAACTTCATTGCGGCAGAAGCCCAATCCCCAAAGCACGATTATTACCCACCCTCTTCTGGCCACGCCAAACGATCATGGCTACCGATCACAAGGCAACGCTTGTCCCCCCAAAGCGGGCCAACACCGACTATCCGGTATGGCTCTAAGATATCTCTGCAAATCAATCCAATGGACGACTAGTACTAATTGATTCTCCATAGCTAATTGACTCCGACCCGTATGGACCCGCTTCAATCATTGATAATCGCAGAATCTCACACTAGAACTCAGGCATTTGAGACGAGTCGTCGGTTATGCACGACCCTCTGATTATGCTGTAGCAGGTGGACTGGCTGCTGCTTCTCCACTTGCTTTCTGGATCATGGAGAGGGTGAGCCCGTCGCATGTCGGCAGAGGCGGCTTCGCTCCTGTCATGCGACTAGCAACAGCAATTGGTCTCGTTGGAGGTCTACATATCTTCTACCAACGATCTTGCAGTGAGTCCCATACCGCAGCCGGGGAAAAGTACCATTACGGATGCTAATCTGCCGTTGTAGATCGCTTCTATGGTTTCACAGAAAACTCACGGGAAGTCGAAATGGATATGAGAGAAATGGTAGACAAGGTCAAAAAAGGGGAACCCCTTTACGGAACCTCTCAGGTTTCTCCATACTTGCAGGGAGTTGCTGCTAGAAACTCGCGTTATTCTCAGCTTTTCAGCCATGTCATCCCATGGGTCAATATCGTCAACCACGATCAAGTAAGTACATCAGATATCCATGCAAGCCTGGTGAATTGGCGGAGACCAGGCATTTCGAAACTCGGATGCTAATCCTTTGAAAGCATGGCGTCGACACTGCGAAATATTATCAACAAGCGGAACGGGAGCTCGAAGCGGAACGCCTGAAATAGCCGTATCGCTCACTCTGAGTATCTGGCGGAATGAATAGTGACAAACATTAGATATGCCCTTGTTTCTTCTGTTTCCGCGAAACCAGTTGTATACGTATTTATATTCTAGCGCAATGTGAAACCCTCTTCAACAGCTTGCCTTTATATTGGGTAAATCCAGACAATTGGCTGCAGGATACGAAGGCATTTTATGAGTTGGTATTCCATACTTCAGATAGTTGGGCTCGAAGCTTGACTGCCCGGTATGCTAGTTTCAAAGCTCGTCTTGAGCTCACGGTGTTTCTTAGGCCGAGGCTTGGGAGCTGAGCTGCAATCAGCGAGACAAATGACTGATAATGACCGGACTCGTGCATACCATTTTCATTCTCTTGTATGTAGAAGCGCCGAAGTAGCATTATAGCTTCTTCTCGAAATAGCCCCCCATGTACCACATATGGTGGGTCTATCGAGAGGCTGATAAGCGATCTATTAGTGGCAAGAAACTATCACGGGGGGTGAAAACGAACTCGGAATGCAGCGAGAGGATGCTGCCGGTCCCTCCGAATCTGTCGTTCCCGCAGCCGAAATAAACGGTACGTATCTGATATTGCCTCAAAGCAGAAGCACACATAACACACGGCTCAACAGTCACATATAGGTCTGTCGAACGAAGAAGCGATCTAGGGTGGTTTTCAAGCATTTGCTCGATGGCGATGAATTCAGCATGTCTTGTGCCCTGTGTTTCATTAGCTAAGATGTATCGTAGGGTTAATTCAAGCGAAATATGTAAGAGAAACCATTATTGTAGTAGGATTACATTCCAAGACACCAAAAACTATGATCAGCGCTATTTAGGCTTACCGCGCCTGGGCAGTTACCTACATTCATGGATTTATTGGTGTCATTCATCCCTGAACCGACGATCTCGTTTTTGTAAACCAGGACGCATCCTACCGGCGTCTCGCCTGTCTCAAGTGCCTTTTCACCCTAGATAAAAAACAATTAGTTTTCTATTCTTCTATAGCGAAATCAGTATCCACAGATACCATTATTAATGCCTGCTTCATAAAGTACGCATGACGTGAGTCCATGCGATCAGGCACTGCCATGATGATTTCCGGGTTGAATGATCGTGAGGCAGTTGACAGGAATTGTACTGGAGGAGAACCCAAGGAGAGGAAATTTTTAGCACCTAGAAACTACGGCCGTATCAATTTGCTGGTTTGACTTGCATGGAACTGCAGAGATCGCAACGGTGATGAGATTAGTAAATTTCTTCTTGTCTCAATTGATTCTTATGTAAGTAATTTCAGACTGAGGTGCAACGGAGTCATCTCCACAATTTTCAACATTCTACAAAGTGTACTTACTGTGAGATAACTACAGCATAGTCCTACCCTCAACATGTAATCAGTTATTTTATCCGGACTAAGTGGCGCAGTGCCCCACTTCAATGTATACACGTACAATAAATCTATTGTACAGTGCCTCGGGGCCGGGGTAGTAACCATATAGTTACGAGTATGAGTACGTACGAAGTATAGCACATGTAACAGGACTCGGTCGTCATCCTTCGCTTTGGGTCTTGCATCAACAGAGAGTATCAGGCCTCGAAATGACAGGCCTTAAAACAGCAAGTGCCTAAAACAATTCCAAACTCCAACGAAGACGAGGCAGTCGGTAGTTCTTGTGGATTTAAATTTGGAAATGTATGGAAATCTATGATTCTGCCCGCCGCCTTAATGTGATTATGTGATGATCGGATCGAACCCGAATAATAACCCTCTCCCCCCATCCTCCAGAGATTGTTCGATTCGCCATCACCTGTCGATGCCCAGCTTCCGCATCGCTTAGGATTTTTGAATACACATCCACCATGTGTGGTTGCATCGCCAATGGCAACAATTGAGCGCAAATCGTCTCGATTCTCCACATCGAAGACCAGCCGATCGAACGTCGCAGGAACGGTTTCTACAACCCTGGCGGCGCAGCTGGTTCCGCGTCTGTCCTCGCAAGGTGACCAGACGCGTATCCTAACCAAAGAAGCTTTCTCACAACTGCGACATGAACTCCTTGAAGGCAAATACAGCCAGCTGCTATCTAATGACAGCGTCGCCGATGTAAAAAAGCTTCTTTGCATCGCCCTCAAAGCCGGCCTCGAGCCATGTATCGAGGATCAGGGGCGCCACCGGGAGGCCCTAGCAAACCAGCTCTGGGACTGCCTGGATATTATACAGGCCGTTGTCGACAAAGCACCTTTGGTTCTCGTTGAGGTTGCAGATCCGGAGATTCTGGGAAATGATGAACAGGTTCCCCTGTACTCGTGGCTGCTTGTCCGACTGCTGCGAGCGGCAAGTATCTGGGAGATAGACAGACTTAGAGAAAAAGTCAATAGCATCCTCTCGAGCATAACGAGTGTGCCCAATAATCATGCCAGAATCTTCCATTCTTTCCTATGTATCTCTTCGTTCTTACGATCATGCACCATGGGTTTGTTCATGCGTCGCATCTGTGTCGGATGTCTGGCTAACCTCCTCTAGACCTTCTGTGCTCTCTAGAGGCTTTTCATTCTCAAAGGTTATCTAATGAGCATGCGACCAATTCTCCTGTAGTCAACTTGAAGCAACAATTCTGTATAGACCTTGTGAAACTCCGTCTTCCGCATGGCTCATTCAATAGGAGCATCAACTCAGGGTCATTGCTCCAGAGCTTCTTACTCTGTGCTGATATGTTCAAGTCTAACATACACGCTTATACTTCATCTGACGCCCCTTTTAGTCGGCATGATAAGATATGGCTTCTGAACGGTTATCAGCGCCTGTGGGACCTGGCCATTTCCCGGCTCCAAAAGACTTTGCCCGCTCCGAAAGATATAACCACACAGATTTGTGTCCGTGTGATAGCCGCAGCTGGGACTCTCTTCACCGAGGGGAGATGCATAGATCAAGACTTCGAGTTGGTCCATATTGTTCTCCAAAAATTGGCAGATATTTTGACCACAGACGACCTAAGGGATTTTCCAGTTGTTCAACTAGAATTGAGCCACCTCTTAAACAGAGTCGTTGACATGTTGAGATGTACAGTGCGTCGCACTAGCATCACGGACAAATCGATTCTTTTGAGGAAGGCAATGACGGAGAGACTTGCATTCTTTCGGTCTTTAGAGCCGCGTCTTCAGGTGACTGGGCTCGAATACTCTGTATATGTGTGCATTTGAGGCTAATCGTATAGGTAGGCATCGATTGAGAATCTTCTGAGAAGAGCCTTGCCATCAAAAGCGGAGTATACCACTGTCTTTGAGACTTCTGTCGCTCTCACACAGCACGTAGTGCCAGGGGTTGCTCAGTCACAAGAGTCACGCACCACTAACCCAGCAGTTGATAACACTGAAAGTGGTCATTCCGTGAAGCGCCGCCGTGTTTCACATTCTGATGCAACTATAACCAACCGCAGTATGCCGCACAGGCTTGTGTCTGAATTACTCAAGTTGCTTTGTGATCAAGACTCCAGCGACATCAAGGACCTTGGACCTGCTGTGTCGTAAGTCACACTACAATAAAATGTATAACAGATACCTAATCCTTGGCTGTAGTGAGTATTTTGGCGAAATTAGTGAGGAAAAAAAATGCGAAGTTCTACACACCCTAGGGCTTTTACCTTGCGCTATGGCTAGAAGCTTGGCACGCATTGACGGCGCTACCTCGAACGATGCATTGCAATGTCGCTTTTGCGACGATGAAAGCAGAAAAGATCGTTTCGACTCGAACGATCAATGCCTCAGGGCTGACCTACTGGGTGACGTGTTTGCCTCCATATTACCTACGCTGTCCCGCAGTGCGCCTCTGAGAATAGCTGCAATATCTGCTTTACGTAGGGTCATCATGCATGCTCCGAACTGTGAATACACGCGGCTCGCCACCTCCGTCTTTGGGGACTTCTATCTACACTCTTTGAGGAGCTCTATAAGAGAACTACGAATTATGGCTGGGTATGTACTCTTGGAAATGTGTGGCCTAGCGGTGGATGTTGATGATGTTCCTAGTCTTTCGATTACTTCGTTTGTTCAGAAAAAACTGGACCGAGATGTTAGGCACGACAACTTCATAAGAATCTTGGATTGGGTACGCGGGATCGCAGAGAAGAAGGACGTTTATTATCATGAAAGTTGTATCTTGACACTTTGTCGGCTTGCGATGTAAGCCTTCCTTGATTCATCATCTTGCTCATGTCGCTAATGATATTTTCAACCATGAAGGCTTTCCTATGACGAAGAAATGAACATCATTTTGCTGCGCCTTGTTGAATATCTGGGTCACTCGAATCCATTCGTCTGCTCCATCGCATACACTGAAGTATGTGTGATTCATTTAAAAATTTCCCTTCAGATCAACATTGGACTAACCTCCTTCCAGCTCTCCAGACTGGCGCAAAATCTCTCACTCACTCCCGCTGGCTTGTTTCGACCATTCTGGAGAACCATCTCTGTGACCGTGGTCAAGGGCTTCCAATCTCGCCCTTACATGGCAGAACAGCTGTGCGATCTCCTAGGGATGAAAGTCGATGACTTCTTACGATTAACTGAGGTTTATGTTTTACCTTACCTCGTGCTCACACAGAAACGAGACATCATCGCCAGGGTAGGCTCCACGTACAAAGAAGTCAGAACGCCGTTCGATATATGCTCAGAGAAGAACAATCTCGCCGCTATACTAGCGTTCTTGTTGAGCCAGCCATCATCATCAGACCCGAAAGATAGTATAATGTCCACCCTATCCACAGTGGATGCCGCCTTCGCTGGACGTACCCTAGCCGAACTCTTGAGGGTCGAGCCGATTCTCATCGCATGTGAGATTCTCAAGAACTTGGGGGACTCGAGCGTCAAGAAAGGAGCAAGGGTAGGTGTGCACTCAAGGCTTGCTGGCCATGGTCACTGAATGTTTCACAGTTCCAGCGAGCACTTCATCTCCTCGCCACCCTTGTCCCACGGAAATCCGCCAATGCACAAAAACGAGGCAACTTGATCGGTCACTTCATTGAAGAGCATGTGCTTGGCATCATCACACAATTTGCACATGCCATAAACGATTTTCAAGTCAGACAGTCACTCATGGAAAAGAAAAGAAATCTTGCAGCTATTGGAGAGATGATCAAGGTCGCTCGAGGTCACGTCAGTAGTGCTTTGCCGCAGGTCTGCCCTCTGAACCTCCCTTGAGTCATGTTAGTGCAATGTGGCTGACTTTAGTTAGATATGTGCATGCTTACGATCCGCACTCGAAATCAAGGATTTGTGCAATCATGCATTCATGGTGTGGAGAGTTCTCATTAGCACACTTCAGGAGGAAGAGGTCGAGCCCCTCATTGATCAGACAATGTCTATAGTGATAAAGTACTGGGACATGTTCACCGAAGAAACACAAAGTCATGCTCACGACTTGGTTGGTTATATCATACACCACCATAGTGATGTGGTACGCGATAGTTTCCATACAATGCCCTCTCTTTCTTTGATCCCGAGGCTAGCCAGCCTTGAGGTGGAGATCAGCGAGCTTAGAGGAAAGATGGACGTTCGGAGTCAATTTTTGGCTTTCATTCGTCGCAGCCAAAGTGAAAACGCGGTGGTCATTGAGCAAACTTTGAAGGAGCTCGTTGCCTTTCTTTCTGGCAACGAAGAATTTGTTCATGCCTCGGTGCTTAGTGAGCAACCAGATCCGGTTGTTTCACAGCTCACTCGAGCCTTGCTTGATTGCTGTGTCAAATTTAATGCGAGCTCGGAATCCATCACTATTCTCTCGGCTCGGTGTCTGGGACTAATCGGCTGTCTTGATCCCAATCGAGTAGACACGGTAAAGGAGAAGAAAGATATACTGGTCCTATCGAATTTTGACAGCATGGAGGAGACATTTGACTTCATCTTGTTCTTCCTGCAGCACGTTCTCGTCGAGGCATTTTTGTCGACATCTAACACGAGAGCCCAAGGATTTCTCGCGTATGCAATGCAAAATATGCTCAGGTTCTGCAACCTTGACTCGGCCGTGATTAGCCGGTCTCGAGATGTTCAGGGGGAGGAAAAATATCGACGCTGGATGCAACTGCCTGAGGCTGTTCGCAACATCTTGACTCCATTCCTGACATCAAAGTATACAGTTACGATTGGTGCCATCAACACTAATTGCAAATCTCCTCTCTTTTCTTTGGAATTGACGCATGGCAACTGGCTTCGAAGCTTTGTGCAAGATCTGTTACGAAGTGGGAACGGCGATAATGCACGACTCATATTTAGCGTCTGCAGTCGCATCGTTAAGGGGCAAGATATCTCGATAGCGTCATTCCTTTTGCCATTTGCGGTTCTAAATCGCATAGTTGGCGGAACGGAAAGTGAGAAGCAAGATTTGCAATGCGAACTGGTACATACCTTGTCTTATCCTCTTCCGCAATCGAACAATGATGCATACGAGAACATATTGTTATGCAGTCAGGTCAGTTTCCCCTAGATTGCTCACTTCGCAGACCACTGACCAGCACCTGCCCCAGAGTATCTTTGAGGTTCTGGATTATCTTTCGCGATGGTTACAAGGAAAGAAGAAACAACTCAATAGCTTCAAGCATCGCAGCCATCACGTTAGTCGTACCCACAAGGAAGCGTCTCGCGAAATGCTACTGGATACGTACGCATCGCAGGTGAAAGCCGTGGAAGCCTTGTTGATTTCAATACCCCCAGAGATCATATCAAGGAGAGCAGTCGAGTGCAAGTCATTTTCACGGGCCCTGTTCCATTGGGAGCAGTACATTCGTCAATCCAATAGTCAGTCCGGCACACGGCAGCCTTCTGGAACCGAGTCTCTGTACCAGCGTCTTCAGGATATCTACAGCCAGATTGATGAACCAGACGGCATTGAAGGAATTTCGTCTAGTCTTCATGCGCTGAACATCGATCAGCAAGTGCTTGAACATCGCAAGGCAGGAAGGTGGGCTACTGCACAGAGCTGGTATGAGCTACAGGTCCAGAAAGATCCAGACAACGGCGTAGCGCAATGGAATCTGCTTACTTGCCTTAAGGAATCAGGACAGCAAGGTATGCCGTCAATTCGCATCTGTTTGCTGCAACTTTCCAGACTCACTCGTGCTGCACAGATGCTATTCTCACCAGATTCGAGGTTCTCACAAGTCCTGTTCTAAGGAGTAAGTTTCTTCCCTTCGCAGTTGAAGCATCTTGGATTACCGGGAACTGGGGTCGACTACACAGTTATCTACGACTTGGCTCGCAGGATACGTCGGATTTCAATATAGGGATTGGACTCGCTTTCGACGCACTTCGTCGTGACGACGGGGCAAGGTTTGAGCAGCTAATCAACGGTCTGCGACTGAATGTTGCCAAGTCACTGACAGCCAATTCGGTGACTTCCTTGCAATCATGCCATGACAGTATACACAGGTTGCATGCTTTATGTGAGATCGAGTTCATTGTCAAGATAGGACACGAGTCTTGCATCGAGCAAAGGTCACGGTCAGAAGTGCGTGCTGTTTTGGACCGTCGCCTGGACATCTTAGGAGGATATATCTCCGACAAGCAATACCTGCTTGGCCTTCGGAGGGCAACAATGGAATTGACGTATGGACTTTTCTCCTGTTTTATGATACGCCGACTGACTGTACACTTGAAGGGGCAACTTTTCCGATTCCGAAATAGCAGCTGCTTGGCTGGCTAGTGCCCGTCTTCTCCGGAAAGGCAATTATACCAACCAAGCATATCAGTCGATGCTTCATGCTGCCCGCTTGAAAGACCGAACAGCCACTATCGAACACGCCCGACTTCTGTGGAAAGACGGTCACCACCGGAAAGCGATACAGACGCTTGAAGGTGCAATCATGGCTAATGAATTTTCAACGTCAGGCGATTCCGATTCCGGATCCCTGCTACGTGAAAAACACCAGAATATTCTTGCAGCTAGGGTATATCACCTTTATTGAATGATGTAAAGCGTCTAACCCGGATCACCTCTCTCTAGGCCCACTTGCTCCTGGCAAAATGGACGGATCGTGCCGGTCAAACTCAATCGGATGTTATCGTTCAGAGGTTCAGGGAAGCCATAAAACTTCAGCCAAGGTATTTGTCGAAGTTCTCTGTGAGAGACTTATGCTAATCATAAGTAGGTGGGAGAAAGCACATTATTATCTGGGAAAGCACTACAACAAAATATTGGATTCTGAGAAGGCAAAGCCACTAGGGAAGGAGGCACAGATCTAGTACGTTTGCCCTATCATGCTCCCAGAGGCCTGAAGCAGTTCTATCTTACACGTTCTAGTTTGAGTGGCGAAGTCTCAAAGCTTGTTGTCGACAATTATCTACGATCATTGGCTCATGGAAATAAATATGTTTTTCAATCACTCCCCAAAGTGCTGACGCTGTGGTTGGAACACGCATCCATTGTGGAACAGCCATTTGACCCTAAGCGCGGAGACAATGAGTAAGTCACTTTAGTTACTTCTTCGTTGTTTCGACAAAAACGGCCTTTTGCTTGTCTAGTCACATCAGTTGTTGACATTCCTGAAAAGGGATTTTCAAAAGCATACCCTACAGCAGCGAAAGAGAAGCCTCGAAGACATACATTTGCAGCTAAAGAAGTACATACATCGAGTCCCAGCTGCGTTGGTAGGTCCAGTGACTTCAGTTTGCAGCATAACATACTAACAAATTCAGCTGTTCACAATTCTTCCTCAGGTCCTAGCTCGTATCTGTCATCCGAATACCACGGTATACGACCTCTTGACAAAGATTGTGGCCAAAGCTGTGAATTCGTTTCCTCAGCAAGGGCTATGGACAGTTCTCGCTGTGGTCAAGTCGTCTTCTAGAGACAGAGCCTCGAGAGGTATTAGTTGTCTCCAGAGAATTACAGTATGTCAACATGAAAAATGAGCAGTTCCTGAGGGCTAATAGATGCAGGACATGAACAAGAAATCGAAAGCAGAGTCATCCGTGTCTGACATGCGTGCGATGGTTAATCAAGGCCAGAAATTCTCAGATGAGATGTTGAGACTATGCATAGCACGCATCGAAGAGAAAGTATCAAGGGTAAATCTTAGAACTCTTGGTTTCAATCATAAAGTGGCCCCTTGTCGACTTGTCGTGCCTTTTCAGGCAATGTTAACACCGATCTTACCAGCCAGTCATGATTCAGAATATCTCAAGAGTTTCAGGGCCTTCCCCAGAGAAGCAATCACAATCGAAGGTGCGAAGCCGACGATGCCCACAACTTAACGTGCTTGCTGATCATGTATAGCTGTCCTCGACGATGCTCAAATCCTGAATTCACTTCAAAAGCCACGTCGTATCAGTATTCGAGGGTCCGATGGAAGGATTTACAGCATTCTATGCAAACCTAAGGATGACCTTCGCAAGGACCAACGCCTAATGGAGTTCAACAACATGATCAATAGATTCTTGAAAAGAGACGTCGAATCGAGCAAACGTCGAATGTGTAGGCATTATACTCCCGGACAGCTTTTAACTCTTCCCTCTTCTGATCTTATGTATTGCTCGACAGACATCAAAACGTATGCGGTGACGCCACTGAACGAGGAGTGTGGACTCATTGAGTGGGTGGATAACCTCCGCACGTTGAGAGAACTTGTCATCAAGCTTTTGAAAGAGAGAGGAATTTCGCCAAATGCAGGTCTCCTACCGCGCACGGGTCGGAAAGCTGAGTGCTAACCCGGCTTCTACTATACAGTACAGCGAGATCAGGCAAAATCTCAATGAAGCCTGCTCAGAGGCTTCGAAACTCGATTTGTTTTCAACCAAGATTCTTGCTAAGTACACGACACAAAAGACAAAATCCCGCTACAGGCTGGTTGGGCTAACAGACAACTAGATTTCCTCCGGTGCTCTATGACTGGTTTGTCGAGATGTTCCCTGAAACGGAAGCATGGTTTGCAGCCAGGATACGTTACACTCGATCCTGCGCTGTTATGTCTATGGTTGGTTATGTCTTAGGGTATGGCACCTAGTTTTCTCAGGCTTCCTAGCATTGTTCCAGGATGTTGGATTTAACAGACTTTTAACAGGTTAGGTGACCGTCATGGTGAGAACATTCTTTTCGAGGAAGGGACGGGGGGGGTACTACATGTTGACTTCAATTGCCTTTTTGACAAGGTGCGTTGGAACTTCCCAGCTATAGTTATGCTCTTTCAAAAGCTAATCCTTCTCAAGGGCTTGACCTTCGACAAACCTGAGCTAGTTCCTTTCCGCTTGACGCAGAATATGGTGGATGCGTTTGGCGCCTATGGCTACAATGGTTAGTGGGTTGGGAAATTTGAAAGGCATGAGCTCTGAGATATTGACAAGCATTCAAAACAGGTCCATTTCGCAAAACTTGCGAGATAAGTCTAAGATTGCTTCGCCACAATGAAGATGCACTCATGACTGTCCTGGAGACTTTCCTGCACGATCCGACCACAGATTTCATAGGGAAAAAAGTAAGCGTGCCGAATCCCCAGAAAGAGATTTTTGATGCTCAGTAATTTATAGCGTCGCACACATGCAAGTGTGCCTGATACACCCGCCGGGGTACTAGAAAATGTTCGCAACAAACTCCGAGGTCTCCTACCGGGGGAATCTGTCCCACTTTCCGTCGATGGCCACGTCGACGAATTAATCATACAGGCAACCGATAAGCGAAACCTGGCAGCTATGTATATTGGCTGGTGCTCCTTTATCTAGACTGGACAGACCCGCACACATATTTGTCATATTATAAGTACCTCGATAGCTCTCTCGGTAGATACTTGAATGCACAGGGCTACGGGCCGTTGGACTGGGAAATAATGTCCTATTTTGTTTAGCTATTACTGGTAGGACTGGCCCTTCTGCTTATTTTGCCTGAAAACTTCACTTGGTATGTTGATGACATTTCGGCTTGGTGACCATCCACAATCTAGTAATGAGTGCAAGTGGTGTGTAGATTGTTCCAACGACGACGGCAAGTTGATTTGGAGTCTACCGTGTGGGATCATGCCGATAACGGCCTTTGGTCTGACTCGGGCTCCGACTTCTCTCACTGCAACTGCTGTACTCATAACTGCTGTAGCTGGGACTGCGACGTCGACGGCGAGGAGTGTCCACTCGTGGGTGTGGCATCCGTCCTCTCGGTGATGCCGAGGGAGTTCTTGAGGAACATGATCGGGAGCGGCGCGGTGATCGAGAGCGCGAAGGAGAGCGTGGCCGGTAGATATCATGCCTATCCATAGGCCGCGAGCGCCGGGCTCTTCGTGGCGGCGTTGACCTTTGCAGGAACGGCGAACGGCGGGAAGCACGACTTTCTAAGGGTGAACGGCCAAGGCCCTGGCTCTGACGGCCGAAGCTTCCTCTGTTGCCTTGATTTTGTGGCGGCGGCGAGCGCGAGAACGCCTGCCTAGGCAAGACAATGGACACACTTATAACAGCACCGTCGAGCTGCGCTTCGTGCATGTGTGCGATGGCGGCCTCTGCATCAGCGGGGTCGTGGTAAAGGATGTAGGCAGTGCCTCTATTGGTCATGACTGCGACTAGTTAGCATCCATAGATTATGACCCGCGGGAGCTCGTCGAATTACAAGCTTTGTTCATGGGCAAATCGAGAGTATGTATCTCGCCGAACCCCCCGAAAATTTCGTGTAAATGTGATTCGGTAACGTTTTTGGTGAGCTTTTCTACAACAATCTTTGATGCAGTTAGCGCGAGAACGTGTAGCTAGCCAAGCGTGTGTCCGTGATCAACAAACCTTGGAGCTTCGTGGCAAGGCGAGTGAGGGACTGGGCGACCGGCTGTAACCTTCCCTCCCATATAACCTGGAAGTCTGACTCCGACTCCGACTCCGAGAATGCGTTCGAGATCGAGACCTGCTTGTGAATCGAGTGCCATTGCGCCGGCCGGAGATGCGATCAACGGACGGACTTCGCGTCCCACTCTTGTACCTTGTCTCTGAACGAGGGGATTCAGATCGTCGCGATGATCTAGCGTCTCGATTGAGAGAAGTGTAGCGCGGTGAGCGGTTCGAAGGGTATTCCCGAGGCCTGTCAGACATGCTGTGTTGTCGGGCCTAGATCTGGAAAGTTGAAGTCAGAAGGTTGGCTGGAAGTCTGGCGAGGTACTGGCAAAGAGGGTGGGTGGTGTGGAGCTTCCCGCCTCCAAATGTCATAAGAGCCGCGGCGGCCAGTAATTAGACAAGGGATTCGCAACTCGGGAATGCAAATACGCAGGATCTATTTCGCTTGTGACCTTTGTTTTTGACCCAAGCCAGGAGTAGATGTACATTTTCAGCGTCTTACTATGAATCAATACCAGACGCATCGTATATATTTCTAAATATCAGCTGTAGCGTTGCCCCATCGTTCGTACTCCTCCACAACGGCGGCTGTTATTTGCCTGCGAACCTGCTGGAGTGCATATTCGAAATGTTTCATTCGAATGTCCTGCTCCTGTCCGGTCTCCTCTTCCTCATCTAAAGCAGCATCACCGGCTGTCTCGCATATACTAACAATCTCCGCTCCGGAGTATCCTTCCATTTTCCCAGCTAGAGCTTCTATCTCTACTTCGGGATGGACCACAGACTTACTGAACCAGATGCTCAGGATCTCCTTCCGGGCCTCGAAATCCGGAGGCCCTATATAAAGGATATTATCCAGACGGCCGGGGCGCATCAAGGCCGGATCAATGACCTCAGGCTTGTTGGTAGCCGCGACGACCAACACATTCCTCAGCTCTTCAATTCCGTCCATCTCGTTCAATAGTGTTGTAAGAACATTGACCCCGCCCTGGGATGAGCTGCCACGTTTCGAGGCTATAGCATCAATTTCATCGAAGAAGACGATGCTAGGCCTTGCGGACCGTGCCTTCCGAAAAATCTCTCGTAATGCTCTTTCTGACTCTCCAACATACATGCTCAGGATTTCAGCACCTTTGACTGCCAGAAAGTTCAATCCTGCCTCCGTAGCCAGTGCTTTCACAGTCAGCGTCTTGGAGCAACCCGGTGGCCCATATAATAAAATGCCCTTTTTACTATTCACATTCAATCTCCTCATTCGTTGTGGGTGCTATTCCGGGGAGTCAGCGTTGTCAAGACATGATTAAGATACGAAAATCTACCTTTAGAGGTCTCTCTACTGCCTTTTGGAGGCGTCTTTTGATCTCATGCTGCCCACCAATGTCCGACCATCTCACTTTAGGGGTTTCCAGAAAGACCTCCCGCATTGCAGTTGGTCGCGTCTCCTGTAGAGCAGAAAGAACATCATCATCATCGATTTTGAGGGAAGTATCTGCATCCAAAGCCATTTGGCCTGTATTTGAGCCATTGTCAGTGGCACAAATATGTTTCTCCGTCGACTGGCGTTTCCGTGCCTTTCGACAGACCAATTGGAGCAATGCAAATAGATCAGCACCGACATAACCATGCGTTTTTTCCGCTATGAGATCTATTAGCGTGTCACTCAGCGTAGGGGACGGGTTTCCGCATATGGCACGTAAGATTTCACTTCGAGCCTGCGCTGTTGGCACTTGAAGCTCGATCTCAATCGCTAATCGATGGGGTGTCCTTAAAACATCATCAACATCGTTCGGGTGCCGAGTCGCGGCCACAACCAAAACTAGAGCACCTTTCACCATGTCCAGACACTCGCACACAGCGGCCGTCAATGATTGAGTCTCCACGGTGTTTCTTCTCGGCGCTATATACTCCAGTTGGTCGATGATTATAGCACTTGGTTGACAACGCATTGCCTCCTGAAAAGCATTGCGCAGCTTAGATTCAGCGTCACCAGAGTTCCTACCAAAGGTAGAGGAGCCAATGTTGAAGGTTTTTCTCCACCCTGCCGCTTGGATTTGGCCCAATAGCGCCGTCTTGCCGGTTCCCTTAGGACCATAGAGCAATATACCTCGGCTATGCTCATAGAATGGAGGCATGGTCAGAGTACTGGCATCCGAGTTGAAATCAGCAAGACTTTCGTTGATACTATCGATCTGCGGCTGCATCCCACCCAAGCCAACTGAATGCACTTTCAGATAGGCCTCCCTACGACTCACTGGTGCCACGTCCTCACCAATGATGATTTTGCTAGTGCCTGTGAATTTGAGCAAGGTATGATCACCGTTTTGACTTTGGCCTGACATGCCAGCCACTTTAAAACTGCGTCTCTGGCCTTTAAGCTCCAGCTCGAAAACAAGACCGATAGCAATTGCATCACATCTCGCCAAAGGGAATTCAAGTGACCATGCCCAGTGGTTTATGTCGCTGGAAGGTATGATGCCAAATTTAGTAATCTTGTCATCATCTGAGCAATCCACTATGGAGACCGTCTGTGCTTCTTCGAGTGGCGCATCAACTTTGCTGATAGTGACTTTTTCGCCAATCTTATATCCGTAGCAATCCTGTAGAGTCCGAGAGGTCTGAACGACGGTATTCTGGATATTCTCGACTGCATTCCAGGCTATAGCATATTTGGAAACTTCTCCAGAGATATAGAGGGCGCAAACATCACCAGCCCTAAGTTTAAGGGCGGCTAATGAGGAAGATGATAGGTATACGCGAAAGGCATCTCGATGATCGTTTCTGGTCTGTTTTGAGAGCGGTCGAACGGTGAAAGACCGAGTCTCAGACATTGTGTATAATGCGAAGCTTGGAAGTATCGGCCGAAAGAGATTGGCTTCGGGTGCAAGGATCCCTCTCTTCTAAAAGAAGGCAGACCACGAAGTAAAGGAGGTTTCAGTATCAATTAGGTTAAGCCCAGCGCTTACTGAATCATTTTTTGAATGGTCGCGCGTGATGCAATGGCCAAGGAACAAGGAGAGCGAACACTTCGAGTGCGTGCCAAAGTCTGACGGGGCTGAGTTGTTAAGAAGCAGAGACTTTGTGGATATGCGGATGATTGTCAAGAGCTCACTATATTTGAGCCATATCTGTCAAGGAAAGAGCCAGAGTATAGAGATAGGGAGACGGCGTAGACACTTTAGGAGCTTAAGTTTCTTTTTTTTTAGGAGCGGGGGATATGCAGGTTGCCCCACTCGCACACTTTTCTACCTACGTAGTAGTCTAGCTAGGCACAGAACCAATTGCATTTGTTCGTGTATCGCATTCGTCCGAACCCGAGTCAGGGAAAGTGCCACAAGCAGTGTATTCTTGGGTGTGTATTTTCTTTTAGAGGGCATTTATCTGACACATATGGGCTTGTGAAACCTCCCGTCAGTACTTATGACTCTAAAAATCTAGGTATAGTACCTTGGTCGTAGATAAGTTGTGAAGGAATCACAAACATCAAATCTGAATGCCAACCGGCTCCTGGACTATTTGCAAGTTCCTACTTAGACATTTGATTTGCTCGTATGTATTTTGCCTATGAGTGATCACTTTTGAGCCGTCTTCTACAACTACCCCACATGAACTGTTCTGTTTTCGGACTACATGCCGCTATCGACCAAGAGGCTGTTACTGAGATTAGACGGTTTGTCATTCTAAACAAATTATATTCGTCTTGACACCGAGTACGATCGTTGTCCGAGACTCTGTATACCAAAGCAATGACTGATATAAATACTATCAACAGTTGCCGAAATTCTGAAATGCCGCCCCGAGTACATATGATTACCGTTGATGATGTATGAGTATGATACCCATAACATAGAATGAGCCCGTGTTGTTGCATATATAGCCCTTACAGCAGAACAACCAATACATTGTTACCATTCCAAGCACCATTCCCATTATATCAAGAGCTAGAAATGCTGGAGATAGGAAATATGCCGCGAATCGCTTCCGGGGGGAAGATACCACCATACTATCTATCCAATGAATGTATCCCTGGGAGTCGGCTACTTTGCTTCATGACAGATCTAGCGGGCCGATGCCTGTTTCGAGAGCAGTAGTGTAATATAGCTAAAGCGACGCATTGTTAAACACACGAGGTTTCAAGCAGAAAGAGACAAATTGCAGAAATAACAGTGTTGTACCTTCACTTAGGCGTAAGTCTTAGCACCAAGACTTTCATACGACCAGGCTATTTCCTTAGCATCTACTGGAGTGTGAGAGCTTTGGTATATTCCATCCACGACACGTGAATCGGCCAGATGTGGGGCAAGGTGTAGGGCCAAAGAGGAACAGGAGGGAGAGAACTTGAAGCATTCAGAGTGGAGAATTGAGATTAGCAACACTTTCCGCTTGTGTTGCCGTTCAAGCCAGAACCTTGCTGGTCTATACTAACGCCCTGAGAGCTGACCTGCTCAGACTTTGATGTGTCCATTCCTTTCTTGATATCTGAAGCAAGATCATAGAAAGCTTTTTCAATGTTGATGTTGTTCTTGGCCGAGACTTCTAGAAATGGAATACCCAGCTCGTTCGCTAGCTGCTGGCCTTGCTCGGTCGATACTGCTCGCTTCTCTTCCCAATCACACTTGTTGCCAATAAGTATCTTGTGAACACCTTCACTCGCATGTTGCTCCACATTGGAAAACCATGTACGGATATCTGATTCAATGAGTTAGATCATTAGCATATTACTCATGCTAGTAATTCCAAAAGGACTCCTTACTCTGGAACGACCGTTCATCAGTGACATCATAAACAAGGAGAATCCCCATTGCTCCTCTATAGTAAGCTGTTGTAATTGTTCTGAATCGCTCTTGCCCAGCCGTATCCCATATTTGGAGCTTCACGCGCTTGCCATCGAGTTCGATAGTGCGGATCTTGAAATCAATGCCAATAGTGGTAATGAACGACGGAGTGAATGAGTCCTCGCTGAATCGCAGTAGACAGCATGATTTACCGACGCCCGAGTCACCGATCAACAACAGTTTGATCTGAGTATAAGTAAGATTAGAAATATGATTCACTAGAGAGGAAACTGCCACCTACCAAAAAGTCGTAATTCCTTGTACCGGCCATTATGGACTGGCCCTGACTACGGAGGTCCAGCAAAGTCAAGCTTCAAGAATTACCCCGCGTGAGGAGCTCGTGCTCAGAATTGAGTCTGATCCAAGCAGGTGTTGCTTTCTACTCCGTAATTCGCCGCTCAACCCTGCCTCCTCGGTTTCCGTTTGACTGATGACTATTAGTACGTCACTTCTCTGGAATTTTCTTCGGAGGTGCAATTACCCTAAAATGGTCTGTGAGAGCTTCTCACACACAGCGCTCAGATGTGACCTCGGAAAGGCTTGGTTTTACCAAGTGATGGTAGTTTGGAGGACTCCGATGATTCAATCGTTTGGCCGGGAGTACGGGGGCTCAGGGGCCGGGACCGGGAGACAAAGGAAAGTGGGTTCAGAATCCTTGTGGGCTAACGTTACCTCCGATCTCTAAATCGACTCCGAACAGATCCTGAAGAAATGTGGGGTGAAGATTGTGCGTCCTGGAGAGTGTATGATATTGAACGATGCCTGTGATAAGATGGCGAGTTTGAGAGTAAGCTAGGGATGCCCTGATAAGTTGCGTGTACAAAGAAGGCCCAAGGCGGAGTAGAACTCCGTAGATCCACTGGTAATACACAGACCAGTAACACCACAGTATCGAACCGCTTGCCCCCATACATACACAGGCCCGCCACAAGGATCATCTAATTCAGAAAGAACCCCCAATATCAGCCTCCGAGTAGATTGTCCTGCATTAATTCGGCGCAAAGCAACAAATATCTAATTAATATTGGAAGAATGGAGCTGTCGACTTTGCTATATTCAGTACAACAAGCAATGATATGTGGGTCGGTCACTATTACTTATAACCAGCTAGAATTGCCAGTCCCTCCTCTCCCTTCCGCTGCCTATTTCATCCATGATATGTATGGTTTTAGAAAGGGCATCCTCAGCTACTGTCTACCCGTTGGGTCTGGCCGGTGACGGTCAGACCTTAAGAGTCTATACAACCCAACAATAACTAAGGTGTTGCAATTGTCATTCTCAATGCAGATGAGATGACTTGAGTACCATGTACAGTACCTAGCAGATTGGTCCAGTCGAGTCATCATTGGTTTCTATGGCTGTGTGCTAGCAAGGCACGCTGAAGATAGTCTTACAGCCATCGGGAATAAACCCAACCCATCCGCTCAACAACCTTAATTTGTTTTTCCGCGCTTGTTTTGCCGATGATGTCATTAATGTCTTCCTGGAAGGCATGGATGTCAGCGCCTCTAAGCATAGCTCGTGCTTTTTGAAGTAAAATCTCGGTGTTGCATATCAGCAGACCGTAGTCTTTGAAGGCTAGGGTTCCGCTGGCCGTCACAGTCGATAAAGTTAGGGTACGGTGAACTTGTCTGGATTGGGCCTCATTAGACTCGTCATCGACTTCGCTAGAATAGCCTACTAACCTCAGTGCGTGCCTTAATTCATGCTGCCGCCGACCAATGCGCAAGCCCTTCCTGCTGCCAAACAAGCCGAAGAGCCACTGAACGGAGGCATACGAAACCAATAGACCAGGGGTCAATCCAACGAAACTATGGCTTGTCAATATCGCACCTACCTGTGAAAGTCGGGTAATACTTACCCAAATACCAGCTCCTGGCTTCTCAGCAAAGCATCGATGCCCCCAACAGCAATCTCGACATCCACCTTTGTCTTTTGTATCTGTATCAGGAGGGCTCGTACTAAGTCACCTCGAATAGTCCCAATGAACGGAGTTCGTAAATCCTTCTCATACGCCCTCAACACAGGTGTGAGATCACCTTCCCTGACTTTGTTCATGATCATGTTCATATCTGCGGATGCGAGAGACTCATCGCTGGGCTCGCGATGGTCTAGGACGAAATCTACCACCATTCTTTCCAAGCTAGCCCGATCTGCTTCAAGACTATTCTTGCTCATCAACGCGATTTCGCTCTTCTCATCGTGTCTTATTGTACCAACGAGTCGCTTCAGTGGGTCCACGACCCAGTTGTTCCAGAACTCAATTGTTGTGGATCCGATATCTGTGATCCACCCCAGAAGTTCACGGCGTCGAGCCTTGAATATTTCGAGAATTGTACTGGTTGACAAAGTCGCAAGTAAAAATGGGAGCCAGTAACGCACTATGAATGAAGGTCGCCCAAGCCCACTGGTGCTTTTCTGTGTAAGCGCAAGGTACTGTGGAATCAATGTCCGATTTATTTGATCGAGTTTTTCAATAACATAGTGAGGTCCTCTAGGACACATGGTTCCGTTAGAATGCATGTGAAGGAACGAGCCCTCTTTCTCGGCGGCCGTGGTAGTTTTCATTTCGAATTCATGAAGTGTGCCACCAGAGGCCAGATGCTGTAGTACTAATCCCAACAAAGTCACACTGTTAATAATCTTACTGCACCATTCATCACTAACAGAGCTGTCACCATGGCTGCCCGTGAGATCGTCATCAAGGTCAATCTGAAGGCACCGTTCTACCAGGATTCCCAGTGCACTGGCATTGACATCTTTCACCATATGCAGCATTTTCCGTTTCTGGCGTACCTCCAACTTGGATGCAAGAAGTGGATGCAGTAATCCTTTTCGCACAGTAGACATTGTCGTAGAGATTACACACCGACGGGCGGAGTGGTAAAAATGATTCCATGCATTTGAGGTACGAATTGCTCGGTTCCATATCCCGGTGGAAGACCAGGCAGAGGATTGATGTCCAAGATTGTGCCAGAGCCACACAGGGAATGTCTGCGCAGTATACAGTCCCATGTACCATTGAGATTCTAGAAGACTGTCCCAGTAAGTGAGTTCATCGGTGATGGCGAGGGTGTTCTCCGAAAGCGACTCCAAGACTAATCCAAATGTTTGAACAGCAGCCCTAGCGGCCACAATCCAAGATAAATCTGTTACGACTGGACTGGACGAGGGAAGACCTGAGGACTGGCCACATACTGCCCGAGTCTGTGGACACTCGGAGATCAACCGCGCAATGCGACTGGCGCGCAAAGCCGACTGTGAACGTGATTCTATAGAAAGCGAGTCCGAGATGCGCTCCAGTGTTTCTATGTCCTTGATTCGGCTAACATCGCTGGCGGTTTCCTGGAGCTCGGCATTTGAGCTTTTCGTGATGCGCTGCTGTAATTTGTGAAGTTGTATATCGAGGTTATAGACTATGCTATTGTCAAATAAGCAAAGATCTAGAGCGACTGACAAAGAAGAGGTACTTACTTATTGACCACGAACATGGTGGGGATTTACTCGAGGCACCAAGGCTCAACTTAAGTCCAGCACTCGTTGCGAGGAGGAAATCCAGGGAACAAAAGTACCTAACCGTCAGCCAATGGCGTCATATTTAGTAAGCAGATTATTGTATCTCGGCTTGTCCTTGACTTTACTTATAAGTTACGTAGTACACGAAATTAACGTGACCGGTAAGTGCGAGCGGATCATCCTGTAACCGTTATAGAAATACGTACCCTCTCAAATATAAAACATCTCCATCATAATATACGAATAGTCTAAGGGCTTTTTACTTAGTTTTTAAGATATATAGACTCTAAAGAATAATTCTGATGCCTGATGATATACATTTCTAGAGGTTGATTACAAAGGTAATCAGTTACATAATTTGATACCAATGTCTGCATTAGTACCTTGGTTATAATGAGGTATTCTCTACTTTTCTAAGCTTACAAAACTTATTCATAGTAGACTAAGAGAGTATTCAAATCTTCTATATATATAGGATGGATTGGTTCGATCTATTAGAACTTTGAAAATCATCTCTTATATGGGTTCGCTTGCCTGATCCGTTCGCTTACCGATACGCTAGACACGTAAGAAGTCAACAACTTAGTACTAATGCATAAAGACCAGGTACCGGTGGAAATCAAGGAAGGCGGGGTCCTCGTCGCCCGTGCCACCACAGTACAGTACATACAAACTATGGTAGGAAACCCGCGGCCGGTGCCAGACATACATCCAGCAGACACTCAGACGAGGAAGTTATTACCATCACTGGGCATTCAGAACTTTCTCCCTCTTCACTGGTCAAATAGCCTGGCAGCTAGATCTACATGACCTACATAAGTACCTCAGACCTCTTCTAAGTACAGGATAATATACAAATGTGTTGTTGTGTCTGTAACAATTGTGGACATCTCCAGCCGATGGGTCACTCAACGCTTTGGCTCTCTCATCCCTAGCCGTATTTCAATTATACATAGTAAGATAAAGTAGACTTACAAACCTACCTTGAAGGTGTAACTACTCATAATAGGGAGTGACTGCTACGAGATTTGCTCAAGGCGGTAGGGAAACGAGAGAGTTAGAACTTGGAACCCCGAAGCCAGGGCACCCGGGCAGCCACACGTTACTCATAAATATACGTACACACAACCTTCTTTTTCTGCAAGGCTCTCTCTGCAAGGGGAACTACAGGTACTGTGCCTTATATCGCACACGGACCACGGCAGCACCAACGGTCTCTCTTCATTCAAAGGCGGTGATGATCTAAGGATAAAGAATGGTCAGTATGTTTGATACTGGCCCGTGGTGATTGGAGATCGAACCAAGCCATTCCCAACCGGGTGGAGCTAACATCGGCCCCAATCGGCTAGGCAGTGGTGCCAGCCTGGAAAGGTCGCGGCCAGGGGGTTGCCGAAGAAATCTCGCCACCCCGGGAACAATAGTCCTGATGGCGCAGTTCTTTACCCGGCTTTTCTGAAATACTGTCCAGTACCTACCAACTACTTTTACAGAGTTCATATCTCCCTCCCCCGGTGTTATCCAGAGGATCTGCCCTCACTACACGTTTTCTTCTCTACTCGAATAGCTTTTTATTCGTCCAAACCCTCAACCCCATTGCTTTCCTAATCTCTCGCTCGCCTGCCCCTTATCGAAGGAACCTGGGAAGGAGTAGCTGAAGGGAAGCTGACCACCTGCTTTAAAAAATGTGAGCCTTCTCTACGCAATGCCACTCGATTACCTCTAAGATTTGATAGGAATACGACGTCGTTTTCAACCCCGGAAACCTATTGGGGCCAATTTGAGGAAATTTCCAAATATAACACCCATCTCAATGTCGTGGAACGGCTCTGGACGGCATGGTACGCCTGGATGCAGAACGATGTTCTTGCGACAGGTATCATGTCCTTCATGATGCATGAACTTGTCTATTTTGGACGATCGCTGCCATGGATCTTCATAGACAGCCTGGGCTTTTTCAAGGGTTATAAGATTCAAAGTGTATGCATAGTCACTGGCAATCGGGGTTGGATGTCAACTGACAGTTTCTTATAGAGCAAAGTTCCGTCCTTGCGCGAACAGTGGGACTGTGCGAAGTTCGTGCTTTTAAGCCATTTCACCGTCGAGTTGCCTCAAATCTGGTGAGTCCAGTCAGCATGCTGCTTAATTCAGTTGATATAGCCGCTTACCTTGGCTAGGCTTTTCCATCCCATGGCCCAATTCTTCGGCCTCTCAACTTCTGTCCCATTTCCTTCGATTTGGACCATGGCTTACCAGATCGCTATATTCTTTGTCCTTGAAGACACGTGGCACTATTTTTCTCACCGCGCTCTCCACTGGGGACCACTTTACAAAGGCATCCACAAGATTCACCACCAGTACTCAGCGCCCTTTGGTATGGCTGCTGAGTACGCCTCGCCTATTGAAGTCATGATCCTAGGATTTGGCACGGTTGGCTGTCCCATTCTGTGGTGTGCGATGACTGGGGACTTGCATATTTTCACCATGTACATCTGGATTGTCTTGCGGCTGTTCCAGGCAATAGATGCACACAGTGGCTATGAATTCCCTTGGAGTCTCCACCATTTCCTCCCCTTCTGGGCTGGGGCCGATCACCATGATCTCCATCATGAGAAGTTCGTTGGCAATTACTCCAGCAGCTTCAGGTGGTGGGACTACATGTTGGATACTGAGTATTCTCCGGAGGCGATCAAGCGCAGAAGACAAACAAAACTTGCTGGGGATATGAAGAAGGGCCAATGATGCGATTGCTACTTGCGCTCATGTGCAGACATTCATCTGAAGCCCTTGGGCACTGCAACTCAAGCAGCTGTTCAATCTGAATACAGATTTTATCATCATGCGAAAGCTGCAATACCTTGAGGGCTTCTAATTCATTTCACTTAATACCGTTGAGAGGAAACTCGTATAGACTTATCTTTTAATTATGCTTCTGAATGATAAATTTTGCAAATGCATTGAATAGCTGACATGTTGGACGCATATCTTCGTGACTAGAATAAACTGTTCCAAGATGACATAGTCCGTTCCAAAACGGGTCCCTCATGCATATACATAATAAGGCTTTACACGCCCTCTTGTACGTCCGCAGTTAATCTGTGTGCCAGAAGTGTATGGTCTGAATATGCACTTCTAAGACTCAACATTAAGATCCAATAATTGGCATCTTCCTACAGCAACTGTAACCGACGTTAAATTCCATCTAGGACACTCTTAGAACGGGATTGATGGTGCTTCATATCGGGTCTAGACCCGAGAGAAGAAGTAAAGATAGGCAGACTTCTTCAGTTCCTGTACATCGTCCACCTGCACAACCTTCTCATCATTACACATGATCCAAGAAGGGCCTTCCTCACCTGGCAAAGTTTTGCGCACGACTGCAACATAGTGTCTTCTTCCAGGTTAGCATTGATCGAATCTCTTCAGTACCCACTTACCCAGCATGTACAGAGGAGCCTTTGTGGCACACTATGGAATGAAGGCGGTAAAGAGCTGGAGTACTATCGAAACCGACGGCACCGTTACTAGGACTTTCAGTCGCTTGAGGAACGGTTCCCACTTCTATCGTGTCTTCGGGATGACTGAAAACCCAATCAATTGCTCTGTTGACATCATTCCCTACTGCAGCCAAGGCGATCCTGGCTCGATCAGCATCAATACCCATTTCGGACAGCTGCAGCACTTTAGCTGCATCGTGTGGTGGCTCATTCACCGGCTGAGCGAGGCCTTTCTGAACTAGAGGTTCATCAATATCAGGGTCTTCCATATGCGCAAACAACCAATTCATGGCAGCTTCGGCATCCGAATTGCCTGTCATGTAGAGCGCTTTTTCACTTCTGGTCCGGGGAAATCCCATGCCGAGCAACTGACTGAGGGCAATTTCGTCAGGAGTGAATGTTGGCGTAGGCGCCTCGACATCCGGGAGAAGCTCTTCGCCCTCGCTAGGGAAGGGGGTGAGATATTTAGTGAAGTCTATCGGACCTTCGTCCACTTCGACAGGAATGTCGAGCTTCGTTGGTACCCAATTCACAACTTCGAACCGTCGAGCGTTGATGACCAGCTCCTGCGGTAATGTCTTAAAGAATGAGCGCTTGGAGAAACCATCCTCACTCTGGCAGGAAGGACAGCGCAGTTCCACTCTTTCTTCACTCGTAAAGGTATCAAGACATTCTAGGATGGTCACACTTTCGAACTTGGCGACGGTATCCTTGCCTTGTCCAGAGTTTGTACGGCGAGCAGGAACAGAAAGGGAAACATTATCCTGCTGATCCACTTTGTATCGCACCTTTCTGCAAGATAAGCATTGGAGACGTTGCTCTACAGAAAAGGCAAACGGCTCTACTGGATTAAAGGATCCTCCTGTATGGTTAGACAAGCTGACAAGCTTAAAAAGATGGAGGAGGAATTCAAAAGCATCCTGCTGTCTCATTGTAGAGAACTCTTCGTGACCACGACCAACAAGGTGTTTAAACATGGCTGGTGCTAAGCCATTCTGATGCGGAACTTCAGCTGTTTCAGGCGAGGCCCTTACATCGGTGGCAGGTTTGGAGTAACGACCAGATAGGATTCCGTCTGCCAGTTTGCGCATCTGCGTCTCAAGATCTTCGGCTGGCTTCTGTGTCAATGGGGGCTCTTCACTGGGATGATAGTACCGGTCTTGAAAATGTGGCAAATTGAAGAGGCACTGTATCACACTTGACAGGTAACAACTGTTCCCAAGGTTTTTGAGGCCAGTGAGACCAGGACCAAATACCGGTCTAAGTTCGTGACCATCCTCTGTAGTCATTGAAAACTCCCATCTTAGGTTGTGCTCAACCTGCATTTCCATCAAGCTCTTCTCCGTTTTCTCTCTGTCCGCTAAATTGATACCCCAGTGTCCGAGGTGCTGGGCAAGATCAGGATCGGTCCTTTCTTCATTGCACTTATAGCAGAAGATATCAGCGGATCCCTCGGCTGTTATTGAGCCAAGCTTTACTGCAACAGCGTGCGAGGTCATTTCAAAATGCGCAAGTCCATGGGAATTGCCGCCCACGCCACCAAATTGGCTTCGACCACAGCCAAGGTTACCACATTCTAGACATAGCCAAAGGTTTTCCTTGAGATTGCACATCGAACATTGCGCAAGTTCTGGATGTATACCCGTCAGATTCCTGCAAGTGAAATTGGTCAAGGCTTAGATATACCTTGCGATTCAAGTTGCCGCGAGCTGCTTTGCTCCACGCAAAGAGTATGTTCACAGGGGATGAACTCTTGCTCCCAGGCTTTGACTTCTTCCCTTCTGGAAAAAGTCATTGCCGTCAGAACCCCGTCAATAACAGGTGGTAGATTGCCACTCGATTGATCAATATCATCCTGGCAGCAATCGTAACAGACAACTCGAGTGCTTGTGTCATATCGGTCCTCATCGGTTTCAGCAGCAATTGCAAGTTTGGAAACTTTCTGGGGTGGCTCATCTCTCTACCATGTGGTGTTAGTTGCCGATTAAAGCCATGTATGATGCTGACAGGCAACCTACTTGAACCTTCTTGCGCGACCGTTTGATATTGAGGGCTAGTGGATGGCCAGATCTTTTGAAGTGCAGAAGAGCATGATTTCTATCATGAGCACAGCCGCCATTGAAACAGGAGAGGCAAACATTTATTCCAGAACTCTGATCCTACTGACGTCAACTTGCATGCAGCACGGTAAGTATTGTGAGAGAAACGCATACTACAGAGTCAAAACATTGCGTACAATCCTCCCTATATACAACTTGTGAAGTTGATGGGGGAATTATGTCTAGACCATGTTAGAAAGCTCGAGGTGTGGCTCTCGACTTTAAATAGAGGGTACTCCGTGTCTGAATTGATTGATTTGCTTACCGTCTGACTGAACATGGAAACAAGCAGCCATTATGGTCGACCCGAAGGTATATGCGAAAAGGTCGACAGTGCCCTTGTTGTGCTGACTGAAAGGAGGGTGTATAATGTGGATGTTGTCAAATACTTGAAGGTGGTTAGAATCCTTTTGTGGTCTCTCGACAAGGACAAGGGTGATGGAAGCAGTTACAACTGGCTGACTGATGTGGGGTAACTTCAGTCATTACCTCACTGACAACTCAGCAAGGTGCCTTAGGAATGTAAACAGCGGGTCTGATTATTTAATCCCAGATCTGCCCGTTCTACTCAAGTGCATGAATCTCATTTGCTGGACAGATTTGAAATCTTGGCCCAAAGAGGAAGCGGTGGAGAGAACTTATTCAAAGCGGTCAGCCACCGCCCCGCTTGCACTGGGGTATGTACAATCACCTCGGGTATGTCACAAGCCGGCCGCTTTTATGTGCTTTCTTATATAAAAATGCTTAAAGAGCAAAACACCATAAAACTATAATACTTAATTGATTTAAATAAAAATAGGCTCTGAATACCTTTAAGTAGCTGCTTACTTAAGTTTTTAACACTTTGTATAGCCACTATGTGCGGCAATATATACTTAGCACTGTTTTTAAATAGAATTAATATAGAGTATTGTTAGGAACTACTTGACACAGTAGACACGCTGGTTAGGCAAGACAAGCAAGATAGTCAGAAGCAGTCTTCTATTAATTCTAAAACTAATTCTTAAAAAATCTTCTTCTTTAAAGGATTCTAAGACAATATATTATATATAAAAAAAGGGATAAGTAATATAGTAATATAAATACCTGGATTAAAAGCCCAGCAAATTAGTACAGATTTAAAAGCAGACTACTATAGTAGTAGATATAAATTACTATAGTAGAAAATATTATATAATAATTATACTCCTCTACTAAGCTGGGCTACCTAGTATAGTAGTATAGTTATAAATAGTTTTATTACTTATTTTAAAAGTAGTAGGGTTTAATATTATAGCAGTAAAAGAATTATATTATAGTATTATATATTATATAAATAAAAAATTTAGTAGTAGTAAAAAAAATATATATTTTATTAATAATCTAATTAGATTTTAATATAAAGTATATAGATAAACAAAAAAGTTTAGTATATTAATATATTAATATTTTTATTTCTTTTATATTTTAACTTTTTATTAAATTTTTTTTTTATTTTTTTATTTTATATTGTTTTTACAGTTGTTTCTATTACTTACTTTATATTTATTTTTTATTTATTAATATATTTTTTTTAATATTTTATTTTAGTTATTTTTTATTATAATACTAATAACTATTTATTACCGCCTAGCTAATACTTTTATTATACTAAAAATCTTTTTCTATATATATTATTTATATACTAGTATTAAAAAGTTTAATATTATTAATACTAAAAACTTTATTTTAGACTATATATTTAATACTGTTATATTTATAGTATATAAGCAGTATTCCAGTTATAACTAAATCTGTAATTAAATATATTTTAATAGCTTTTTAGTAAGCTTATTTAATCTAATAAAAATTAGATATTTATAAAAATACTTAAAAATACTGCTAAATTTTTATAAATTTTAAACTAGTATAAAAAGTTTTTTATTAACTATACTACTTCTAATAAGGTACTGGACTAGAATCTGGTATTTTATATTTAAATTAAATATTTAACTATAGCTTTAACTATTATATTTAAAGCAGCTAAATTTATCTACTACTATAAATATAGACTAACTGGTACCAGTAAGGCCAAGATTATAGTATATTCTTCTATTAAGTTTTTATTAATTTATAAGTTAATTATTTTAATTAATTTAATTTAGTTTTTTATTACTTTTTTATTGCTGTTTATTATACTTTTATTAATAATCCAACTATAATCTATCTAATATCCAGAAATAATAGGTTTATTTTATAAACTAAGGCTAAGCAGATATTTTTTAAAAAAATTTACTATAAAATATATACTATATACAGCAATAAAGCCTCCCCTTAGGGTTTTTATATTTAAAAAATAAAAAAGTCCTGGCCCTTTGCTGTTTATTTTCTATAAAAAAAATATAATTTAGCCGGGTTGGTCCGGTAGTTTTTTAATAAAAATTTAGCTTATTAAAAAGTTTATTTTAATTATATATTTAAATATTAAGATTTAACTGTATATAATATAGCAACTTAATATAGATTTAGTTATTTTTTTTATATTTAAAAATAAAAATTTTTCTGCTGTCTTAACTTTTTCTTTTATTTTCTATAGCTTTAAATTACCTGCTGGATATTATCTATAGATTTTTTTAAAATTTATTTATTATATTTACTTAGTTAGCCTGTCCATTTAACTAGAAAATATTACTTATTTTTAAAAATTTATTTATTTTTAATATTTTTAACTTTAAATTTTTTTTTCTTTTCTAAATCTAGGGGGTAGAGTTAATTCTGCAATACAGTACCGGATTTCTACTATTTTAATAATAATATATAAAAAATATTATAGATTTAACTATAGTATTTAAATAAAAAGATTTAATATACCTATTTTCTAATAACTACTAAAATCTTTAAAAATTTAATATATTACAGAGCTAGCTTCTGGAAAAAAGTTTTAATTTTTAAATTTTTAATAAATAATTTTACCAGATTTTTCTTTTTAAAAGTTATTAATTTATACTTTTAATTATAGTATTTTTTTTATACTTTATTAGCTTTTTACTAATAGTTCTGTAGGTTTTTTTACAATACAGTTAGCTTATTAATTTAATTTTTAGCTGTAGAAATCTTTTTCTGGAAAATACCAACCTTAGTATAAAAATAAAAATTAAATAAATAGTTTAAAAAAGTTTTAAAAAAAAATAGCTAGTAGTAGAGTTTAAAGTATTATTATATATAAATTAAACAGATAATAATAAAACAGACCAGTTAAGTTAATTTTAATTAATAAAGTATTAAAAATATTATTTAAAAGTCTAATTTATTCTTTTTATTTAACTATTAGTCTAAGATTAAAATGCTGTTAACAAACAAAGTTTAATTTATATATAGTATATAATTTAAAACTAAAATTTACTAGTAAAAAGAAAATTTTTATTTAAAATTATATTCTATAGTAGTTTATATTGAAGTTTAATCTTTCTATAAAAAAATTTAGTAAATTTTAAAGTAGTAATAGTATATAAAATAGATAGAAATTAACACCACTTTATAAACCTATTAATAATAATAAAAATTAAATCTAAAATATTATTTTTAATTATAATAGAAAATAGACTTATAATAAAGTCTATAAATAGTTTAATAAAGAATCGGTTAAAAATTAGTAGAAATTTAAGCTTACTATAGGGCTTATATTTAATAAATATAACTTTTTAATAAATAAAATACTTTTTAATATAAATAACCACATTTTTGTAGAGGTTTACCTAGTAAAACTTTCTTTTAAAAAGGGCTTTTATTTTTGATTGCCTAAAATAGCCTGCTAGCTGATTATTATAATAAAGCTTTAGTAGATGTTGCCAAAGGCTTTCCCCTTGTAAAACAGCAAGTTTTTAATAATATGTCTCTATATCTTTATTCTAAATTCTTCCAATCAGAGAATATAATTTCTTATTAATCTTAGGATATAACAAGTTCTTATACTTATATACTTAGAATACTGCTAATATATTAATATATTTATTACAGAATAATCTTACTCTAACAGTCTAGTCAGCTGTTTTTATATTAGTTTTTTAATTTTTTTAATTTTATTAAAAGCTTAATACTATACAGATACTAAGTTTAGAACTTTCTTATAAAAATATTTTATTATACTTAAACTAGGATTTTACAGAGACTAGCTAAGTCTTTACTAAAAATTTATTAGTTATTTAATACTATATTAATTTTAAAATCTCTATATTAAACAGGACTTTTAAATTTTTTTTTATTTTTAATAGCAGATTAGCAGAGTTGCGTCTGCTGGGCTAATATTAAATAATAAAATTATAACTACTAAAATATATATACTATTAAATCTAACAGCTGTTTAGCTTTGGCTGCTTTATAAAAGTCTAAAAATTTTAATAGTTTAAAAAAACTTTAATAGTATATAATAGCCCTTTAAAATATTAATACTAATATTTAAATAAATAAATAATAGTAAAAAGCTTTTAATCTAGGATTAAATAGCAAGTTTTAGTACTATTAAATTTTTTTAACTAAAATATAATAAAATAATATACTTTATAGTTATCTGGCTGAAACAGTATTTCTGCTATATTTTATTAAAAAGTATCTATTTTTATCCAGATCTTTTATTAAAAATTAAAATATTTTAATAAAAATATAATTTTAAAACTATAAAAAAGCTGTTAAAATACTGCTGTTTTTTTACTAGTTAATACTACTTTTCCAGGCTTTTTCCTATTCTGGGTGCCT